AATTGTGGACGAATAAACTGGCGGTACAAACGAATTGAGAGTAGACGTGACAACCCAGTGTGATTGACACCAAGTGATTGAAGAGCACGCATGCTGTTGATAGCAGAGACACAATTACGAGAGATGAGAAGAGATGGATCAATAGTCCCCTTTGCTGAGAAGGGAACACCAAGGTAAGGAAACGAATGAGCATGAGGAATAGGCACATTGTAGAGAGAGAATGACAAAGGAGAAAGAGAACAAGAATGGTGAAGGATCATGCACTTGGTGGGACTCCAACGATATCCTAGCTCTTGAGAATGTTGTTCAGCAGAATTCAGAATGACAGGCATAGCTTCTGGTGTAGCAATGATGGCAACATCGTCAGCAAAAAGTAGTGAATTGACTAATTGATCATTGAGTCTTGTGGCAGCAGTCTGATTAAATACTGTGTTACAAAGTTCCCCTGCAGCACGAAGAGCAACTGGTAGAGAATTTATGTACACGGAATAAAGGTGGGGAGAAAGCACAGATCCTTGCATAACGCCAGTCAATGGTTGGAATGATCTGGATGTTGCACCAGAAAGCAACACCTCAACTTGAACGTTGTCAAAAAGACTTTGTAACAAAGCTAACATAGCATCAGAGGCAAGAGGACGTAACGATGTCCATACTACAGAACGATCAACAGTGTCATATGCAGACTTGATATCAAGAAAAGCCAAGACTGGTGGTGCTTTGAATAGAGCTGTGTGACGACGGACCATCTCATGGAGACAAAGAACTTGATCAAGGGAGCTACGTTGACGTTGGAATCCACCCTGTGCAATGTCAATTGTTGGAGACACATCTTCAAGAGGAAACTGTAGACAATATTCCATGGCTTTTCTCAGGATAGACGTTAAGCTAATGGGACGATAGTTAGCAGGGTCATGAGTATCACCCTTTTTAAAGATGGGGACAATTTGTGCAGTACGCCATGCAAGAGGTGCAGAACCCCATTGCCAACAAAGCTGGAACAAAAGACAAAGAACAGGAGAGACTTGCTTAACAATTGGGTGAAGCATTTCAGCACGAAGATGGTCAACACCAGGAGCCTTGCGTGTAGGAAGCTTGAGAATTGCACTCTCTACAGAAAGATGAGTAAAAGGACACGATTCATCAATTGCAATTGGTGATGAAATCATCACTGTCTGGTCTGGAGGGCGGCGTGCAGGAAGAAATTGACCTGAGAAAATCTGTTGAAGATGATCAGCCATTTTGTTAGCAGCTACTTGAGGTCCACCTGGATCCACAAAGACAGGACTGGTTTGACGATGGCTTTTAATACGTTTCATTGTTGCTGTGGTCTTTGCAAAGTCTTGTGTTGCCAATTTGTTGCAGAATTCTTTCCATGTTTCACGTCGACGACGCTGGACTGATAACCTAACAGCATGACATGCATCCTGATGGCGCATCCAGCATATAGCCTTCTGCAAACCACTAGAATGACGCCAGCGTTGGTAGCTGCGTTCTCTCAGATCCATTGCTTCTTGAAGGTCCACTGACCAGAACCAGTACTTTTGCATGGTACGTGGTGTACGACGACCAACAGCAGTGTCCAGAGCATCATAGATAGCTTGAGCAAAAGCAGAGCACAGAGAATCTACAGGAGGAGGAGAAGAAGAAGAAAGGAAAGCACTGAACTGCTCTGTCAGATTGTCCAATGACCCAGAAGCTGTATCAATGTAGATCTTGAGAGTGTCAGGCTGAGCAAGCTTGGAAAGATTCCAAAGTAGGCGCGGATGATTAGTAGGGGGAGGGGGAGGTGAAACATAGGGAGTGAAAGTGAGGTTGACCATTTTGTGATCAGAGCCTAAAGAAAGATCAGAACGAATTTGCATAGAAGGATTGAGAAGGGGGGGCGTAGAAAGAAATAAATCAATGACACTGGAACGTGAGGTACCAGAGCCACCAGAAAGAAAGGTAGGAATACCAAATGCAAGTAATTCATTCCAACAAGTGAGACCAGTTGCCTGGATCCACTGAAGAAAAGAAGTTCCTCGCGAAGTGATAGCATGGTCACCAAGAAAGGATCCCATACGTGAATTAAAATCACCACAAAAAATAGTGTTAGAAGAAGGAATAGAAGAAGAAGAGAGGGGGAGGTCATAAAGAATAGAAATTGCATCGTCATCAGAAAGAGAAGGGGGAAGATAAATGCAATGAATAAGAAAATCAAATACAATACAAGAAAGAACATAAGGAGAAGAAGAAGGAACAATAGAAATGGGGTAAGGGAAAGAAGGATTTACAAGAAGAGAAATACCCATGCAGCCACGGCTAGCATTGGGGACAGACTGACCATAGGTATGGTACTGCTGCCAAGAAGTAGGATAACGATGGGGGGACAAAAGCCACGTTTCAGTGATAAAAAGAAGGGAAGTAAGTGGAGCATATGAAAGGATCGTAGGTATGGTCTGTTTTGCAAGACCATTTGCATTCCATAATGTAATTGTTACTGGATTCATAGATCAGAGAATGAAGGGATGGTGATGCTGGCAGTATGTATAGAGATGTCCAAGTCTTTTTTGGTGGGTCATGGGGGAACAATCTCAGCTAGTTGGTCATCACTAATCCATCCCTGAGAGCAAAAGGAATGTGCAACAGCAAACTTGACAGGAGCCCTAATGAATTCAATGGCACGTAGCATACGATCATTGTGAACATGTATAGCTTTTGTTGCCCTATCATCAAGTGAAAGAGAGGCCAGAGCTGGGTCACGGAGGTGAACAGGGTCCAAAGGATCAAAGTTATCCAAAGTAGTAACACCATAACTCGCCAAGATAGTCTTGAGCTCAGGAGCATACTCATTATGTACAAGCATTCCCATCACCTTACGATCAGGATAGTGGAGATCCAGCACACGTGCAATGTCTATCTTTAATTTCCTAAGACGTTGACGTTGAGTACTAATGGGGAGACGGATAGCATTAGGTACATAAACAATTTGAAACCCCTGATCAGCATTTTCTTTAATTGTCATGCCACGAACAACAGCAGCAATGGCCCTAGCAGTTGGAGCCCTTTTACGTGGTGTTTTAGAAACGAAAGTCTTGGTGGGGTCAGTGGAATGATGGGTCTGGGATGCAGGAAGTGATGGAAAATCAGCCTGAGAAACAACTGGAACAGAGGCAGCAATAGTAGCATATTTGGATGCTGCAGCACCAACAGAAAAATCAATATTCTCCTTTGTCAAACGTGCAATAGTGGTGTTTGCAGTAGCAAGAGCCTTACGCAACTCAATGTTCTCTTTTTGAACAGCCTCCAATGCAGAAAGACGTTCATCATAAACCTGGAAACGGTCCCAAATATCCTGAAGAGTGGGCATTACAGTTGGAAAAACAGGTGCAACGTCAGATTCAATTTCATGGATATCTGCCATGGAAATACTATGACCCAAGATGGAAACAGAAGGGGACACAACAGGCTCACTTGCAGAACGAACTTCAGGAATTTTGTGTTGGACTGCATTGATCAAAGATTGCATGGATGAAGCAGTAAATGTTGCACCACATTTGCATTTAAACTGTGGGCTACCAGTACGAGAAGTAGACCCATTGGAAACAATTTTGCCTGTAGTCTGGCAATGTGAACAGGACAAAACATTGTGCAATTTTTTAAAGTCTGCCTTGAGGCCAGACAAAATGAGAGCAGTGGGAGTAGGGCGGCCAGTGGAATTAATCACCTGTTTTTGGGAACCAATCATTGTTGGAGGAGCTTGAAAAAAAATTTCGTGGGAACCAGGAGCAGGCAAAGCAGAAAAAGAAAGGTCTGAAACTGGGACAAAAAAGTGCGAAGTTGATGGTAAAACACCAGAACCACCTTCAGAGAAGGAGAAAAGAGCTGGAGACGATAACAGAGGTACAGGCAATTGAGATGTAGTTGGAGATGCTGACAATCTTGAGTGATTTCGGCGCAGATGTGAAGATGATTGCAATGATGATTCCAACAATTTGAAAAAAAGTCAATTAAAAAAAAATGAAAATTGGTAGATATATAAAAACAACTATGACAATCAATCCTGCTGCAAAAAACAGATAGGTTTGATATAGTAGTTATAGAGAAAAAGAGGTAAAAGTAAAACTGTGCTGGGTTTGAATTCAAAAAATAATTTGGTTGTGGAAGAGAGTGTGTGGTTTCTTGGTGTAGGTAAAAGATTTTTATTGAAAGGCTAGTGGGCACACGCACTATAGAGCTATTGCCCGCCTTTAAGAGTACAAAAAAGAATAATAGAAAGGAAAAAAACCCAAGGGGGAAAATGGGAAAAACTAGAAAGGGAAACTAAGCTAGGGGATACAAAAAAAGGGAGATAAGGATAAAATATGAAGCATGCATGAAATTCATGCAATAAATGGAAACTAAGACTAATACAGATCTAGACTAAAAATAAAAGGAGATGGCCAGTCTCATTTGGGTAGCCAGTTCAAGAAGAGTTGTCCTCTGTCTGTTGCAGCATGATCAGCAAGATCAACCCCAGGGAGACAGATCTGTTCTATGTCCAACATTATTCTACAAAGAATTGGCCAAGTAAAGATCCAGAAGGCATTGTTCTTGTTGTTTTTAGGTGTCTTCAGAGGCAGCATATTGAGTACATAATCAATTGGATTGGGTTGTACTGTAGAATAGAGATGGAGACGAATTGCAGCTCCAGTGCACTCAATGACATGATGACGGCTGGTGGTATGCAATCCACAGGAACAAGGTTGAGGACGTCCAGGAAGCCATCCCATACGCCAATGTATGAATCTACTACGTTCATAGTTAGTCATGGGAAGCCAGAGAATAGGGTCAACACCAAGAGAAGGACGGCAAGCAGAGAGAAGTATTTGTTGAGAGCGTTGCAAGAAGAGGCCCTGGTTCAAAAATGAACGAATGGCATGCTTGCAAGCTTTAGAATCAGCATTCTGACGATTGGAGAGAGACAACCAAATGGGATTAGCTAAAAGCTTAAACCATTGGTGTGCTGGGTTTGTAAGAACAGGTCGAAGAAGAGTAAACAGAGCCTCATCAGGCAACCAGAAAGCACGATATACAAACTTGAAACCAAGAGTCAAGATCCTCTCCCTCATGCTAGGAAGATTCCCAAGGTGACGGAAAACAGATGTAGAAGATGTGGAGTGACCTCCAAAAATCATGCGTAAGCATGTGTTCTGGGCCTTTTCAAGCACAGCAACTTGTTTGATGTTGAAGCAGGATATTGCCAGGCCATACTCAAATTGTGGACGAATAAACTGGCGATACAAACGAATTGAGAGTAGACGTGACAACCCAGTGTGATTGACACCAAGTGATTGAAGAGCACGCATGCTGTTGATAGCAGAGACACAATTACGAGAGATGAGAAGAGATGGATCAATAGTCCCCTTTGCTGAGAAGGGAACACCAAGGTAAGGAAACGAATGAGCATGAGGAATAGGCACATTGTAGAGAGAGAATGACAAAGGAGAAAGAGAACAAGAATGGTGAAGGATCATGCACTTGGTGGGACTCCAACGATATCCTAGCTCTTGAGAATGTTGTTCAGCAGAATTCAGAATGACAGGCATAGCTTCTGGTGTAGCAATGATGGCAACATCGTCAGCAAAAAGTAGTGAATTGACTAATTGATCATTGAGTCTTGTGGGCAGCAGTCTGATTAAATACTGTGTTACAAAGTTCCCCTGCAGCACAAAGAGCAACTGGTAGAGAATTTATGTACACAGAATAAAGGTGGGGAGAAAGCACAGATCCTTGCATAACGCCAGTCAATGGTTGGAATGATCTGGATGTTGCACCAGAAAGCAACACCTCAACTTGAACATTGTCAAAAAGACTTTGTAACAAAGCTAACATAGCATCAGAGGCAAGAGAACGTAACGATGTCCATACTACAGAATGATCAACAGTGTCATATGCAGACTTGATATCAAGAAAAGCCAAGACTGGTGGTGCTTTGAATAGAGCTGTGTGACGACGGACCATCTCATGGAGACAAAGAACTTGATCAAGGGAGCTACGTTGACGTTGGAATCCACCCTGTGCAATGTCAATTGTTGGAGACACATCTTCAAGAGGAAACTGTAGACAATATTCCATGGCTTTTCTCAGGATAGACGTTAAGCTAATGGGACGATAGTTAGCAGGGTCATGAGTATCACCCTTTTTAAAGATGGGGACAATTTGTGCAGTACGCCATGCAAGAGGTGCAGAACCCCATTGCTAACAAAGCTGGAACAAAAGACAAAGAACAGGAGAGACTTGCTTAACAATTGGGTGAAGCATTTCAGCACGAAGATGGTCAACACCAGGAGCCTTGCGTGTAGGAAGCTTGAGAATTGCACTCTCTACAGAAAGATGAGTAAAAGGACATGATTCATCAATTGCAATTGGTGATGAAATCATCACTGTCTGGTCTGGAGGGCGGCGTGCAGGAAGAAATTGACCTGAGAAAATCTGTTGAAGATGATCAGCCATTTTGTTAGCATCTACTTGAGGTCCACCTGGATCCACAAAGACAGGACTGGTTTGACGATGGCTTTTAATACGTTTCATTGTTGCTGTGGTCTTTGCAAAGTCTTGTGTTGCCAATTTGTTGCAGAATTCTTTCCATGTTTCACGTCGACGACGCTGGACTGATAACCTAACAGCATGACATGCATCCTGATGGCGCATCCAGCATATAGCCTTCTGCAAACCACTAGAATGACGCCAGCGTTGGTAGCTGCGTTCTCTCAGATCCATTGCTTCTTGAAGGTCCACTGGCCAGAACCAGTACTTTTGCATGGTACGTGGTGTACGACGACCAACAGCAGTGTCCAGAGCATCATAGATAGCTTGAGCAAAAGCAGAGCACAGAGAATCTACAGGAGGAGGAGAAGAAGAAGAAAGGAAAGCACTGAACTGCTCTGTCAGATTGTCCAATGACGCAGAAGCTGTATCAATGTAGATCTTGAGAGTGTCAGGCTGAGCAAGCTTGGAAAGATTCCAAAGTAGGCGCGGATGATTAGTAGGGGGAGGGGGAGGTGAAACATAGGGAGTGAAAGTGAGGTTGACCATTTTGTGATCAGAGCCTAAAGAAAGATCAGAACGAATTTGCATAGAAGGATTGAGAAGGGGGGACGTAGAAAGAAATAAATCAATGACACTGGAACGTGAGGTACCAGAGCCACCAGAAAGAAAGGTAGGAATACCAAATGCAAGTAATTCATTCCAACAAGTGAGACCAGTTGCCTGGATCCACTGAAGAAAAGAAGTTCCTCGCGAAGTGATAGCATGGTCACCAAGAAAGGATCCCATACGTGAATTAAAATCACCACAAAAAATAGTGTTAGAAGAAGGAATAGAAGAAGAAGAGAGGGGGAGGTCATAAAGAATAGAAATTGCATCGTCATTAGAAAGAGAAGGGGGAAGATAAATGCAATGAATAAGACAATCAAATACAATACAAGAAAGAACATAAGGAGAAGAAGAAGGAACAATAGAAATGGGGTAAGGGAAAGAAGGATTTACAAGAAGAGAAATACCCATGCAGCCACGGCTAGCATTGGGGACAGACTGACCATAGGTATGGTACTGCTGCCAAGAAGTAGGATAACGATGGGGGGACAAAAGCCACGTTTCAGTGATAAAAAGAAGGGAAGTAAGTGGAGCATATGAAAGGATTGTAGGTATGGTCTGTTTTGCAAGACCATTTGCATTCCATAATGTAATTGTTACTGGATTCATAGATCAGAGAATGAAGGGATGGTGATGCTGGCAGTATGTATAGAGATGTCCAAGTCTTTTTTGGTGGGTCGTGGGGGAACAATCTCAGCTAGTTGGTCATCACTAATCCATCCCTGAGAGCAAAAGGAACGTGCAACAGCAAACTTGACAGGAGCCCTAATGAATTCAATGGCACGTAGCATACGATCATTGTGAACATGTATAGCTTTTGTTGCCCTATCATCAAGTGAAAGAGAGGCCAGAGCTGGGTCACGGAGGTGAACAGGGTCCAGAGAATCAAAGTTATCCAAAGTAGTAACACCATAACTCGCCAAGATAGTCTTGAGCTCAGGAGCATACTCATTATGTACAAGCATTCCCATCACCTTACGATCAGGATAGTGGAGATCCAGCACACGTGCATTGCCTATCTTTAATTTCCTAAGACGTTGACGTTGAGTACTAATGGGAAGACAGATAGCATTAGGTACATAAACAATTTGAAACCCCTGATCAGCATTTTCTTTAATTGTCATGCCACGAACAACAGCAGCAATGGCCCTAGCAGTTGGAGCCCTTTTACGTGGTGTTTTAGAAACGAAAGTCTTGGTGGGTTCAGTGGAATGATGGGTCTGGGATGCAGGAAGTGATGGAAAATCAGCCTGAGAAACAACTGGAACAGAGGCAGCAATAGTAGCATATTTGGATGCTGCAGCACCAACAGAAAAATCAACATTCTCCTTTGTCAAACGTGCAATAGTGGCGTTTGCAGTAGCAAGAGCCTTACGCAACTCAATGTTCTCTTTTTGAACAGCCTCCAATGCAGAAAGACGTTCATCATAAGCCTGGAAACGGTCCCAAATATCCTGAAGAGTGGGCATTACAGTTGGAAGAACAGGTGCAATGTCAGATTCAATTTCATGGATATCTGCCATGGAAATACTATGACCCAAGATGGAAACAGAAGGGGACACAACAGGCTCACTTGCAGAATGAACTTCAGGAATTTTGTGTTGGACTGCATTGATCAAAGATTGCATGGATGAAGCAGTAAATGTTGCACCACATTTGCATTTAAACTGTGGGCTACCAGTACGAGAAGTAGACCCATTAGAAACAATTTTGCCTGTAGTCTGGCAATGTGAACAGGACAAAACATTGTGCAATTTTTTAAAGTCTGCCTTGAGGCCAGACAAAATGAGAGCAGTGGGAGTAGGGCGGCCAGTGGAATTAATCACCTGTTTTTGGGAACCAATCATTGTTGGAGGAGCTTGAAAAAAAATTTCGTGGGAACCAGGAGCAGGCAAAGCAGAAAAAGAAAGGTCTGAAACTGGGACAAAAAAGTGCGAAGTTGATGGTAAAACACCAGAACCACCTTCAGAGAAGGAGAAAAGAGCTGGAGACGATAACAGAGGTACAGGCAATCGAGATGTAGTTGGAGATGCTGACAATCTTGAGTGATTTCGGCGCAGATGTGAAGATGATTGCAATGATGATTCCAACAATTTGAAAAAAAGTCAATTAAAAAAAATGAAAATTGGTAGATATATAAAAACAACTATGACAATCAATCCTGCTGCAAAAAACAGATAGGTTTGATATAGTAGTTATAGAGAAAAAGAGGTAAAAGTAAAACTGTGCTGGGTTTGACTTTAAAACATAATTTGGTTGTGGAAGAGAGTGTGTGGTTTCTTGGTGTAGTTGGTTATCACGTCTGTCTAACACACAGACGGTCGCCAGTTCAAGTCTGGCAGAAATCATTTTTTCAGACTTTCACATCTGACATTATTTTGATGAGTCTGTCGTTCCCAATCTGGGTTGGTCTTCCTTTTACTATAACAATGTCAGAGTTGACATTGTCGTTCCTGATCTGGGATGGTCTTCCTTTTACTATAACAATGTCAGAGTTGACATTGTCGTTCCTGATCTGGGATGGTCTTCCTTTTACTATAGCAAAGTCAAAAGGTCAAACCCACTGGGGATCAAGGAGTATACGTAAAATCAAAGAGAGGATAAAAGATACTTTTTATTAGTATGAATTGAAATGTCTTATATAGTTTTCTAAACTAATACTGCGCATTATCCACAGTAGCTATTATATTATATTTAAATAAAAGAAGAGTTATTATACTGCGGTTAATGCTCAGGAAGATGTTACTGCACATAACGAGGTACTATGGTTAACCATCTTCAGATTTTATGGATTTGTCAGACATTATTTTGATGAATCCGTAAAATCTGAAGATGGTTAACCATAGTACCTCGTTATGTGCAGTAACATCTTCCTGAGCATTAACCGCAGTATAATGACTCTTCTTTTATTTAAATATAATATCTTCAAGTCTCAATCTGATATTTCTCTTCAAGCATTTGTAACTAAGTCACAGAATCAATACCACTGGTGATTGTTAAGTTTATGAATAGTTTTTAGATAGGGAAATAAAGATACTTTTTATTAAATGTATTTTTTGACTATTTATACAAAATGATAATTGATTTCTGCCTAAAAGAATAGCTACAATAATATGTCTTAGATGGTTATTGTCCAGTAATACGGTTAGTGGAAGAAATTTGTGCCCCTAAATTTAATAGTTGCATTTTCATAAAAATATAATATCTTTCTTTTATGCTTACATTAACATTACAAACTAAAAGAAATCAAAGTAAATGCATCAAGAAGAAGCCTAAGGTCCAGACTACTGGAAAAAAACACACTTATAATACTACTCATGTTATAATTGTTTATGAGAGCATTAAAAACGGCACCAACCAGATTAATATCACCAAAAAACTTGATGTAAGCCAATATGTCATGAAGTGTGTGCTGAAGAGTTACAAGAAAACTGGCTCACATAAAGCCACAGTACAGTTGGGCAGACCTCCAAAGCTAGACAAGAGAGATAAAAGAGAGATTCTACTTGAGATCAGTCAAGATCCAACACATCCATTGACCAAGATTAGCAAAAACTTGATCACACCTGTGTCAGACAATGCACTCAGAAAGTTTTTGTGTAGTGTTGGTATTTACTCTCTCAAGATGATTTGTAAGCCAAAGGCTTTGAAAAGCAATCAGAAGCAATTGCAATGTGTAATTGAACATGCTGACTAGAATGTGACATAATAGATTTCTGTCATCTGGTCTGATGAGTCACGATTCCAGCTCTACAAGAATGATGGACGTATAAGAGTTCTCAAGAAGAACAGGTCAGGCTTCAAGTCCAGTTTTGTCTCACCAACTATGAAGTTTGGAGGAGGTGCTATTATGGAAAGGGTGTTGGAGTTTTAGATGTCATGAAGGGGAATGTAGATTCCAAGAAGTATATAGACACCTTCGAAAGAGCTTATCTCCCTTCCCTTAAGAGATTTAAGGAAAAAAATAGCTAGAGAAGATTCAAGCTTCAAGAGAATAATGCCAGCTGTCACATCAGCGCCATGACAAGAGCATGGAAAAAAAAGAACAAGGTGCAACTTTTAGGCAACTGGCTACCTAAAAACCCAGATCTCAATCCAATAGAGCATGTCTGGACCTACCTCAAGTGGAAAGTTAGATCCAATAGATATAACCTATATACCACATATTATCTCAGACATGCAATTGAAAGGAAGTGGAAGAAAATTCCAAATTCATATTTGAAGAGCTTGATTAAGAGTATGAGAAAAAGATGTCAAGCTGTAATCGATGCAGATGGTGGCAGCAACAAATATTAAAAACGTGTTCTTCTTTCAAATATAATCAAACAAACACTTTATATATATTGTAAGCAATGATAAGATTCTTAGATACTATCATTGATATACTTTTTTGATGGTAAAAACTATATACATTTTCAACAAAGTCGGAAACCAAATAAAGAGGCACAAATTTCTTCCGCTCACTGTATCTTCTACAAGTATATTCACTATCTTAAACATCTAAAACATATATGAAAGACCAATTGGCAAAGTCAAGATCTTTTATCCTAAAAAGTCAACCATTACTGGTTGCTTGTAAATCCCGATTTTGGTTACCAATGTCAACTCTGGCAATATAATAGCTACTGCGGATAATGCGCAATATTAGTTTAGAAAAATATATAAGACAATTCAATTCATATCAATATGTCAGAGTTGACATCCGTAACTAAAATCAGAAGTTATAAGCAACCAGTAATGATTGACTTTCTAGGATAAAAGATCTTGACTTTGCTGATTGGTGTTTTGTCTACGTTTTAGATATTGGAGATGAGGAATATACTTGTAGAGATATTACTGGATAACCACCATCTAAGACATATTATTTTAACTATTTTTTTAGCCAGAAAACAACAATTGTTTTATATAAATAGTTAAGAGTTACGTTTAATAAAAATCATCTTTATTCTTATCTAAAAATTATTCTTAAAAACTTAATGGTCCCCAGTGGTATTGACACAGATGTTGTATGTTCTCCAGCTTCACCCACCCTGATTTATTCTCTTCTTCTTGGATCGTTTCCCTTCCTATTTTTTTTATTCTCACTTCTACATACAGTTGCGAAACAGAAAATTTGGTTGTTTTATATTTCCGCTATTTATTTCATAATACATCCTTACACTTCACTTTACTCAATCTGCTAAATTCAATAAAAGCTTTTTAATATAATGCCTAGACAACGAAGCAGTAAACCTCACAAGCCATTTTAAAGGCTTTCAGACGTTGAAAAAAGAATCTTAATTGGACTTCATGAAGATGGCATAAAGATTTCTGACATTGCAAAGAAAAAGGGAATACCAAGAACTACTGTCACACGTATCATAAAAAATACAACAAAACTGGATCTGCTACTAATAAGAAACCAACAGAAAGATCTTCTAAATTAACTGCTAGAGATAAAAATCATCTCTTCTTGGATGTCAGATGTGATTGCCATCAAAACTTGGTTGAGATGGCAGACTTGATTAAGGAAAAGACTGGAAAAAAGTCAGTACAAAAACTATCAGCCAAACGTTGCACAAGATGAATCTAGCCTACCGTGTAACCAAATCAAAGTCTCTTCTAACTAAGGAGCACATTGCCAAACGTCGTGCTTGGTATAGAAAAATAAAATGTTAGAAAAACAGTAAGATACTGTCATTTGGACAGACGAAGCAACCTTTACCGTTTTCAAGAAAAATGATCATAGTCATGCACGGCGTGAGCCAGGAGAGAAATATCATGCAGACTGCCTGACTCCAAAGGTTTCAGAAAATGGAGGTTCTGTATTGCTTTGGGGATGTATTTGGTCCAGAGGAGTTGGAACACTGGTTATGCTTAAGGGTAACATGAATGCCCCATTGTACAATGAAGTTCTGGAGAAAAAATTCATGCCCTTCTACCAAAGTCTTCCTAATATAGAAAAGGGAGACTATTTTTATCAAAAAGATAATGCGAGTTATCATAAGGCTACCTTAGCAGAAAGGTTCAAGAAAGACTTTGGATTGAAGATTTTGGAGTGGCCTCCTAACAGTCCGGACTTGAGTCCAATTGAAAATATCTGGGGTCTTCTTGATAACAAAATCCACGCAAGACGACCTCAGCCTACCACATTGTGACAATTAGAAAATGCTTTGCAAGAAACATGGAAAGCAATTAGCATAGAGACTTGTATAACGTTTTGCCTTATATGCAAAATCGTCTATCTGAACTTAAGATGCATAAATTTAGACCAATCTCTTATTAAAGCTTTTTCAATTTTTTTCAATTTATCTATCACATCTTATACAGTTATCTGTGAGAGTACCAGAGATTTATAGAACTTTACTATCTTTTATAATAAATTTAAAGCTACAATATAAGTTGAAGAGTCTTGGCAAGGGTTAAAAATGACCAAATATTCTGTCAGAAGTCTGTAATAAAGCAAGTATCTCACTATAATAATTATGTTAAAATTAAAAATGCAATGATATTATTTGTATTCTTTCTTTATTGCAGAGTAAGTTTCGAATAAAAGATTCATTTTTTGTTACTTGTAGCCTCCTTGTTGTTTTCAATGAAAAAAACAACTGGAAACTTTCTCCACTTCAAAATATAGCCACCAGCAGTTGTTTGTTTCATATTTACTATCTTGCTGGCTTTTTCGATAGTTAATCCCCTTATGAAGTAGAGATAAAGAAGCTTTTTTATATCTTTATCCATAGACTTTTGATATTGCCCTCTACTTTTTTTGGGGGTTTCGTCTGTTGTTGACGGGGCAGAACTTTTTGGATCTTCTGGCATTTCAGGCTCTTCAAGCTCTTCCATGATTTTTTCAAAGGCACTGTTATATTCTTCAAGTTTTTCGTGTAACATTGTAGGGTTTTCTGATAATAAAAGATGAAAAAATAAAGAAATAGGAAGATATGTTAAAGTGACATATTTTATATAAATATAGTTATATCTAGCACATAGCAGTTATAATTAAATAGTAATTACTTAAGATGCAAGATAAAAATCAGAACACAAGTTGAAGCAGCAAGAATAGATGTAAAGAAGATTGAGTTGTTGTTAAATAGTATTAGTCATTATATTTTCAGCTTTTTATATCAAAAAATAATATTCCAAGGTCCACTAAATAAAGTAGTACAAATTGAACTCAAGGAGATAAAAAATAAATAGGACAATATATTACCCGCAGCCATAAATTTATTATAAACATTCTTTTTTAAAAGAGATATCATAATTCTCTCTCTTTCCATTTGGTGTTTATATACCAAAACTGTTTATTTCTCTTCTTAAATCAGCAATAAATCTCATTCTCATGCTCACTTCAACAACTAAATATTACTCTGACAATGAAAACACTGCCTAAAGCTCTACACCTCATGGACTTTTTTATTATTTCCAGATCACATTATGTTTCTGTATGTAAATAAAGTCTATACCTCAGAGTCATTGATATTAATCTCTAAATAATCTATAGTATTTTGAACAAAAGCTATAAATCTGAAAAGAAAACGTGACGATTCAACCCTCCACCTACAAAGAAACTACAAGATCAAACATCTACCTGTACGATAGGAACCAGTCTACACATATTCATAATGCTTTTAAGTGCATTTCACTGACCATACTTTTTCGAAATCCAACAGTAGAATTCACTCTACCGACCACACAAAAACTTGCCAATTTTTATCTCAAATATCCAGTAATCTGATTGACTACCACAGCAATTGTATTTCTTATGAACCTGGTCCTACACAAGCATCTAATACCATTACAAAAAAGAATCCAAAAATGCTATATTTATTCAGCACCTGCTCCAACCATTTTACAATGTCAGAATCCTGATCTTCTTAATATCAAACTCAACAACTCTTTGTAATCTGCACTCAAAACAAGTAAATGTCCAACAATCTGTTAAACAACTGAAAGCGGTCCAAGAATTATGCTTTGCTCACAATACTACCCAATCTCAATTTTGGAAACCCTCATGATACAAAATACTAAAAAAAAAACCAAATATTACACACACAAAAACAGTAACAAAAAATAGCACAAGCTCATGACAAAAAAAAGAAATAAAAAAAGAGATGAAAAAAAAAGAGATGAAAAAATAAAAAAAATAAAAAAAAGAAATAAAAAAAAAATAAAAAATAAAAAAAAAGAAATAAAAAAAAAAATAAAAAAAATAAAAAAAAGAAATAAAAAAAAAGAAAAAAAAAGAAATGAAAAAAAAAGAAATAAAAAAAAAAGAAATAAAAAAAAAGAAATAAAAAAAATAGAAATAAAAAAAAGAAAAAAAAAGAGAAATAAAAAAAAGAAAAATGTAATAGCAATTTTAAAAATAATTCTCCAAATAGTATAACTAGCATTTTTATTCATAAATTTTTATAATATACAAAACCATTTTTTCGCAAATAATTTCTGAAAAACTGAAAGTCTCAATAACTGAAAGTAAAATGATATCTTACTGCAAGAAATTTCTGAAAAACTGAAAAACTGAAAAACTGAAAGTCTCAATAACTGAAAAAATGAAAGTCTCAATAACTGAAAAACTGAAAATCTTAATAACTGAAAATAAAATGGTATCTAACCGCAGAAATTTCTGAAAAACTGAAAATCTCAATAACTGAATTTCGAGCTTTTCCTTGGCTCTATACAAAAAAAAACTTTTTTTTTTTTTTTTTTTTTGGTTGGGCAAACCCATGAGGAGAAATCCCACCCCTTCCTTCGAGACAGAGGACAGGACACCATAAAGGCTCTGGTAGCACTGTAAATCGGCTAATAAAATAAATGTTCTTAAAAGTGTGAAGAAGCTTAATATGTAAACATTCATTATTCTTCAACACGTTCTTTATCCAAATATATTAAGACAACAGGACAAGACTATACCTTGGTAGAAACGTTTAAGTTATTAAAATATTTTTTTTTTTGGTATATATACCCCAGTGTCTTAATAAAAGTTTCTCAGTTATCTTTCTTCCTCAATTTTAACACCCTTTTTATTTTCAAAAAAAAATGCCTACTTCGAACAACTCCCTCGAATTTGTTATGGACAAGCACTGTGAAATGGTCAGTCACAGCAGTTCTGCAGACCAAACCCAGTTTTCTGGAATTGCTTTCGACCCCTTGTGCGAATTCAACCAAGAGATTGTCGACAAAATGCATGGAGAAGTTGTACTCCGATCTGTGACAGATGTCTTTGTCAACCATGCCGATATGGAATGGACCCGTACCTCGGCCGGAAACCCAGCAGTCACAAACCTCCTCAGTCTCAAAACTTTCCTGCCAACCGAAGTCAACGAGGCCACAACCAAGACAATTGTTGCACAGAAGCCGAAGACGAATCTGCTGGAGAAGGTCGATCCTGATTCTGTTCCCACTGCAGAAAGCATAGGTCGAGGTTCGTACCGAAAGTACAACCAAAACCAGGTGAACAAGCTCTTCTCCTTGGTTTTCTCGGAAAACCAGACTGCTGCTGCCGCTGCCAGGGAAACGGGGATCAATGTCTGGACTGCCCAGAACTATGTCAGGCTGGCCAGAGAGAAGATCCAGGCCGATTTTGATGCTGCCACAGTGGAGACTGATGAGTCTAATGGGCTGGAGACGATGGAGGTTGAGGAGGTTTCTGCGCCTAAAGAACGAAAACATGGCAACCAAAAGTTGTTCCAGGCGCACTCTGCTTTTTTTTTGAAGTTTTTCGAAAATAAACCAGATGCTACCTTGGAGCAAGCAAGGATAGCTGTCATGGAAGAGTTCTCTGGGCTGCAGATTACTAAATCAGCAATCCAGAAGCACTTGGTGAAGAAGTGTGCCCTGACAATGAAGAAGTTGGAGAAGCTGCCTGAGAAGAGAGATGACGTCAACACAATTGAGATGAGACGAGACTGCATTTTGGAGTGGCAACAACTTGCGGATTTCAACTATCTGTCGAACTGTGTGTTCATCGATGAAGCAGGCTTCAATATGCACATCAAGAGAACTTTTGGCCGTTCCGTCAGTGGCACCCCGGCTAAGACAACTGTCCCAACACAGAGAGGTGTGTCCATCACCATCCTTGGTGCAATGTGCGAGAGAGGGATTGTCAGCCTCTCATTGAAGAAACCCACTGCAGTCGCAACCAAGAAGAAGAGAAAGTTGGACATCTACACCAACGTTGAGGTGAACAGCCGAATTGGCACCAGAACCCAGCACTACCTCGACTTTCTTAGTCATACAATGGACGTTCTGGACAGCCAGGGTATGCAAGGACGTTATCTCATCATGGATAACGCTCCTATCCATAAGGCCGATGAGGTGAAAGACTTTATTTCTTCCCGTGGGTACAAGTGTGCATATCTTCCTGTGTATTCACCTTTCCTGAATCCAATTGAGGAAATGTGGTCCAAGATCAAGTTTGGTGTCTGCAGAGAAGAGATTACAGAGTCAGACGGGCTCATCTTAAGGATTACAGAATCAGCTAAGACTGTCACCCTTTCGGACTGTTTGGGTTGGATTAACCATGCTATTTCATTCTTTCCTCGCTGTTTGAACAGAGAGCAAAAGCTTTAAGTATGTCTTTTATGTCTATTTAAGCTCTTTACACTCTATGTCTTTTTTTATTTTATTTTTATTTTTTACTACTTTATGTCCCTCTTTTTCTTTTTTTTTTTTACCACTTTATGTCCCTCTTTTTCTTATTTTTTTTACCACTTTATGTCCCTCTTTTTTTATTTGTTTTACTGCTTTATGCTTTTCTTTTTTTATTACTTTGTATTTCATTATATCTTACTTCTTATTATGTGTTCTATTTCTCTATCAACTAATTATGCCTAATAAAAATATCCATGTTTTATGCCAAAAAAATACGACGTTTACAAAAAAAAATACGACGTTTACAAAAAAAAGTACGACGTTTACAAAAAAAAATACTACGGTTATATAAAAAAAATTGTAAGGCGCAAGGATAAAAAAATTGAGTGCCATGTACCCTTCCGCCAATAGTAAAAGGGGGGGAGCAAATTCAGATGGCAATGGGAGCAAATTCAGTTGGCAATGGATGCAAATTCAATTTCTATGGAAGCCAATCAGATGTCAATGGGTTCTAATTAGATGGAAACGGATGCTAATTAGATGGAAATGGGCGCCAATTGAATGGATAAAACCAGTAAATGTCAAAGACTTCCTTAAATACAACATTGTCTGTAAATACAGTATTTGCTGTTTCGTTGGAATTTGCTGGTGTATCAAGCATTATCTTGATTGTAGAAGGTTTTCTGACCTGGGATAGAGCAACATACAGCTGGCCATGGGAGAATACTGGGGCAGGGAGATATAATCCAATGCTCTCAAGAGTTTGACCTTGTGACTTGTTTATTGTCATTGTAAATGCAAAACGAACTGGAAATTGGAACCGCTGGAATTCAATTTCACCATTTGATCCAGATGGATTAAGCTTTATTCCTGGAATAAGAGATACTTGCCCGGCATTAGATCCAGTCACAATTGTTGCTCTGATGGCAGATGTTCCAAAAGAGATGCAAATCAGGCGTATACTATTACAGAGGCCGTTTTTTGGGTCAAGATTGCGAAGAAGCATGATAGGACATCCTTTTTTTAAGGACAGTGAGTGAGGCGGTAGGGATCCAGGATCAATGGTATTTAGTAGCTCAACTGGATATGTCAACTGACCATCTTCATCAATTCCCTGGTCGACGCTCTTAAACTCTTGTGCCTCTCCAGGAAACTGGCTCAGAAGAATATCATTGAGTTTCTTGACATATTTATTCTTAGGAGTAAGCAAAGCTCGGCCCATGAGGAAATGAGGGTTGGCTGCATTAGAGGAGAGATCATGGAAAACTGCTTTGGCCAGATCAGCAGGATTACATCCAGAAAGTAACATATGGGGCGGAATTGGGATGATGTCATCACCGCCCATTGTGTGGGCAGAACCACTACCAACTTGCAAGAGAAATGCTCCAAATTCCCTAAGCTTTAATGTTTCTTGTTCATTACACTGCAAAAAAATGTCCGATTCCCATACGTGATAGGATGTAAAATTCTGTGTGATTTTTGAAATACATTCTGAATATTATACAATAATTCTCAGAATGATAGGAAAACTAGCTACTAAATATTAAACATCTAGATTCTATGGATAGAATGGGTCTGTGCGCGGTCATAGAGTTCTGTTATATCTCATTATATCCGAAACCTTAATTGAATTCCGAGTTTTTTTTTCTAGTAAAACGTTACATTTATTTTGTGTATTGCCTATTTATTCTTGTTTCGGACTCATTCAAGAAGGTGTATATTTCAACAATCTTCTGATGATAGCTCAACTATCTTCTGGCAAGTATCAATCTTATTGGACGGGTACTCCATTTACAATTTGAATTTCATTATTTGATTGATCAAAAAATATACTTCTTGTACTTTTATTTAAAAATAGTTCACGGGAAATAATTTACAAATGGGTTTTTATTTTATTTTATTAAAAAAATCTCAAAATAGGTTCTCTAATAATGGGCCTTGGATAGTTGGCATTTGGTCTGGGAATTTGATCCAGACATTTGACATTGGGTCTTTGTTTTGCATTCTCGGTTGTGGGTTCTTGATTTTGGGTACTGCAATTCTACTTTGGTCATTAATAATATCTTTTATCTTTTGGGATAAATAAATGGGAATACTGCAATACCTCTTGGAATATTAAGGGAAGGGGCAGAATCTTGGGATGACCAAAATCGATTTAATCATTTTCAAAACATGTGTGTACAGATCAGATTTATTCTTTGGAAATAGAGGATCATATTGCTACGGATAGCATTTATATAATTTTTGTTGTACTCCACGTATTCCTAATAGAAAGGAAAAAAATATGATTAGTATGAGAGAATAATAATTATAAAGTCTTGCTTACCAGAAAAAGTGATTCTTTGGCATCCTTTTAATGCGTGTGTGCAAAAGAGAGATAGAGAAAATCTAATAACTTCAAAATGATAATGAAGAAAGTATAACGTTAATATAAGTGATTAGAAGATATTCTATTAAAGCTAACCATGTTTATTTCCATCATTAGCTTTTGATGGTTTTCATCATCATCGTTTTGCATCTAAAGATTAATAAGCTGATGATTAGCATCGCGCAATAAAAGTTGTTTGCTTTCTTATTCACCTTTGTAAGCCAGTGTGTTATGTTAACTCGTGCAGGAAGCTCTACATAATAAAGATGATAGAAGTTTTTTAGTGTTAATAATCATGTAAAATAAAGTAAAAAGAAAATATTAAGTAATCACCATAGTGTAGAAAAAGAAGCAAAAGTAAACAGTATAAGAGAAAGAGAGAGAACAAAAAAAAAAGAAAATAAAAAAAAAGAAAAATAAAAAAACAAATTGTAAGAGTAGTGAATAAGCTCATTCTGTTCTCAGAATTTATTAGGGTCTATTATAATTTAAAGCGTGTGTCCCTATAATTTTTTCTTTTGTTGCTGTATACCCAAGAAGTATTGGGACATATAAATACTACTTTTATTTGCCAGATTATTATATCCTCCCTCACATTTTATTAGAAACCTCACATACTATTACTGTGCTTTACCATGTATGTTTGTATAATTAAAATAATATTTCATAATATTCTTCTATATATGCTTTATTTATTTATATTTATTTATTTTTTAAAAAATATGTAAATATCTGTAGCATGCCTTCCAATGCCACTAGAAAATCAGGATGCAAAGGCAAACAGAATGCCCGAGGAACACTTAGCTGTGTTGCTGCTGGCCGGATTGAGCAATGTGAGATTGCTCCAAAAGTATTGCCACTTGCAGCTTGTCCAAGTGGGGCAGAGGCTCCTGGAATGACTGTCAAGTCCCTAACGCAGATTATGGCAGCCATCAACATGATGTACGATCGTACTGTCGAAGCCAACACTGGAATTCATTTTCTGGTCGATGCTCACAACCAAGCCATTGCCCAGCAAGCTCTTGTTGCATCTTCTGTAACTCAGAGAGTAACTGCCGCCAATTTGTCTACAAATAGACACACCAAAGGCGAAATGTGTGCAACTGTTCTGGTATGATTTTTTCTGACTTCATGCTTTAACACACTACCTAAATAATAATAATAATAATCATATAGAATCTCATCAATGGGAGAATGTGGGCGAGAAACTTCTGTTCGAATGATCCTGAGCTTGTTGCTGAAAATGAAAGCCGCAGGCGATGGAACACGGATGAGAGGATCGATCATCCTGACAATGTTGAGGTGATTAATTACCTCCAACAGTATATCGTTGCCCAGCCTCGCACAGCTGGGTTCTGGGAGGATATGATAGTGCAGAAAATAAAAAACAATTACAAGACATGTTTTCGTGCTGTCAACGCAACCCCCAAGCAAGTGTCTTCCAAAAGGCGCAATAATCATATCAACAGCCGTTGCATTGAGATAAAATTACAAACAAAAAAAAAGAAATTAAATATTTTGTATTCTGTTCCAATCATTTTAAAATATATCTAGATTCACTTGCATCATGTTGATACCTACATTAACAATTGGCTAGCAATTGACACTGAGATGGGATACAAGCCAGGTAACCCTGATGAGATGGCATACTCGCATCTCCTCGAGAAGAGTGTGATGTCTGATGGTGAATCGGAAGATGAGGACGTCACTCCTATAATCCGTGTGTGGGTTTTGCAGGTTGCTTGTCCTAGTTGGAGAAGTGCTGAGATATTTTTTTTAAAGGTGTACACTATAATATATTTCTATAAAAAGATGACTGTACAGAAATAAACTAACTAATTATACATAGCTGAACAGGCTTATTCAGTTCATTGATTTCTTGGCAGCAGAGAATGACAAGAAGATTTCAACACCACAATCAAAGCAAAGAATGCCCAGATACCTAAAAACCATTGTGGTCACTCCTGTCCCCAGTCACCTGACCACGATCCTTCCTGTCTGGGCAATTCAAAACCAATAAAAACAAACAATTTGCTCTCTTTTTTTTCACTGTCATATTAAAAAAATTGAATAATATTATTAGAAAGAAAAGAAGAGATAATTATATATTTTAAGAGTAAAGTTTTCTAGGCAAAGGAACAATAAGTTTTTTGCTGATATTTCGTAATGTTGTATGGTCAACAATTGCAACAGGAAGGAGAATTCGGTGCATTGGCAAGATGCTTTGAAAGTCAGGCAAAGAAAACGCAACATCCCATATTTCTACACCTGCAATTTTTCTACTTGTCTCCTTGGAAGCCTTGTATCATTTTACATAAGCAAATGTATGTTGGCTACTTTGGAGTGTTCTGTGATGTGGAGTAGAAACAAGTGGACTAAATGAATGAACAAATAGGTACTGAATCTCTCCAACATATGCATACTTTGCTCCGTTTCGACCTTCTATGAACATTGCTTGTATACATGATCCTCTTCCATTCGTACCTCTACTTCCCTTGAATGTCTGGCCAAGGAGGTTGACGGATTTGAGCGTTTCAATCCAGTCATTGACGAAAGCTGTATCTTGAATCACGTCTTTGCAACTGGAGATGGTGGGATAGTTGTAAACAGCTTGGTAATATCCTACCAAACAATCATACTCCTGTCTTGGCATTATCTCATACGCTTTTTTTTTGCAAGGGCAGAACTGATGATGGTAAAGGCTCATTACCACGAATTGACAAGTTCGGATTTTTGGCAGCATCAAGAAAGTCTGGTAGAGAGAACCAATTGTACAAGGTGGTGCTAGTTGTAGAATCAGCAGGACTATAACCAGTTACCAATTTATCGAAGATGCCAGAGAAATTGAATAGACCAGATGTCTTCAAGAAATTGCAAACAAAATCGCCTTTATGGGTATCTTCAATGAATGTTTTCATGTATGTCATTTCAAAGCCACTCCTTCTGTTGGTATTGATATTCTTTAGGACACTGTTGTATCGCTCGAAACTAAAGAGCCAGTACCCATAAACAGGCCCAAAGTCCTTGATTGTGTCGCGAAGATGAAGATGGAGATGCATGTTTGGAGATAACAGATCCTTGCTATACAGCCTTTCACAATCTTTACCAAACTTCTCAAGTGCTATGTGTGCTGACTGTACATCATCTTCGGAAACATTTGGCTTGGTAAGGAAACAGCAGGCATTCACAAAAAACATCCAATTCTCAAACTTTTGCTTTGGTAGTATGCCTTGTAGAACCACTGGAGAGTATACCAGACACCACGATTTCCACTCGTCTGCCTTCATAAAGGGAAATCCCTTTGAAATCTTTGATCTTAGCATGGTGTAATCAGGCGGCAATGTCATGTTTTCAATGATTTTCTGCATGGCAACGAGTTTTTTATTGTCAATTAGACCATCTGCAACCCATTTCTTCATCATCCTCTTGACTGTACCTAAGAAGAGATTGTGCATTGGATCAATGATCGTGCAGTGGACAATGTCAAAGTACTGGAGACGATGCAGTTTGGACCAGCAAACACCATTTTCAACTTCAAGACGATGTCTCTCAGCTTCAGTGGTTGCATTCCTCCAGACCTCAGCATCCTTACAATTATCATTCTTAGTGCGAAAGAGCCACTTTGAGAAATCAAATCCAGAATAATTGACAGAGCTCGTTCCAGCTAATTGGGAGAATTGGCAATTACATTTGTGGCATGCATTTGTACTGGTATGGGATGTGAATCCACACACTTTTCGAGCAGCAGGGATGTCGCAGGCAACCATAAACAGAGCAGCGCAGATGGTGGTACCATTTGGGCATTGATATGTCTGGACTCTGACTCTCTTGTACAACTTTTCTAATTCGTCAACCAGAGGTCTGAGGTACAAATTTATCTCGGATGTTTTTGCTTCTTTCCGACCTGGCATTAACCCAATGAGAATGACATTTTCTTTCTTGAATCTTACACTTCGAGGAAGATTGTTTACAGCCAGGTAAATTGCACCACACGAATATGTCACACCGTCGAATGGCTGGAACCAGTCAATGTTTAAGACCAACATCAGTGAGCAGTTGCCATGAACAAAGGGAATTCCATTGGTGTCTTTCAAATCCTTCCACATCAAGCCATCGTACACATCAAACATAGTATTCTCAGCCTTTGGGCTACGGTTCCACAAGTCGATTTGGGTTTCAAAATCAGGCTGAGAAAAGAGAGCTTTGATCGAACTCTGAACAGAGTGATACACATATGTTCTTTTTGGAATGGACGACTGATTTCCCAACTTGAACAAACTATTACCGCACATTGAGTTATTCCCAAATTTATCAAAGATACAGAAGTGGGGTGTTGATTCATCGTTCTCATATATGCTGTGACATTTGCTACAAGAAACATATTTCTTTATACCATCTGTAAAGGTATTGAATCCTGCCATGCTTTTGAGACCAGGGATGCTAACTGGGAGATGGAATGGATCTCTGAAAAGCTCAAGTATTTTGTTCATGATGGCAATGAGAAGAATGGCACCTTCATCGATGACGTACAAGGATACAAAGAGTGCAAGGACCTGTACAATAAAACGATAGATGAGACTCAATTCTGAGTTGAATTCAGGAAAGTTGTCTTTTTTAAAAAAAATTAATTTCTATTATTTTATACAGCAGAACCCAATATCCATTATGAAAGTGTGCAAACCTTCACTATCAAGCATGTCATCCTCACTGGAATCGTCTTTGCAACTGTCAGAATCAAGATCAGAGTTAAACTCTTCATTCTCATAACCAAAGACAGCATCGGATTCTGAGAGAGGTAAGACTCAAATAGGCTCTTGTGTCTCCATGTCTACTTCTATACTGGTGTCCATTTCTACCAGAACCATAAAAGAAGTTAGAGCAAATAAAAATAAAAATAAAAATATATATTTTTACCATCAAAGTCATAATCCATATCATAATCATTGTCTATGGCCACCGAGTTCTGTTCATCATTGTTGATAACTTCAGGAACATAGCTTACATTAGTTTTGACTGATCTCTTAATAATCACTACATTACATATGTTATTAAATCGAAAATATAAATATAAATATAATTAAAACATAAAAGAAAATTCTCTACATCTATTACGAAAGATGTTTATTCCAGCATCATCTCTTCTTTTATGAAAATTAAATGTCTGTACAGACACTGTATCTGATCCTTCAAATCTTGTCTTGCAAACAGAACATTTGCATTCTTTTGTTTTGTTTGATTTATGGGTTGGTGTCATTGCTTAATAATTATTAAAATAATATTATTTTTTAAACAGTAAAGAAGATAAATATATATTCAGGTACAGTTTATTTCATTCAATTTAAGTTTATTATTGTATTTTTTTATGCTACTCAGTGCTCTATGACCAATAGAATTGTTTTAAAAAATTGCAATGCTTATTCTACAAAAAAAAATCCTGCACTACAAATTTGGGTTTTCTGTCCACCGAATTTTACATCCCATCACGTATGGGAATTGGGCATTTTTTGCAGTGTTATTTGCTTGGGCAATTCGCATGTTTGTTGTAAGCTGCAAGGTTTTTACATTTCTCCATGCAGATACTTTCTTAATACATTGGCTTACAACCTGAGCTCTTGTTGCCTTGGGTATAACAGGAAGGACCTGCCAAAAATCGGCTCCAAAGACAAACAACTTCCCTTCAAATGGAACGTTTTCAAGCAATGGATCGACAGCCTTCATTATATCTTGCATGGATCTGCTTACAGTATTAAAAACATCTTTACTAATCATAGAAACTTCGTCTCAGATAACCAATTCCGTTCTTCTAATAAGTTGTGCTGTTTGTGAGTTTGCGTTGATGGAGCATAAGGAGTTAAGATCAACTTGCACTGGAATCTTAAACCTGGAATGTGCTGTACGCCCACCGTCTAACAGCAATGCAGCAATTCCACTTGTTGCTACTGCAAGAGCAATTTTTCCTTGTTGGCGAGTTTTTTGAAGCAAGGCATTAAAGACAAATGTCTTTCTCGTCCCACCTGGACCATCAACAAAGTACAATTTTGGGGCTCCCACGTTTTCTTCAATTGCACTTAATACTGTTGTATAAACACGTCTTTGTGAATTATTGAATGTCAATGTATCTGGATCTGGCAAAACCTGGGCTTGATCGCATAAATCTTCTTGTTCTTGTATGATGGCTTGAACATCTTGCCCATTTGGGCTAAAGTGCTGGATGTCAGGCATTGGTAAAAGAACAAATCCAGTGAACAACATGAGAGACATAGAGTTGGCAGATAGATGACTTTCGGTATCCCGTAAACATCTGTCAAACATATCTTGTGTGGGGGCTAATGCAGGAATTCCACTACTTTCTCTTGCCAAATGAAGATAATCTTCAATCATAGAATCGCGATGAGCAAGCCACAAAGAGAAAGGATCTGATACTGCACAGAAAATCAAAAGAATAGCAAAGAGTCTTCGTAAAGAAAATGGGATCTGATGAGCTGCTGTCACTTCCATACAGTTACTCCACTCATCATCATTCAAAAGTAATCCCAGAGCACGACATGCAGCTTGGTTTGTTTCATACACACATCCTTCTACTGTATGTATGTCTTCAAAGCTTTTGGCCCCTTTAACATTATGCAGCAGTAATTGTAACAAATATTTTTCAATATCTCTCAGAGACACTGTGTAAACTCTGCCAATCGTTCCTTTATCAAACCTCTTAGGTGCTGTCCATTTTCGTTCTTTTGTATTCCATACATAAAGAGAAGAAAAGTCGACGTAAAGAAGTTTTTCAGATGATGGGTGTGTAGCATTATAGTCGAAATATCCCATTAAAGTAGTGTTTTTTCTGGAATTTGGAACATCCTCTGGGTTAGAGGATGGATTATAATATACGGGTTGGGCATTTTCCAGATGGATTGAAAGTCGTTGATGGCTGGGATACTCTTGATGAAGCTTGAAAGAAAATATTTTCCAGCATGCTTCAGAAGCGGAGACATACCGAGCATCAAGAAACTCATTAACTTTGTTTACATGCTCTTGTTGTTGTTGTGGAGCGGAATTGGTGGGTGTAGGCTGCACACAGGCCATTGCACGGTCATGTCCTTTATATACATATTTGTAGAGGTATTTTACGGCAGAAACAGAGGTGCTAATCTCAACATTTATATGAGCATTGTATTTTGCACATATGTATCTATTGTGTGGAACAACCCATCCATTATCCATGATCTTTGGCCCTCTTCTAATAACTCTTCCATTTCGACTGCGTTGATAAATAGGATATCCGTTTCCACCATCGCTAGTCTCATTGCAAAGCTTTTTAGGATAATTCTTTGAACAGATCACATTCTTCATGCATGGTGCTTTTGGATATTTCTTTCTGCATGAGCCATGCATCATGCATTTTTTTACTGTTTCATATGCCAATGGCTCAGTTTCAGGATCTGGGATTTCAGCCGAAACTATTCTGTCAAAATCTTCTATTGTTTTTGGTTTATCTTGTGGTCGCAAAATCAAAAGAATGTGGGCATGAGGAAGTCCGCGCTTTTGGAATTCAATGACATATATAAAGGCCAAAACTTTCCCAGAATATTTTTTTTGTAAGGTCAATCATGAGCTCTTTGAGCTTTATATATTGAAAACCCAAGAACAAAGATCTGGTCTGTCATTAGCTTTTTGCCCAGCCATCAGGGAATTTGTGATTTCTGACCACTTTGAATTGCAAGTGAAAGTTATGAACAAATCAGGCTTGCCAAAATGACGCACAATACTCATTGAATCTTGATAAAGCTGAGCCATATACCAGGGGCTACCAATAAAAGATGAAAGAATAACTCTCTTTCCAAGATTTGCAAGATTACAATCGTTATGGATAACAGCATCCTGAATTCCACTATAAAGATCTACACAGAGACGATTTTGATTGCTGGTGATGAAATGCAGCTGATTGTGCTCAACTTTGGCGTACATATCAACAATATATTGTTGAAAGAGGCAGCCAAAAAGATGGAGGAGGTGCTGTGTGTTGCGTTGATACATCAAACGGTTTGAGTACTATTGCATTACTGTAACATGCTCTCCTGACAATGAGCTGGCATCAATGGTCCAACCATCTTCACCATGTGAAAAGAGTAGCACATAGTGTAAAGCATCATAAGATTGGTGGTACTCATTGATGTTCTGTTGGAAGTTGGCTCTGGTATGCAGCACAATGTCTCTTGAAGTACCCTCTTCATTATTCATAATAAGAACTGCTATTTCACTTGCAGTTGGAGCATTGTACTGTCTTTGATCCCGAGGCCCCTCAGCTACTAAACGCAAAGTGAGATCTATAGATTGTCCCTTTTCCCAAGAAATTTGATCCATTGTTCTGAAGAGATGTACAAATGGATTTGTTTCCATAAGAATGGACTGAATCTTCTCTAAAAAACTTCTCTCCAATTGTGGGGAATGATACTGTCTTTGATCTATCTGAGCAGCACTATCATAAATATAGATCTGAGCGAATTTTGGGTGAGCAATATCAGATTCTGTCACTGGCAAAATAGATCCAATTCTATGACAAATTGTTCCGTGAATCCGGAAGTTGTATGCCCCATTGATATTGTTGCCAACAGAGGTATCAATTTTAGCTCCCAAAGAAGTAAAGCTCATTGTACTATTATAGCTTTGAATGTTTTCAAGAAACTTCTTTCCATCACGTGTTCTATAGTTCAAAAGCTCAGAAATTCCTGTAGGTGTTGGCTCAATTTGGGGGAGAACATGCTTTCCTTTGTTACAACACATAGAGAACGTGGGGCTTCTTAAAGAAGAATGACTGTTTTTTTCATGTGCCCACATCATTGCCCCACAAAATTGACACTCGATATCCATATCTCCCTTGTTATCAACTGCTGATTCTGAAATAGCTGGAAGTTGGGCAATATTATTTAAGCCTCTGCCTCGATTTCTAGATCCTCTTGCTCTGCTACTGTTATTGTTTGGACAAAATCTGCTTGTAATTCGGCAATGATCAGTTCCATTACAGTGAGGACAATAGGGTAAAATTGATTCTCTATTCACAGTTGAAATCTCCTCAACTTCTTCTTCTCTTCCAGTCACTTCTTCATCAGATGAAGTCTCCTCAATCTCTTCTTCCATGACTGCTTCAAGAACTTCAGTAATAGTCTCATTTGCGAGTGGAAATTCAGTCAACTCAGAAACTGAAATAGAAGTCGATGTTTCTATGTCCAAATTTTGGTCTTGGACAGGCTCAATTCTTATTCTCAAGGCAGCAGCTATTTTTTTATAAACACATTTATTATTAAAAAATATATATAATACTTGTAGTAATACGCATAAGTGTATAAATAAATAGTTACTTTGGCTACTTTCTGTAGGATATTCATCTACATTAGTTCTCTTTTGAGGAATGTGGAGAGAAATGTTCTTTGGGTTCATGAGATATTGCTTATGAGTACTTCTGCTATGTCCAAGCATATGGCAAGCAGCACAATGACGTTGAGTAGATGACATTTTATTTTTCGGTTTTTTTTTTCAAAGTTAGAGTTTGGTTTGATAGTTGTATAAGTTTTTTGGCAATAGTTTGTAAAATAAATTCAAGGGGTTAATATCTCAGTATATCATATGACATAGTAATGTCAGGAGCGGATTAGAATTAGCACTCAGTTCCAATCCTACCCAATCAGAAACAACTACTCCAACCGCAGTAGTTGGGTGAGCAAGGCCAAGAAGAAGAAGATAATCATTGCTCAGCAAGATACTGCAGCAAAAGGACTTAGCTAGAATCTAGGATACTGCGGCATCTTATAAATTAATATAAATATCACAAATATTATCACAAATAAGCATTATCTTTATATTCATATTTCATTCTATCTTATTATTTTATTGTGTCACTTCTCGCATATTACAGTAAAAGTGCTGGATTTTAGATGTGAATAGATGTTTTACAGGCAAATTCGTATATCACGTGATGCTGCTAATTTTGATTGATTTTAGATATATAAATAGATGTTTTACAGGCAAATTCATATATCATGTGATGCTGCTAATTTTGATTGATTTTAGATATATAAATAGATGTTTTACAGGCAAATTCATATATCACGTGATGCTACTAATTTTGATTGATTTTAGATATATAGATATTAGGTTCAAGAATAAAACGATTAATTAAAAAGGGGGACTCATTAATTTTCATTTTATACTCATTTTCATTGGCTACAGGTTTAACATCCGCTTTCCAAATCCTAATCCAAATCCGAATCCTAAGAGATAATGAAACCCCCTATTATGTTTCTGCATGTAAATAAAGTTTATACCTCGGAGTCATTGATATTAATCTCTAAATAATCTATAGTATTTTGAACAAAAGCTATAAATCTGAAAAGAAAACGTGACGATTCAACCCTCCACCTACAAAGAAACTACAAGATCAAACATTTACCTATACAATAGAAATCAGACTACACATATTCATAATGCTTTTAAGCGCATTTAACTGAGCATACTTTTTTGAAATCCAACAGTGGAATTCACTCTACTGACCACACAAAAACTTGCCAATTTTTATCTCAAATATCCAGTAATCTGATTGACTATCACAACAATTGTATTTCTTATGAGCCTGGTCCTACACAAGCATCCAGTACCATTACAAAAAAGAATCCAAAAATACTATATTTATTTAGCATCTGCTCCAACTATTTTACAATGTCAAAATCCTGATCTTCTTAATATCAAACTCAACAACTCTTTGTAATCTGTAGTCGAAACAAGAAAATGTTCAATAATCTGTTAAATAACTGAAAGCGGTCCAAGAATTATGCTTTGCCCACAATACTACCCGATCTCAATTTTGGAAACCCTCATGATATAAAATACCAAAAAAAAAACAAATATTACACACACAAAAACAGTAACAAAAAATAGCACAAGCTCATGACAAAAAAAAGAAATAAAAAAAGAGATGAAAAAAAAGAGATAAAAAAATAAAAAAAAAAGAAATAAAAAAAAAATAAAAAAAAGAAATAAAAAAAAAGAAATAAAAAAAAGAGAAATAAAAAAAAGAAAAATGTAATAGCAATTTTAAAAATAATTCTCCAAATAGTATAACTAGCATTTTTATTTATAAATTTTTATAATATACATAACCATTTTTCCACAAATAATTTCTGAAAAACTGAAAGTCTCAATAACTGAAAAACTGAAAATCTTAATAACTGAAAATAAAATGGTATCTAACCGCAGAAATTTCTGAAAAACTAAAAATCTCAATAACTGAATTTCGAGCTTTTCTCTGGCTCTATACAAAAAAAAACCTTTTTTTTATTTTATTTTATTTTATTTTTTTGGTTGGGCAAACCCATGAGGAGAAATTTCACCCCTTCCTTCGAGACAGAGGACAGGACACCAGAAAGGTTCTGGTAGCACTGCAAATCAGCTAATAAAATAAATGTTCTTAAAAGTGTGAAGAAGCTTAATATATAAACATTCATTATTCTTCAACACGTTCTTTATCTAAATATATTAAAGCAACAGGACAAGACTATACCTTGATAGAAACGTTTAAGTTATTAGATTGTTTTTGGTATATATACCCCAGTGTCTTAATAAAAGTTTCTCAGTTGTCTTTCTTTCTCAATTTTAACACCCTTCTTATTTTCAAAAAAAATGCCTATTTCCAACAACTCTCTCAAATTTGTTATGGACAAGTACTGTGAAATGGTCAGTCACAACGGTTCTGCAGACCAAACCCAGTTTTCTGGAGTTGCTTTCAACCCCTTGTGCAATTTCAACCAAGAGATTGTTGACAAAATGCATGGAGAAGTTTTACTTCGATCTGTGACAGATGTCTTTGTCAACCATGCCAATATGGAATGGACCCGTGCCTTGGCCGGAAACCCAGCAGTCACAAACCTCCTCAGTCTCAAAAGTTTTCTGCCAACCAAAGTCAACGAGGCTACAACCAAGACAATTGTTGCACAGAAGCCGAAGACGAATCTGCTGGAGAAGGTCGACTCTGATTCTGTTCCCACTGCAGAAAGCATAGGTCAAGGTTCGTACCGAAAGTACAACCAAAACCAGATGAACAAGCTCTTCTCTTTGGTTTTCTTGGAAAACCAGACTGCTCAGAGAGAAGATCCAGACCGATTTTGATGCTGCCACGGTGGAGACTGATGAGTTCACACTGCAAAAACAGATCAATTTCGCATATGTAAAGTATACCTAAGTTCTGATAGACAGAATAGGTAAAATTGTAGTTCAGCTCACTTTTGTGAGTAAAGTATTTGAATAGTATTTTAAGCTACTCTATTGGCTACTGGCAGCTGTGTAGCATTAGAATGCAACATCAAACTCAAATAAAATAAAAGTGCGTTTTCTTTGAAGTCTCTTTCTTTACTATTAAATACTATTGTAAACCTTTCTTTTCATTTTAAAATGGCTCCTATTCGCAAACCAACTGTTAGAAAAGAGTGTCGATGCTCTATCTGTAAAAGCAAGACACTAGGATTCGATCGTGTATCTGTTAAAACATTTAAACGTCATCAAGAAAAAGATAATCATGATATTACACATGTTCAAACGCGTACGGTTAATACATTTGCTTTACTTTACTTTATTTTATTTTATTTTATATCATTTCCTTTTTTATTATTTTATATAATAATAATAATAATAATAATAATAATAATACTAACACTAATAATAATAAATGTGTAGCCCATGAAGACACATGCAATACAATTAGTAGTGCTGTTTCTGAGCCTGTAAATCGAGAGGAAGATAGTTTTGAATTTGAACAGGAAGATGTTGAAATGAATTCTGAGCTTAGAAGTAAGAAAACTTATTTTATTACATTGATTTATTTGGGTCTAACATTCCGCTTTTGTAGACCTAAATGACACAAATGACATTTTGGATATATGGACAAGAAACCAACCTTTCTCTGAAACGGATTGCATGTTTGGCCCTGAAGATTATGTCCAGTATACAAGTGACACTTACGAAGAAGAATATGAAGATGAATCCGATGTTGAGATGGATAATGATGAAGGTAGGTACACAGCTTTAGATAATATTATATCCTAGAAAATAGAGAGTTAATCAACGTTGTTGTAAATGAGTATTGACTACTGCTGTAATTGAGAATAAGTCTGAAGGAAATAATATAAGGCCTCAGCTATTCCAGTCAAAGGTGTCTACCGATTACTTTATTATTTAACACACAGGTTTAGCATGCATGATAGTGATTATATTTCATATGATGATATCACCATAATATGGGATACATCAGTGGATTATTATAAGCATAATTATAACTCATAAACACATTTACTTTTGATGTTAATACTTCATTGGGACTACACACATTTATATAATTAATCATACATTAATTATCCCAAGATCACGTTGCTCTGATTAAGGCTCAGATAGGATCGATTACCTGACCCCAGTCATATAATTTTCCCAATCCAAAACAATATAAATAGCAGTAGTAGTTCAGTGTAGGAACCTGGTCAAACTTTGATACAAAATCTTTCTCAATAAACAAAACCTACACAAGTTCTCACGAATCTTCGTTCCTAATTTCAAATCTTCAATTCTTCCTCTTAAAAACTTCTTCAACTTCAACCACCACAACAAACGTTCTTTAAAAAAAATCAAATTAAAGATTCTTCGTTGGAATCAATCTCGGAATTGAATTTGATTCACCGATTCATTGTTATTTCGGTTGCTCTTTTTGTCTTGCTATACGTCATGGATGAAGGAGCTGTAATCCTGATTGCCATAATCAACAAGATACTGCAGTTTTTGTTTGACCCATTCCGCCTTCCAGTGAGTGTTGCTGGCCTCAAACGTTTGGCTGGATTTGAAGTGTTGACAAGTGGTGTCAAGAAGTATGTTGCATGTAGTGAATGCCATGCCATATATGATAATGAAGCCGCCCCTTTGTGTTGTACATCACCCAATTTTGGTAAAACCTCCTTGTGTGGCAACAGCTTGTTTAAGTCTGGTCCCGGGTCAAAAGCACCCAAAAAGACATATGTATTCCACTCTGTCAAGAAAGCCCTAAAGACGTTTTTTCAACGCCCGGATTTTGAAAACAACATCAACTCATGGAACCGCGGCCCGAAAATGGATAGCACTTTGTTTGACGTGTACAATGGTGCGATGTGGAATGAGATAGTAGACGTAGATGGTATACCTTTTGTTGATACCGAGCAATCACTCATGCTCACGCTGAACATTGACTGGTTTCAGTCATTCGATGGTGTTACCTACTCCTGTGGTGCCATATATCTTGCAATCAATAATCTTCCACGCAGTGAGCGGTTCAAGAAGGAAAACGTGATTCTTGTTGGGTTAATGCCAGGGCCTAAAGAAGCAAGCACTTCTGACATAAATAACTATCTGAAACTGCTTGTGGATGAGTTGATGGAGCTGTACAAAGGTATTAAGATTAAGACTCACCAATGTCCAAATGGTACTTCTATCCGAGCAGCCCTTCTCATGGTTGCCTGTGATATACCTGCTGCAAGAAAAGTATGTGGGTTCACATCCCATACAAGTACAAATGCATGCCACAAGTGTAAGCGTCAATTTTCGAGGTTGGCTGGAACGAGTTCCATTGATTATTCTGGATTTGATTTCTCAAAGTGGCTCCTTCGCACTAAGAATGACAATTGTAAGGATGCAGAGATCTGGAGAAATGCAACCAAACCAACTGAGAGACAGCGTCTTGAAGTTGCACATTGTGTTTGCTGGTCCGAACTGCATCGTCTTCAGTACTTTGACATTGTCCGCTGCACGATCATCGATCCCATGCACAATCTTTTCTTAGGCACTGCCAAAAGAATGCTGGAGAGATGGGTTGCGGATGGATTAATTGATGATAAAAAACTTGTTGCCATGCAAAAGGCTGTTGAGAAGGTAGTGTTGCCGCCCGATTACATGTCACTTGGGACAAGGATTGCCAAGGGATTTCCCTATATGAAGGCTGATGAGTGGAAGTCTTGGTGCCTTGTGTACTCTCCTGTGGTTCTAAGGGATGTGTTGCCGTTGTCAGAGTTCAAGAACTGGATAGAGTTTGTTAACGCATGCAGATACTTCACCAAGCCTAATGTTTCTGAAGAAGACATTGAGAAAGGACACAAATGCTTAGAAGAATTCTGTAAAGGGTGTGAGACATTGTACGACCTGGACCTTCTCTCTCCCAACATGCACCTGCATCTGCACTTACGCCAAACAATGATTGACTTTGGGCCCGTCTATGGCTATTGGCTTTTCAGCTTTGAAAGGTACAATAGTGTCCTGAAAAATATCAAGACCAATCGAAGAAACGGGTTCAAATTGACATTTATGAGACAGTTTATTGAAGAGTCGTGGAAGGGAGATTTTGTGCATCGACTTCTGAAACCTATGCATGCACTTGCATGTTTTGAAATTTTCGATAAGTTCATCACCACCAACAACAACACCAACACCAACACCTACCTCTCTCACTCTTTCTCAATTTCCAAATATCTTGAAGCTTCACAGAATATTTCAATGATAATTCGTGGAAACGAGCCCCTGCCACCATCCACCTTGCCATTGAAAACAAGACCATTATCATTTATGCCAAAACATGAATATGATTGTCTTGTAGGATACTATCAAGCTGCGTACAAGAATCCACAGATCTCAGGTTGCAAAGATGTAATTGATGACTCACCTTTCGTCAATGACTGGATCGAAATGGTGAAGTCCGTTGATCTTCTTGGGCAAAGCTACAAAGGGTGCATTGGCACGAATGGCCGCGGATCATACATACAAGCATATTTCACTGAACAAACTGGGTCGGAACATGCGTATGTTGGAGAGATTCAGTACCTTTTTGTTCACAATTTTAGGCCAACTGTTTCTTCTCTAACATACAGAAATCCCCATAGTAGTCAGCATGTATTTGCATTTGTCAAATGGTTCAAATCCACTTCGGACAAAACAAGAGAATTAGAAGGAGTTGAGTTGTTACAGGATGAATTCTACAAGCAAGATTTTCAAAGCATCCTGCCAGTACATCGGATTCTCCTAACAGTTGCAATAGTAGATTACAAAACTACAAAAAATGTCAACAAAAAACTTGCGATTCCTTTACCAAAAAAAATTTACTATTAATTCTCATACACACACTTACTTATATATTTATCCCCTATTATTATTATTTCCTTTAATCAATTCAATTTCAATTATTACTATTTGGCCCTACAACAGAACAAAGTAAAAAAGAAAATGTTTATTCATCGTTGATTGCCCAACGAGGCAATGACTGGGACAGAGTGGCAGGAACAGAGCAAGGCAACAATGTTGCTGGATATCTGTTCATTCTTGGCTTTGTTCCCACGCCCGCATTTAACACATGATGGGTACGATCAATGTTGTCAACCATTGTCAACAATCTGTTGAACTGTATTTGTGGTGATCCAGACACTCGGATGTTGGATTTATCACATATAAGAACATATTCATATTGGGATAGCGTAGTAGCTATCATCTTGTCAGTATAAAATATATATAAATAATTAAGTAATCAGCCCAGTAATTATTACAGTTAGTACTGTAGATAATATTTTAAAGATTGTTAAGATAATTATATCATACTGCCAGGTAAACTGTGTCAGATCGATATGGAGCTAATTTAGTAGGAAGTCCTAAAGCTCTTGTATAAAAGAGAAAAGAATAGCTAAGAGCTAAAGAAGTACAATTTATGACTTGATGTCATAATTGTAACACCAACACTAGTTAAGCAGTAAATACACTCTAATAATCAAATATAGTAAAGAAAGAAAGTCTTAAGAAACTAAGACATAATGACAAGAGCAGATTGTGTTTTCTTATAAAAAGGGACACTTTTTATTTATGAATAAAGACAAATGATATACAGTCTCAAAGTATTTCTATACGTCTCTATTATCAAATATTTTATTTTCTATTGTTTTGTACCTGAAATATCACAGCTATCATTCTGTTGAGGGGATGATTTTAGATAATATGTTTTAAAAGTGTTAGACTTGAGACTCCAGTTTGCATGACTCTTGACATAGGACATTGTTACTCTCTCTTCTACTGCCTTTGTACTTGAAACCAATCAAATAAAATGTGTTTTATACTTAGTAGTATCTACCCCCACTCTAGTCATTGTCTTCTGAACCCAAGATGCTACTTTGAAACTGCTTACAGAGTTGATTTTGTGAGGGTTGTTAATATATACCAGAAAAAAGATGTGGTCATCTGGTAGCTGTTGTCATAATTGAACAGTTTTTCCCATGAATGTATAGAGTGTGGAGACTAGATATAGATTGATATCTGCCATAAGACTGAGAAAAGTGGATTTTGCCTGCGTTTCTTTTGCTTCTCTAAAATGTATGGTTCCCAAGATTGGTTTGTTGATATGTAGTTCAAGTTGCACATCTTTATATAATAGTCAGCTCACATCAGATCACGGTTGAGTCATAGTAATAAGACATATCAGGATGATTGTTTTCTGCTGTAGATTATATAGATTGATGTCTTTATCAGAAGGTCATTATTTCTTTATAAACATCATGAGAAGCTTGGTATCCCATGTTTGCTACAAGTGTTTTTCTGGAATTAAAATTTCTTTATGCTTCTTGGTCTTAAAAAACTCAACGATTCAGTCCTGATTTGTGATGTGTATTTGTTTTAGATAAATTATATTGAATACGGAAGCAATTGAGGAACACAAACCATTCAAATATTGATATGAGAAATTACTGTTGAACTTGAGAAACATCAATACCTTTTTGACATTGTAATCCTCAGGGGACATTATAGGTTTCTGAGTTGCATAACAAGTGATCTATTTTTTCCAACCCGAGTTGTATACACTACATGTATTTTTCCTATGAGCATGAGAGAGGAAGTTAATGATATCTTTATCTAGTTGATCAACAGTCTTCCTCTTGTTGCAGATAAGTTCCATGCAATTATTCTCTATCTGTCTCGTTTGAATATCATTGGTTGGTTCTTGTGTTTCATTTTGAGTATGGTAGGGAACCAATACTAAGTAGATTAAAATGACATGACAAGTATTGCTTGTTGTACTTTTTAGTATTTGATTTGTTGGATCGTTTTAGGAATGAACTTTCAGGGTGTGAAAAGATACATCCCTTTTGCAAGCCACGTCTGTTGGAAGATATCCAACACTAGCACCTCAGGGTCTGGTCAAAGACTCCAGAATTGTGGCAGCTGACAGTTGAGTCTGCTCACAAAGGCGTCTATCAACAGCGGTCCCCATCATTTGTCTATTTGATGAAACATTTGCCTGGAATTGTGGTCTTGTAAATCAACCAATTTTTCTGATGTTTTTGTCGGCTTAACCAATTGGCCTTGTTGCTGTTCACGCCTGGGATATGGTCGTATTCAACGTCCAAATTGAAGTCATTGCAAACGTCTTGAATGTTTACTGCTAGGTTTTGTAACAAAGTTCAGACAGTTTCTCCTAATTTTGAGCTGTACTTTGGTGTGGTGATATTGTTGGTAAAAATCTTCAGTTGTTATCCCCTGTTGTGTTTTGCATGTAGCTTGAGAGCAAAGTAGATGACAATGAGCTCTTGTATATTTATAAAGTACTCTTTTTCTGTTTGTGACCATGGACCAGTTGCCTGAACCAACGTTGAGGTTACCCCCCCCCCCACTCAAATCTAAGACGTCTATGTAAATTACTGACTGAGGAGTTCTGTATGATAGTATCTTCTGAATTGGCAGGTCATTCTTCTTGTGTATCAATTCCTTCCACCATTTCAATTACTTCCTGCTCTTGTGTGACAATCTCATAGGTGCGTCCCAATTCTGATGGTGATAGTGTAAACTCGTTGCTAAATTACTTTGCATATGACAAATATGAAGTAAAGCTTCCCCTATTACTAGAATCATAGATGTCATATTTTTCATCAAACTGACATACCATCTGCAGTTGTATTGACTGTGTGTGCTGTTCATGGCTTGTCTCAATTGCCCCATTAATTTGGTTATATTTTTGAGTGGTACAGATATTGTCAAAGTCTTCATATAGAAAACAAACCTCAAGAACTTCTGTTGCTGCAAAGGAGTCATCATACTGTTCTGGTAGTTTATCAAAAAACCTAGGCGTTCTAAGTGCGATACTACTGTTTCAGTATGTATCATGGCTTCTGTCTTTGTCAAGCCCAGAATGCAAATATTGTTGGGATAGAATACTAGACAGATCCCCAATTGCCGCATGGGTTCTATAGCAATGACCCCTCTTGAACTGACACTCATTCCAAGTGCTAGTGTCTTGTATTGATATACTTGTCCTTGGTTCTGAAAAGTCAAATAATTTCTGGTGTTTTGATGAATAGGTGTTACAACATAGGCATCCTTGAGGTCCAGTTTGCAAATGAAATCCTTTGCCTCAATAATGTCTCGCAAGGCTGGGACTCCCTCCATTTTGAAGTGTAGACATTGAATAAAATTGTTGATATTCTGGCAATCTAAGATGGGTTGGCGTTTGTGGGTTTCTTGAATGATAAAAAAGTTCAAGAGAAAATCTATGCTTTGAGTGCATGACAGCTTGATTATCTTGGTCTGCAAAAATTTGTCTACTGCTTTGTTGACAGCTAATTGCTCTGTAGAGTTTAAATGAATTTGACATAATCACCATGGTGTTGGTTTCTTTACTAGTAGTATCCAATACCCATATTGTATTACTTATAAGGGCCATAGATAATTTGTTGTTAGGCATCATTAGGAAGCAAACCATTAAAGTCTTCCATCTGGTGCAATCCCATCAATAGGAATACTGTAGTGTGCATTGTTTATTAGTTGTTTGGGGAGTTGTGGTTTGGTGGATTGGTCTGCTGAGAATTGTTGTGATTGTGTGAGTGTCCTGCTCTGTTGTTTGATGGACCCAATCCAAAAAAAGAATTGCATGATCCACTGTTTTCTTGTCCGTACCTGCCAAAACCTCTTTGTGATCCTCAAAAGTCTCCTCTGGACTGATAATGTCTTTTGCCTCAAAAGTCACCTTTGGATCCACTGGCTTGTTGGACCAACTTTTGGTCACTCATTGCTTTGTGAAATATACTGAGAAATTCATTATTGTAGATGTTTTTGATTTTTGAATCTTTGTCAGAGGTCTCTAAATGTTTGATACTGATTGAAATGTGTAGGGCTTTGTCTGCATACTCTTTGACTTCTTTTTCTTGTGATCTTTGTTGTATCCAACATAATCGTAAATTTAAATTAAAAGTACAGACACTCAATAAATACGTACATTGAGTTACTGGCAACTAGTAACGATACTAAAAGATATAACTTTCCTTATACAAGGAAATTACGTAAAGAACATGTGAAGTTTTATAAAATAAAATCAACAGTAAAAAGATTGAGACGTATATAAGAATACTTTGAGACTGTATATAGGTTGTCTTTATTAAAGAATAAAAAGTTGTCCTTTTTATATCAAAACACGATCTGCTTTGTCAGTCACATCTTAATTTCTTAAGTCTGAGTTCATTTAGATATTAGAGAGCTGGTACTGCTATGTTTATAATTTAATCTAATTGCAGTGTTATCATATTAACTCAGTGCTTACTGAGCTGTCATAATTACAGTACTTACTGTCATTAATTATTGTTCTTATTGATTTACCATAAGTAAAATAAATAAATTATTCATTTGTTCTTGTAATGATAGCTGTTTTACTATAATAAGAGGAATATGTTCTTAGATGTAATAAATCCAACAACCAAGTGTCTGGATCACCACAAAACATACTAAGACAAATACTAAGACTCTAGTCAATAACACTAAAAACATAAGAACTAAATCATAGAAGATAATGGTAGAGAAACAGACATTACATGATATCATCATATCATCTCCAAGCTAAATACAATGTCTATATAAACGCACAATACGAATAGCAATAGAAGATCATCTCCTTTCTGATTCTTTCACTTCTTCTAATAAAACAAAGTCTCACCATACTCTCATCTGCACTTGTTTTATTTTATATCTTATTTTTATCTCATACATAACAATCTTGCTGTTTCAAGACCAAAGACTACCAGTTGTGCTGCAAAAATGTTTTTTTTTGTATTCAGCGATCTTAGGGGACGGGGGGTTTTTGGCTATGGGGATGAAGGGTAACGGCACCGCACAATTTAAGGTGACTGCGAGTCCGAGGCCTGGCTATAAAGTGTCTTGAAGAACCCTCCGTCCCCATTCTTTATAAGCACACCCCTGTCCCCATCTTTAGATCATTCCAATTTCCCGGGAAAAATAAAAACATCTCCTTTCTTAAAGTCATTAACATTTAGTTGTAAGAATAAAAAATAATATTTCCAAATAACAAGATATGATGCCTTTTTTACGTTATGTACATTGCATACATTGCATACATTGCATACATTGCGTACATAAATCAATAAAAATACTTATGTAACTACAGTGCTCTTTTATTAAATATGAACACCAACTTCAATACCCCTATTGAGAAGATGTACTCACTTAAAACAACTCTCTCATTCCCTGAGAATGGTTATCCTGACAAGCAGAGTGTTCTTCAAGCCATAAACGATTACGCCCTTTCTAATAACTTCACCATTAAGATTAAGGACGGAAAATTCCCTATTCTTCACATTGCTTGTTCAAAGGCTGGTGTTTATTGTGCCAAGTGCAATATAAGTGATGAGAAAAGAAAGAAGACGCCCAACTCTTCTCTTACTGGATGCCCCTATCTCTTAAGATTTTTTTATAAGAAGAAGAGCAAAATATATCTTCCTTTGCCTGCCTATGGGGAAAACGAACATTGCCACAACCACCCTGTCACCCCTGAGAATTTGGCTTCTTCTCACCAAGGAAGAATGTCTCTTTTGACTGCTGAAGATGCCACTATTGCAAAGACAATGTTGGAGAATCACGCCAAGTCCTGTGATGTTCAGAAGGCAACAAGTGACAAGGTGCCAGGAATGAGAAAGCTGAGGATCAGCAATATCAACAATCTCAAGTACAGTGCTACTCGTGGTGATGAGGAGTCTGCCCATGGCGCTACTGAGCTCATCAGAACAATGGAAGCAAAGGGATTTTCCGTTCTCTACGAGTTTAATGAGAGAAATAGACTCACTCATATATTTTTTACGAACGATATAATGATCAAGAGAGCTCAACATTTCCCCAATGTCTTTATTGTGGATGCTACATACAAGACAAACTGCGCGAAGATGCCATTGGTTTGCATAGAGGGTGTCAGTAACCTAGGTGGAGAAAGGTTGAAGAGCTTTCCTGTGGCCTTTGCATGGGTAGCCGATGAGACAGAGAAGAGCTATGTTTGGTTTGTGAAGTCTCTGAAAGCAATTGTTTTGGAGGGGGTTGATAAAGCCCCTATATTTGTTACAGACAAATGTAAAGCATTGATGAATGCGCTTGATTCCAAGTTCCCCTTGACCAAGAAGCTTCTGTGTGATTGGCATATGATCAATAACATTGCCAAAATGGCAAAAAAAAACAATGAAGCCAGGAAAAGAAAAAGAGTTGTGCACACATTTAGTCAACAAAATGATCTTCGGAGATAAACGCGATGTCTTTGATGAAAATCTTGAGCTTTTCAAATCGCTGTCATCTCAGAAAGATTTCCAAAGTAAAGAGCAGCTAGAAGACAATGATGATGATTCTACGAAGGTTGTAGAGAAAAGAACTATAGAAAAGTACTTTGAAGATGAGTGGATGCAGTGCAAGGAAAAGTGGGCTGGCTACCTCACTAGTCAATTAAAACATTTTGACTGTGTGACAACACAATGTGTCGAGAGTGGCCATAATGCTCTGAAAAGAAAAATCTTGGCTCTTCAGTCATTGAACTCTTCATTTGAGCAAATTTGCTCCTATCTTCTCCAGTTTGAGGGCGACTATCAGGACCTTGAGTTGAATGAGGCAACTATCACAGATGCCAGAATATACCATGAACCTCGCCTCCGTGGATTGATTCACCACGTCTCCAGAATTGGTTTGATCACCATCCGTGCTGAGCTTCTAGAAGAGGTTGTACCTGGTGAGCTTTGCAATTGCAGAGTAAAAGTGGTGTTTGGTCTTTCTTGTCGCCATGATCTGCCAAGAGATCGTATGTTGCTATTATCAGACATTCCTGAAAGATGGATTCTGTCTTCTTCTTTGGGTGAACGTTTGAAGCAACTGGAATGTGACGTTTCTCTACAGAAAATTGACGTTGAAAAGCCTGCCCCGTGGGTGAAATGTATAACAAAGCTTGAACAATTGTTTCATCAGTGTGAAGGGAATCAACAAGTCCAGAATCTTATGGCAATGGTTGATGAACTTGTTGACAATGCTGGTGAAATAATTGACCATCCAAATGTTGTATTTCCTTTGGCAAGTGAGGTCAAAGCTCCTGGAAGACCTAAGTACGTCAAAAGGAAAACTGCTCTCCCAAAGGACTTTGTCCGTCACAAGCACAGACATCTCCTTGTGCAAAAGAACAAAGTAAGCATGCAACATACACAAATATGATTTCACAATCTAATACATATTTATTCTTTATTTCTTTAGAATGATATCAGAAGTATTTTGAAAGAAGGACTTAAAGAAGTGATGAAGGAGTTCTTAGAGGAAGAGCCTCTCAAAAAAAGTAATTTATAATTGTTTTTTTTGTGAAATTACAATGTAATATCTAATGCTTACTATTTCTAGTCATAAAAGAAATAAAAAAAGAAACCCAATTCGCTGAAAAACAAGAGCCTCTCGAAGAAGGTAATTTTTGATAACTTATAAATGAATCACAAAATATTTTGTATGGTTTGCTCACATATTGCATGTTTTCTCTATAGCTAAAACAACCAATTTTGCTAAAAAGCAAGAGCCTCTTGAAGAAGGTAACTGATAAGATATTTTACTAAAATTAAATGCTAAATGTTACATTGTTTTTTGTTTCTTCTTAGCTGAAAAATATTCCTCTGGAATTAAAAGACCTAAACATTTTCAAGACGACTACTGGTATGATTTGCCTAGTCCAAAAAAACAAAACAAAAATGTGCATGACTTTGCTCTGCCTGCTCAAATCGACTAAGCCACCATTTTGTTGACGTTTAACCCCAAGTCCGATGGTTGGTGCGGTTTCCGTGTATTTTCACACCTGAAAGAGGGTGGAGAGGATCAGTTTCCTTTGGTGAAGAAGAAGATGTTGGCTACGATGGCAACCCACAGTAAACTTTATGAGCACAACTTTGGCATGGATGTTGCCGAAGTGGCAGAGGTCATTGCCTTTGGCTCCGAGATTGACCCTGCTCTTGGGGAAAATATCCCATCTTGCCCTTTCTCTATGTGGTTCTCTGCACCAGACTGTGCTCAGATAATAGCTGACACCTATAACAAGCCTGTTTGTGTGTACTCGGATGATCGGAGCGTCTTGCCTGTAACTTTCCTTCCCCTCCATGATCGGAAGCCTCTCAAAAGAAAGCCATTGCCAATGGTCTTGCACCATGTACATGGGTGCCACTGGACAACAATTAAAGTGAAGCCTCATGTACATCGGTCCTGGCCTGAGGTAAATGCGCTGTATTTTGATACTATCTGTAGAGGGAGTATCATTGACTGCTTTTCCACAAGTTGGAATCATTGGGGTCAGTTCCCAAAGAACAAGTCTTATCTTTTACCCTCCACTACTACAGCTACTACAATTACTACTACTGCCACTAAATCTCCTACAAATTCTCCCGTAAATTCTTCCAATATTATTGACCTCACACATATATAACTTATCTATCTTTCTATCTTTTAATATACTTTACTCCTATTTTTTCTTTAATTTTTTAACAAACACAACTGCACCCAGTCTGTCTTTAATTTTAATGTTACATGTAAAACCCAGATACGAATATTATTGGCATCCAACTAATTGGAAGACTATATAATTGGCTTTTATTTTTTGGAGTACAAAGTCTGTGCATTTATAAGCAATCTGATTAAGATCTTCATCCAATTACAGACGTGAATTTTACCATAAAAGATGTAAAACAGAAATTATGCATAGCTTTTGATAGATTTCTGTCTTAATTCAAACGCTAAAGCTTGAATATTTTGCCGTATTGCTGAAAAAATATGTACATCTCTATATCCAAAATTTGAAGTTAATTTATTATGTTTTGGTTGAATAAACAAGCAAAATATACACTTTTTTTCACGTTTTTAACCATTCAAGATAGATTGTTTTTGCTAATAAATATCTTTTCTACATAATAATATGGTCTAAAACTTTTACTGAAACGTTTTTTTACTATTTTCTATTGATATAAAGCACTTGCAAGTGATTTTTATTAATATTTTCAAATTGTTGTTTTTTTGTTCAATCTTTCACAAATGAAATGTACAGAACTTTTGTAATTCACTCATTAAACGTGATTCAAAAAATATTACAAAACAAACAAATACTCACTTTATGCAGAAAAAATCAACGAAACCAACCATCTTACTCTCATATTTCTATCTATTTTTTTGAACGAGTTATGAATTTTTTAAAAATAAATAAAAATGAAAATGAAAAGTTACGGACAAATGTTCTTCCACTTTTGCATGATTTTTCTTAGTGAATAAAGACAAGTGATTATACTGGATGGGGACAGGGGGGTGACTGGTTTTTGGGGGACAGGGTGTTACACACAGAAATGATACTGTTTTTTGAATATGAGTTTGCGTTGAGATAAAAATTAATTTGCGCTGACATTAAAAGAATATTTACGTCAAGGTAAAAATAGTATTGCGTTGCTTAGTGATAAATTTTGCGCCAAGAGATTAGAAAAAAAAATATAAAATAACCTAATACTTGCTTCATGATGTTAAAGTCTCAGTGAGCATTCAGAGTGCGTCTGTTGAAAGCCACACTCCTACTGACTATTTTAAAGATTTCTTTCCTCATTCAAACATTTCTGGAAAAATGACATTGAATGCTTAATCCATCCTTCACAATCTTTTTTTGTTACTTTTCCAGCCGATTCACATATACGATCTGTGAGACGATCATCTGTTGTCAATGGTGTTCTTCTAACACCAGCTTTTACTTTTGACCAAAATTCCTCAATTGGATTCAAGAAAGGAGAATATGGCGGCAAATATATGCACTTATGTCCTCGTTCTTTGATCAATGCTTTGATTACTTTTGGCTTATGAATAGGTGCATTATCCATAACAATATACTGCCCCTTTATATTATTTTTATCTAGTGTATCCATTACGTTGTTTAGATAAGCCAAAAAGTGCTCAGTTCTTGTCCCAACTTTGCCATTTATTTTTACTTCCTTACCATCTGCCCTTCTTTTTTTAGAAGAAGCTGATTCTGGTTTTTTAACTCCAATATTTATGATACCTGCTTGAGAAATTGTACCTAAAATTATAAATGTTACACCTTTTCCAGTTGGTACAGTGCCCTTTGCAGGTGTGCCTTTTAATGAGCGGCCGTGGTTTCTTTGTGTATGCAAATTGAAACCTGCTTCATCAATAAAAACACAATTCTTAGAAAAATTCATATCTGCATCACTCTTATATTATTCAACAATCGCTTTTCGTAATGCTATTACTCTGTCAGAATTTCTTGCTGCTGGTATTTTTTCAAGTTTCTTTAACGTAATACTATGCTTATGTACTAAATGTTTGTGGATGGCAGAAATAGAGATTTTCAAACCCTCAAATTTCTCACAAAGTTTTAACTTTAACTCATCTAATATAGCAGTGGTATTCTTTTCGATATAGTCAACTAGAAATTTAGAATGCTCCTCAGTCAACTTATTACGAGGTCTTCCACGAGGTTTAGAATAAGATCCTGGAAGTCGTCTCTCAGGATCATTGTTATAAGTTTTAACGTAATTCTGGGCAGTGCGTACATTAATCCCAGTGGCTAAAGCTGCAGCTTTTGTCGTGAATCCTTCTTCGATTATTAAGTCGAAGAGTTTCTCAACTTGTTTAGGAGTATATTTTCTATAAGAACCTCTTGTTTTAATATTCAAAGCCGTATGTCTTTTTCTCAATGGCATTGACTCTGCAAAGAGAAAAGCATCTCCAAAAAAATCTTCATTCTCTTTCTCTATTAAATCTACTTCCATATATTCACGTACATATGATAGAGAATCATTCCCAATTCGTCTTATTTTCTCCATCCATTCTTCACTCAAACTGAAATGCTCAATTCCCATTTCTTCCTGCTTGTCATCTTCCATATAATTGTCAGATGAAGTGTCCATATCGTTATCTGAAATAATTTCACTATTAGTAATAAATTCACTAACGCTTTGCATGTTTGTTCTAATATTTAAACTAAATAAAAGAAAAAAGGAGTCGAAACCTTTACGATATTTTAGGTTATTTTATATATTTTTTTTCTAATCTCTTGGCGCAAAACTATTTTTATCTTGACGTACAGGATTTTTCCTCGTTTTAGGCGGTCCATTTTTTTCAACATGGCGCTGGTTTTTTATAATTTGCTGCCCAAATGCTTTTTACTTAGTGGCTAACAACCCCAGCTGTAGCAATTCTTTTGTAGCATGGAAAGAAAAACTAGACAAAAAGCTGGTTATTTTTTTAATGATAAAGAATAAATGATGATTTTAAAAACAAAAGTAACTATAACATTTTTCTTCAAGGATACAACAAAGAAAATAAAACATTGCATGACGTATCCATCCTTCACAATCTTTAGCAGTAACTAAGTATGCTGACTGAACAATACGAGGTGTCAAAGGACTATTTGTTGACAAGATCTATTGTTCCACACCGGCCTTCAACTTGGACCAAAATTCCTCTATGGGACTCAACATTAGTGAATAAGGAGGAAGGTATATTGCTGATAAAATTGTAGATTTTTGGCAATCAATCGCTCCACGAGACTTATACGTTTTGTAAACGTAACTCATACTGTGTAAAAAGTATAACACCATGTAGATACATAGTATAGAGGTTTCAGAATGATCATATTACATAATAATAATGGCAGTCAGTAAGCTCCTGGTTTAATGAGTCTGGTGTATTAAAAATTCTTGGAAATTTATTGTATGCTCTCTGGAACAAGCATCTGCTATTACTGTTTAAAAAGCAATAATAAACTGTTGTTATAATAAAATGTGGGTATGAATAAAAGAAGATAACAACATGAAACTATACATATATTCTTCATAACAACGAATGAAAACTTGCCAGTGACCACAGCATATTATATTATCACCACGGATAACGGCAAATTCTTTCCTTATTGATATGCATATTACACATTCCAATACCACACCTAATCTCGATCCAAATGAAAAAGTCAAGTAATACATAAAATTACAGTCAACAATACTTCCAATAGCTTGAACCTTGAACGATTTGAAAAGGTACATTTTGATATAGTAATTTTAAAAAAGATTTATTACTATAATATAAACAATAGAGAGGTGAAGAAATGCTAGTACACTCAAATATAACAGTTTGTAATAAGACAGGAAAAGGGATATGACGTTGGAGAGTGGAGAAAGTAGATAAAAGTAATAAGACCATCAAGAACAGTAACCAACTGTGAGGAATTTTGTAAGTCATCACTGCTTTGTCTATAAAAAAAAAGAAAAAAAATAAGTTCAACATATCGTTATACACTGCTTCCTCCACCTCATATGAGAACCCAAGCCAATGATGTTCATCCAAAGACTACTACTGCAATGGTTGGTATCATGGTGTTCATCCAAAGGACTACTACTACAAGCATCTTGTTTGCTGAGGTGGTTAGGAAGCCAAAAGTGTGTCAAAAAATAAAGAAAAAGAATAAAGACTTATCAAAAATAGTGGCATTATAGAATTCTTCGAGGTACTCATTGCTTTCGCCTATAATAGAAAAAGAAAAAAAAAGTTAAATATACGGTTGTTTTATAAGAGAAATCGAGTCAAAAAGTATGGTAATAAAGCTGCAATAAATAGGATCAAGACAAGGTATGAGTGGGGTGGTAGTTCAAGCCAGACTTGGATATGATGCCGTGGGAATGGGGATGTAGGTGTGGTTGGGGATGAAGTTGGTGTAGTGGGTAGGGTTTTCTTTCACCCAATCTTCAAAGGCAAAATTGTTATCAAATATTTCTTCTACAACAGATGTAGAAAAGTTTGGAAGAACACAGATGAGGTACCCAAGGTCATCAGATGTAGAGGCCATGATAATGATAATAAAAAAAATTATAACAAGTCGTGAACTAAAAAGTATAGGAGACTTTTATTAATAACTGATATGACTGAGGATTCAGAGTGAGGATGATGTAGTTTTTCCTAATAACCAAATTCAAGCCAGTCGAATCCTTTTTTCCCACAGCGCGTTCAATTACAGTATTTCCACTGTCAATTGGACATATTTTTGAAAATGTTGGTCAGATTTTTGAACTCAATTGTTCACTTGTTTGAATAACAATTGGTCAAAAAATGACCAAAATCACTGCTTAAATCCTCAAAAAGTGACCAATTGGTATTCAAACAAGTGACTAATTGAGTTCAAAAATCTGACTGACATTTTCAAAAATATGTTCAATTGACAGTGGAAATACTGTACTTGTTTTGATTGCTTTCGTAAAACTCCCTTTGCTCTTTGAAATCCTTTCACTACTACTACTACTACAGTCAATGCCAGGCAAATGAAAGCGCACTCCCAATGATGCACAATGGTGTCTCAACAATTCCAACACTCTTACGGTCAAGAATTTTGTCATTGAATTTGGTCTCACCGATCGACAATACACAGTGACAAGATACCAAAACATTTTGAGTGCACACTTTAGTAGAGACAGAAGAGAAAATCTTCTTCAAGATTTGGATGGATGGAAGAAGTCTCTTGATGCAAAGATTTTTTGGAAAGAACAAGCAAGAAAACAAATAGTAGCTGAAACTCGTGTAAGATGCTCAGCTTTTGTTGATTCAATAATTCACGAAGAAGGTCCACAAGGATCATCAATCAACAACGATGACAGCAATAATAATGTTGAAAGCAGCAGTAGCAGCAGCACCAACAATCGTGATCGTGGTACCAACATCAATAATTCTGATGATAGCAACCATAATGATCGTAGTATCAGCGAACGTAATCACAGCAGTAGCAACAGCAATATTAATAGTAACAATGAAAGTAATAGTAACAGTAACAATGGTAATACTGGTAGTTGTAACAATAATAGTGGCAGTAATACAAGCAATAATAATAATAGTAGTAGTTCAGAAAGCAGTAATCCGGGTACATTAACACCAACCAAAATACATACCCCATTCATCATTAAACACGTCAATGTCACTGACACATTTAAACAATACCAAGAATACATTTCATCACACTACCCAACATTTACAATTGAAAAAGATCTACAAGAAATCATGGCAATGGCTAATATCTTGTTCTTGGCACCCGATGACCATAGTGATTGCAAAAAAAAAATATTCCAATTGTCCAACCTTGACTTGATGTGCACAGAAATGTTACAAGAATTAAAAATTCTCGATACCCAAGAAAACAAAGAATTATTTAACGACGACGAATTTATCAAGGTTACAAGGATTATCAATGAAGTTGCTGAGAAAACGAAAACCATCAGAACGGCCAAATTGGAGCTACTCACATTGGCGGCTTCCATGGAAGGTGGTAATAAAGGAAGCGTAGTTAAAGGAGTAGCAAACTTGTAAGTGTTGATATGGGAGTCATTGAACTGTGTGTCTGTGTGCGCTTCGTAGCTACTGCTCACTGTACTGGTTTATATATTAGATTAACAAAGTTGTCAAGAGTCGAGATCCTCAACATGGATAAATTGGGAGAAGTCGAACTACAAACAACATATTATGATGCCTTGTTATCCGAGCTTATTGCCGATCAAGATAAGAATGTTGCATTATGATGGCCAAATAAATCAACAGATGAGGAGCAAACTGATATACGTTCTGATGCAATTGTTTCAATGATCATGCAACACAACTTTGGCCACCCTGTTGGTTTCGGAGAAGTAAAGCCTGGCAACAGTTCTACAACAAAACATTCAGTATCACTCGATGTCTTACACTTAGGAATTGCTTCAAAAAGGGCAATTGACAAGTGGAAACTGAACTCGTGCTTTGGATTCATGATCAATGGATTTGATCTAACATTCTTTATTACAAAAAAACAACACGAAAATTGCTACACAATGCTGGAAATTGCGCAGTTCACTTATGCTTCGTCCTTATTGAACCTACATTCTTTTGTATCAATAATGAACTTGAACAAGCTGACAAAAGTCGGGCGATGTTTCTGGAATGAATGTCATGCTACTAATGTTACGCGAGATGATGAAGCTGGTGCTATGGCAAATGATGACGCTGGTGTTGTCCCAGTATCCAAATTATATGCACTGATCAGCAGGACTTGCAACTGAACACTTGGTGCCTCGTCTAGATATTGAACTTCAGTTGATTACTACTATTCCTTTTTTTTCATTGTTATTGTCATTGACAGTAACCCTTTCTTTAAATTTTTTATTATACAATACTGCATTATATTATCATTTGTCTAGTACAACTATTCAACTTCATCCATTCACACATTTAATAATGAGGAAAGAAATCTTTAAAATAGTCAGTAGGAGTGTGGCTTTCAACAGACGCACTCTGAATGCTCACTGAGACTTTAACATCATGAAGCAAGTATTAGGTTATTTTATATTTTTTTTTTTCTAATCTCTTGGCGCAAAATTTATCACTAAGCAATGCAAAACTATTTTTACCTTGACGTAAATATTCTTTTAATGTCAGCGCAAATTAATTTTTATCTCAACGCAAACTCATATTCAAAAAACAGTAGATGTCTGCTGGACAAGTTAAAAGTAGTCACGCCTCTAATTATCTGCCGGACTACTCACTATAAGCTTGTGTAACACCCTGTCCCCATCATCCAAAAACCCCCTGCCCCCTAAGATTTACATTTTGTATTTATTAGTACTGCTGATGCACACAATGCGCGGCCTTTTAAAATAAAATTGGAGAAATACAGTTGCAGAAGGGGAAAGAGAGAGATACATATGCTAGCTAAGGGAAGGTTGTTGTGTGCCAGACGTGGCACAGTGGAGATACAAATAGTAAGAGAAGAGAATTCAATAGTAAGAAAAAGATAGTCTTTATTGATTGATATTTTGAATGATATTTATACTATTTGTTAATTGCTAATTGCTATATAAGTGTTGAATAATGTTACTATTGAGGATAATCCCAATGATTGATATTTGGGGATTATATAAGTGGTGTGAGAATATGATATGTTAAGATAGTTATAATAGATAGATTTAGCTACATAGGTGTTGTGACTGTTAGAGCATCTGCTCCTAACAAGGTGAGGTCATGGGATTTATGTATGGTAGTCACTGCCTTAGCTGCAACTACATTGGGGAGGAAGGGGAAGTTGTCAAAGACAAATGCCTGCTGCAAAAATGATCCTCTTTCACACAGAGAAATTAAACCAATTATGTGTGAAATAATAGGGCAAAATTCCATCTCAGTCAGTTTTTGTGAATAAAGTATTCAAAAAAAAGTTTATGCAATATAATTGGCTAGAGAAACTTGTGTATAATTTGAAAATACACGAAACCTAAATAAATCATAGAATAAACTGCTTTATACTCCTCTTCTTTATTGTTTAACACATATATATTTTTAAAAATGGTTCCCAACCGCAACGCAGACAACAAATACAAATGCTACTGCTCAGTGTGCAGAGTTCGATATGGAGGATATAACACTGTATCCGCCCAGACATTAAAGCGTCATGAAAAAGCCGAGAAAATTGTAGAGATTATGCAGAACAATATCTGTATGCAATATAATTATATTTTTATTTATTTCAGTATAGCAAAAATTAATAGAATAAATTTATTTAACTATAGAGAACGAGATAATCGAAGAGACATTTGAGGTCGAAAGCAATGAAGATACTATAGATTATATCTTTGGTAAAGAAAACTATTTTTTTTTTGTTTTCTTGCTATTTTGGCCTAATATTAATATTTTGGCAGAATCGAATGACAATGAAGTAGAAACACCCACTCTGACCAGGGACCTACCTCTTTCTGAGTCTGATGCTGTGTTTGGTATTGAAGGCAAGGAATACACTGGAAGAAACGATTTCGACAATGAAGAATATGAAACCAATGGTGAAATGAGTGACGATGAAGGTGCGTACAGCCACTATGAATGAAATTGGTGTGGTCGTTACTAATGGTAGTGGATATGCCACTAATTTATTTTAATTAACCAATCAAATTGGTTCTAGAGTTTGGTAAAAATATTAAAAAAAGGTGAAAAAGATAAAGTTGTATTTAAGAGCGAAATAACATAATATAAACGTTTTTTTTTTACATTTATATCATATAGAGAGTATAGCAATTTGATTTATTTATTTTTTATTTGAAATCGTAAAACTTTTTTTTATCTCATTGTCAAGATTGTTGTATTTTGACAATATCACTAATCAATGTAGCAGACAAACTATCTTTCCCACTAATTTACCGAAAGTGCGGGATTTAAATTGATTTTTTTTATATTTTATTTTGCTCAAATTTTTACTTTGCATTTTTTTCCTTTTCAACATAAATGAACATCATCTTGAAGTTATTTTTTAAGATGATAGTGAATCTCTATAGCTACTTTATACATCTAATTTACATGACTTGCTCTCTATTTTATTTTTACCTGTTTTAATTTGCTAAAATAAAAGTATATTTTAATTATCGAAAAAACAAAAAGTTATTTTTTATTATTTATGGAAATATCAAAGAGAAAAAGATAAAAAAATGTGTATAAAGGGTATTTACAGTTTGATATATCTCAATTTTCCAGCAGTACTTTTCATGTCTTCATTGAATATATAGTATGGTGCGACTACTTTATACTTCATGGGGCATTCAACCGATTGAACCAAACCGACTTGATTCTGTATGTCATTCAGGCTAATGACAACAAGCCTTTGCGTGGCCGAATTTGTGTCCATGATCACAACAGGTATATTGCTGTCATATTCAGCTACTGAGTGTTCCTTCATTACATTCACCAACACGAGGAACTGCCTGCAGCTCTCGTCATCAAAAGGGTTGTGCGTGAAATAAAACAATACAGAACCAACGTACCAGAGGGTATGACTAGAATTCACAATGAGTATTAGTTTTATTTACATCGGGATGTTTGACTCATAGATTGACTCACTTTTGATAAATGGCATTGATTCTCACATAGTGATTTCCACGACGAACTTCAGATCTCTTTTGCTTGTACATCTCAGAGCCATATACATGGTTGTTGATCCAAGCACGCACAACAAGTTTGACGGTTTCCAATGTATAGTGCAAATCAATGGGAAAAGTGCATTTTGATCGGGTATAATACGTTGTTAACTCTTTTATGAACGTGGGTATAGGAACGAATTGAGCCAAGTAACCCAATTGGTCAAAAGGACTCCACAACTGATGGTTTTGGCTGTGTGGGGAAGAGAGGGGAAGCTCCAAGTAATCGTCGAGAGATGTTTGATTTGACTTGATGGGATCCAGCTGCTGTTCTATGTTGAATGCACAATTCAAGTAACCACGTATCGCGAGCCGTTCGACCAAGTTTCCAGCATTTTTACCGCAGAATACTCTACTTTTGATCAGTTTCAAGTATCTTCCGATCGTTCTTTCCATAGATCTAGTGCTGTACACCCGGAGATTTCCAACCTTCCTTGTCATATACCCAATGTGTGTTAAGTAATGGTTTACTGGAGAAAATACACTTATAGATATGTTGTTTTTGGTGATCTCAGCTTGCAAAAACTGGTGCCAGATACTAAAGTGACTATAGATAAAGAAAGGTAAGCATCAGCATTATTATTATTATTATTAAAAAAAAAGCTAGAGAATACATTAAAGCTTACTTTTCCATTTCAACAATTAACTCCTCATTCAAGTTCCATTGTAGCGAAATAGAACAACCTCTCACCAAAGCAAGAAGTGCTTTTTGAGTAGCAACTTTTGTGAAAAGAGGTACAAGGAGAGTAGGGACTACATACAATAAAAGATCGATATAATCAATTGCCCTCGTGCCTTCGGTCTTAAGCATCAGATTATCCCAACTGCCTTGAAATGAAACAGGGATTTTTGATCGGGACAATTCGATACACTGACCGGCTGACAATACATCCTTTTTTTGCAAGGAAAAGGTATATCGATCCTTTAGGAGAAGAGACCCGTCAGCAGTTCTTGGGTAGTAATTATTGGTAGATGTGGTAGTATTCGATAGCACTATTAGCTTGTGGACAAGCTTTCCTATACCATGTCCAATTAAGTGCATCTCATCCAGACCATAGAAGGAAGACCCAGTAAAGGTAGGTAGCCGTGCAAAGATGTTGGGCTCTTGAATGTTAGTATTCTGTATATATAAAAAAGTATTTATTAGTATATTGTTTTTATTTTTATTAATATTTCTCTCTTTTTCGGGTAGTGATGTACTTACAGTGTTGCCATTAACAAAGTCGATCTTTGGCCTTAGAGGAGCACTGCAGTTTTTAAAGTACATGCCTCTACCTCTTAAGGAGGCTTCACCTAATACTTCACATACACGACAACCGTATCTGGAATTGTGGCCTTTATGATGGCAATACTTTGTAACCTATTTTGCCAATTTTGTAAGTGTCATTTTTTATTTTCTTTTTCTTTTTTCACTTACTTGGGGAATGTCTCCAGAGGCCATCACCATGTGAACTTTTCCCACAATCCTTTCACCGTCAAACTTTTTTATAATCAGCCCATATTTGCCTAAGCTAATGACTTCATCTATTATAGGTAACAAGAAAGAATCAAGATCTACAGGCTTTCCGGGTATAATGGCAAGTTGGATAAGATATTCGTCGGTATATCTTAAAAAAAAATGTAAGTTCCTTTTATGAAAATAATAATAATAATAATAATAATAAAATCAAATGATAGAAGCTAGTTCTATTACCTTATTGATGGATCATAATTCAAAATCATCACATGTACAATGGTCAATTGCTGCTTTGATTTTTTCTGGTTTACAAAACCATCCGATAACAAGGCAACAGCAATATCGTCGGGGGACTGGAAAAAGTGCTGGTCCTTTAGGGCCTTATACTCTTCTCCGTCAAATTAATCAGACAACTCATTGGATATAAGCTGCCTGTTTGCTCTGTAATGGAGTTTCTCTCTTGTATTACCGTTGCCAAGGAGTCGAGCCAGTTGATCGCCAAGCGACATCATCTTCATTGTCTTCACCGAGACCAAAGGGGCGGGGGCATCACCTGTAGGTTCCAGAAACCTTTTACTGCCACAGTGGGAGCATTCTTCTTCGCATTGGGTATTGTTATACAGCTTACAGACATTCTCGCATATGCCATATGCGTGAGCCTTTATCGCTGTTTTTTTCTTGAGTAGGGTATTGACAGGTCCAGCCTGGAGAATTTCTGGGGAATATTCTATGGGTTTAATACAATAGTTAGCCTTTTGATATAATGCAAGATAATTTGGTTGAATATACTGTACCTTTTGAGAGTTTATCGTGGTCTCGGAATACCGTGTTCATCAGATTGACGAGCTGACGATGGCACTCAGTAGGTACATTGAATGAAGTTACAATATCATACAGCTCAATACTCAACAATTGTGAAGTAGTGAAGGTATTCTCGGTAAAGATATTATCACCGTATACATGTCCTTCATCACCAGCTTCAAAATTACATGATGCTTTATACGTTCTTGGTTGGAATGGGTCAAAGGGTATGTCTGTCAAACACAATTAGTATTCAAAAGGTTGATTTTACTGGTAGATTAATCTAAATTTGTACCTTCTGTTATATTGTCATCTATGAGAGGTAACAAGTCCTTATCATTCAAGGAAATATGAGTAGAAGAACCAGCAGAAAAGGCAGAACTAGTATTTTTTTTATGGATTCGTTTGTGGTTCTGGAGCTGTTTACTTGTAAAGCAATCCAAGTTACACACGTCACAAATGTATGAAGAAATGTCATTGGAACTTCTTGCTCTTTTGTTTGATGGGTTCATTTTGATAAAAAGTATGTGTTTGTGATGTGAGAGGTTTGTATATAATAAATGTTATTATCTAAAGCTTTAAATAAATCATATACTGCTCTTTTTATACTTTTTTTTCCAATTTGAGAAGAAAAGCTATTGCTGGTCAGAAACAATGTTATTGGTCTTATAATTGCATGAGTTTCTTTAGGTTCACAATATTTTTTTCTTTTGTTCTTATTTCTATAAGTAATTGTCTTTCTTTCCCCTATTTTTTTTTACTTTATTTTATCCTCGCGAACATTTACAACATGAACGACATCTCTGAAAACATCAATCTGACCACAGTGAGATCTGTAGTTCGTGAATAACTCTCTGATATTCGGGCTTCTGTTGCCAAAATTGCGGAAACTGTTACCAGCCAGCAACAGTTTGTAAGAGAAGACATATCGCACAGCTTTCATGCAGGTAATGCAAGCATAATATATTATTTTGTATAATATTTACTTATAAAATCACTTTATTAAAAGGTGAACAAAGTGCCACACAAGCCAGAATGTCTTACTTTGTAAATCATCCAGATGATAGAGGAGTAAGCCATATTCCTGTTACAATGACACAGGCTCGTGTTGACTTTATCCCAACAAGAACCAACAAGACACCAAGTGCAACTTTCAGGATCAATGCACTGATAAATTTTCTGTGGAAGAAGCAACGGGGAACAGATTTTAATGTATCCGCAGAAGAGCAGAAGCTCATTAGACTCCAGTTCCACATGTATACAAGGCAATGCCGACGTATCATGCGTGAAGATGGCATTTTAGAGACGAACTGGGGAAAATTGAGTAGTCAACAAAAGTTGTACTACTCCTTGAGACTCGAGGAGTTAATTTTGAATTATCAGTTCGCTTTACACAAATGCAGAGGTCAACGGGCTGCTACTCTTCTCCTTCAAGAAATGATGAAGGCTGAACACCAAACAGAGAAGTGACAAATCATACATATTAAATTTAGTGTCATGCAAGATATTTCATTAATACTTTTCTTTATTAAAAAATATGCTGGCAAAGTTAAGCAGAGAAGTTCAAGAAGAAGAGTTGAGGTATGTATAGATTGTTCAAACGTAAAACTTAATACACTAACAAAACTATTTTTTTAAAAGTAGCCTTGGTGGGGCAGAAAGTAGTGTGGCATTCTCACCACCAAGAAGAAACATGTGGAGCCGTCGTATTTAAAAAAAAAAGAAATTCCTTGTTATTTCTGTCTTCCACAACAATAAAAAATAATTATCTTTACAATCTCCCTTTTTTTTTAATCAATGACAAATTGACTCATTTCCTCTACTTTCTTCCTTTGCTTTTCAAGTAATCACATTCAAACAACATGCACCACTCAAACTTCAAGACACTCTTGATATAAAATTACTACAATTGTGCATTGATTTTAAAAAAAAAACTAATGCAACTAGAAAAACATATTTTTTATAGTTTTTTTCAAGCAGCTACTATATAGTATATTCTCGACTTTCTTTCACAAAATACAGTCAATGTAAGTTATGGTCTTATTAAAGTGATATTGTATAGGGTATACTAAACAATCTGGCTAGCTATTAGTGAGTAGGTGCTTCTAATTACTTGGGACTTGTGCTGCAGCATGGTAGCTACCACACAATCATTGAATGCAAACAAATTATAAGGGTATGCTTACTGGGCTATGCGTATTTACTTTGTATATTAACTTATTTTTGTAGACTTCGTCTTTAATCACAATTACTTGAAACTGTTAATGAATATACTTGAGGTAATTACAAAAAAATACTTTTAAGTACGTATATTCATAGTATTCTTTACTTTAGCTTTACACAATACTGGAACAGAATTGCTTGAATGTTCTTTTAATAGAAAAGCATCAACAATTATAATTCATAATGAAGAGTCCCGTCATCCATAGCTGGTATATCTAAAGGCATGTATTACTCATATAACTATTATAAGAGTTAGTATATGTGCAAGATATATTACTAGTATTATTATTAAGCTTATATATGGATATGCATCCTTATATGCCGTGTTAAAGACATAGTATACCATATTATATTATATAGTCCATCGTATAGTTCATTGTATATTCTATTGTATATTCTATTGTAAATCCTACTGTGCAGCAAGCTTATGAATAAAAATAAAATCCATCAAATTTACTACCAATTTCTCTATATATTGATTTACTACCATACTTTTACTACCAATCTGTCTGAAACTAAGTCAATCAAACATGCTGCTTTATTATTCAATTAATTAGTGGCAAGCATAGCTCATTTACCACCAATTTTACCTACTTTAACGTAGTGTGGCGAGCCACCAAATTTCATGCAAATTAGTAGTATTGCCACACCAACTTCATTCATATTGTATAGGGCTACTTTTACTTATATATATACACGTCTTTAATGAATTAAATGATATATACTTTATTTCAGGTTAAATAAAAATAAAATGTATTAATTGTTAAAAAACAACTTTTTTCTTTGACAAAATCATTTTGTGTATTCGTTGATTGTGATTTGAGATACATCACAGAGACCCTTTTCTTTCAATTGCTTCAACATCTTATTCCAAGCTGATTTGGTCATCTAATGTACTAAGGTAAGGCCGTTGATCATGCATAGTGGCTGCTTATAGTATTTACCTTTCGCAGTATTGACCGGTTGATGATACGAAAGAACAGAATAATTGTATCACTGCCAAAGCTCGTAATAATAGTCTGCATGTGATCACCATGCAGACACATGTTTACCATCTTGACCATCGTGTCTTTATCAGCATCTAAGATATGTATATATATATATATATATATGTATGTATGTATGCGTATGTGTTAGAGCATATATATAGATACTGTTTTAACTATAAATTACCAGGGAAGAGCATCGTCAGTGCACGTGATTTTACTCTTACAAAGTTATTATCAGAAAATTTTCTGGCACAGTACTCATATACCATTCTATACATATTAAGAAGCATGATATTTCTGTACACCATTGCCGATTCATTTTTTTTTCTGGATTGCTCATACTGCCTGTAACAGTACAGTATGCCTTCACGCAGCCTGTTATCGTCCATAAGCTCCAGTCCGGAGATAATACGGTCCGAATTGTCGAACAAAGTCTCATAACCAACAGTAGAGGTGACTTCTACATTGGAAAGTATGTCCTTTACCAAACTCTCAAACTTTTTTTTAGGAAGAGACTTTAGCTTTTCAATGCCTATCAATTTATTTAAGTATAATATACTATCATTTGATTATTAAAGGATCATACCTTTTACAATGTCTTTAATTGTATTTTCTATACTCTCTGTTCTAGCAAGCACTTTCTATCTCGACAAAAAAAAAGATTAAAATGTGTAAATTTAAGATCTACATATAAATATATATCTTACTTTTGTTTTGTTTCTAGGCAATGAAATCTTAGTTGTGCCTTGAATGTCAGAACGAATTCGTCTTCTTGCTATACATATACATATTATTAATCAGTCTTCATTATATATATATATATATATAAATATATATACGTTTACGGGTAAAGACTTTGGTTGCTGGTGGCTCTGGTGGCTCGTCACTGAGATCCACAGTAGAGGTCCCCGACTCCTCGGAATCAGTATCCAAAGCGTCTTGAAGCGATGATTCTTGCTCAGGCAAATTCTCGATGGGCTATATATAAAATTATTTTAAAATTAACATTATTACATGTTATTAAATAAGAAATGTATCTTTTTTTGGGGGAGAGTTACTTTGTTATTTTCTTGTTCAAAGGCAACCGGTGCATCTAAGTCTTTGGTATAAATAATCAAATTTGAGTATATGCGCATAAAATAAAGAATTGATGCATTGAATATACATTTACCTTCTACCTCAACCTTAATTAGCACATTAAGATTGTTGGCCACAGCAAAGATAACTGAAATGATGTTATCTTGGGACTCTATCGATGTGTTTAGTGTATGTATCCATATATAAATATACACTTTGTACCATTTTTTAATATATCAGTAATTTGACTGATTTTCAAAACAAGTTCAGAGTTACTCATATCAATATCGGAAACTAAAGAAGAGGTCTGGCTGTTAAGATATAGAACTAACCAAAAAAACTGTATAAATGATAAATTTTAATTTAATTTTTAATTTTTAATTTTTAATTTTTAATTTTTAATTTTTAATTTTTAATTTTTAATTTTTAATTTTTTAATTTTTTAATTTTTTAATTTTTTTTATGTAAAATAGAATACTATTGAACTTACATTCAGACATTAGAAATTAGAGTGGAAAGGAGAGAGAGTTAAAAGAGAAACAAAAATGATCGATAATAAATTAGGAAACATTTCATATACATGTGTGACATGCCATTAGACCAATAATATGAATAGTAGATTGACTCTCAGCCATTTTTGAGTCGATCGTTATTGATATGACAGGGATATAAATATGTTTTATTCTCTTGCTTTTTTTTTATTGTTTTTTGAATATATAAAAAAAATCGATTTTAAACTGGTTGGTCTACCGAAAGAAAGGAATCATATTTCTCCCAAAGCATGTACGAAATATATATATAAAAAAAGATGCGGTGAGTAAGATTAAAGCACAATAAGGTATGGGAAGGTAAGGCAAAGGTCAAAAGAGCAAAAGATCATAATATTTAAATATATTAATGTATAATATTCGCACTGTTTTTCCGAGCAAAAAAAAAACAATTAAAAATCTTTGCAGGACTAACAGAATTTCTTTTTTGTACATTTACATTATCTGAATATCTAATTATTGATCAAAAATGGAACTTAAAGAAGACCAATTTTCTTCATAGAGAAAAATTACAGAAAAAAAATTGAAACACCCACAGCGCAGTGCTCTACGCAGAGCTTTTTAATACTCTTTTGTGATTATTATTCTGTTTGGATTTCAAGTTGTCTTTCTTTTTTTTTGGCTTTATAAGTTTGAATTGCAAATAAATTTAAAAAATCTTTGTACATTTTGTTCACTTCCGAAAAGACTATTTTTACTTATATATATGTGTGTGTACTAAGTAGGGAACGTCAGTAAAAATAGTCTACGTTTAACTATTGATTTTTCAAAATATTATAAAATGCTAAGTTTATTTTGTTTGATTAATCTTTGGTATCTTTTTGGTACATAGCGAAGATCAAATAGAAAGGTATTTGTATCGTATACGCACCCACTAGCAGTGAGAAAAAGAAAGGCGGTTTTCTGTGATGTCGAAACAGTAAATTCTCTTTATTACTGACTTTTGACTTGACAGTGATATTAAAGTAGCTTATAGTAATACACATATTAGTTATCTAATTCTATGGTATTACTATTATTATTATTGAATCTAAATATTATATATATATATATATCCAAGCCTTTAATTAATTAAATGACATATACTTTATTTCAGGTTAAATAAATAAATAAATACAAAAAAGCGCTATTTTTTGTTTTATGGATATAATTTTTTATGCAATTGGTTAATTGTGGCTCGAGATACATCATACATATTCTTATCTCTCAGTTGACACGCCATCTTGTCCCAACCAAAGCGGGACATCTAATGTAATAAAGTTAGATTGCTGTGATGTATAGTAGTTGCTGATAGAATTTACATGGTCCACTTTTGATCGGTTAACGATGTAAGGAAAGAGAATAATGGTATCACTGCCAAAGCTGTCTATGAGAGCTTGCAGAGAACTACCATACATGCTCATTCTTGTCATACGGTTTATAATTTTAGAGTCAATACCTATTAACACACACACATATATATATATATATATATATGTTAGAATAAGTATGTAGACATACTGCTTTAACTACAAGAATTACCAGAGAAGAGTGCCTTGAATGTTTTGGATCTTCCTTTTGGAAAAGATTCATAAGGATAATAGCGGAGACAGTACTCATGTACCAATCTATACATATTGAAGGCCACAATGTTTCGGTAGGCCATTGCCAAGTCCTTCATATTTTGGTAATGAACATCCTGGTCGTGGCAGTACAGCATGGCGTCTCGCAGACTGATATCTTCCATTTCTTCATGGCAGGACACAACTGGGACTAAATTAAAGCCATAATCCACAAGTCCAGCAGTGGCGGATTTTGCCAGAGCCATAATTTTGTACATTACCGAAGCCTCGAACACTTCTCTATTAAGACATTTCAGTTGTATAATGTCTATAGGAATTTTATAAGTATAGTATTATATCTTTATATCTTTATAATTATTATACCTTGCAAAGTGCTTTCAATTACACTTGCCTGATACCTTATGACAACAGGGTCATTCTATAAAGACAAGAGTTAAATTATGCAATCTTACAATATATATATATATATATTACTTACATCTGCTTTTCTTCTAGATAACGGAACCAAACTAGTGGGTTGAATAACAAAAGAATTTTGTACTTGCACTATTATTATTTTTTGGATTTTTTTAACAAGTCAGTTTTAATAATATAGATAGTATTCATACCTTGACCAGCAGAAACATCAGGAGCCGTAAGCTCTTCTTGGGCATCATAGAAATCCATTTCAAAGATCTCCGAGTCTCCAGAATCGATACCCGGAGCGGACTCCATTAATGAGTCTTGCTCAGGAAAATTCTCGATGGGCTATATATAAAATTATTTTAAAATTAACATTATTACATGTTATTAAATAAGAAATGTATCTTTTTTTTGGGGGAGAGTTACTTTGTTATTTTCTTGTTCAAAGGCAACCGGTGCATCTAAGTCTTTGGTATAAATAATCAAATTTGAGTATATGCGCATAAAATAAAGAATTGATGCATTGAATATACATTTACCTTCTACCTCAACCTTAATTAGCACATTAAGATTGTTGGCCACAGCAAAGATAACTGAAATGATGTTATCTTGGGACTCTATCGATGTGTTTAGTGTATGTATCCATATATAAATATACACTTTGTACCATTTTTTAATATATCAGTAATCTGACTGATTTTCAAAAGAAGGTCAGAGTTACTCATATCAATATCGGAAACTACAAAAGAAGTATGACTGTTAAGATTGTAAACTAACATATATGTAGATGGTCGATTTTAATTTTTAATTTATTTTTTTTAGTTTTAATTTTAATTTTAATTTTAATTTTAATTTTAATTTTAATTTTAATTTTAATTTTAATTTTAATTTTAATTTTTCTTATGTAAAATAAAATAAAAATGTTCTTGAACTTACATTGAGACATTGAAAAATTTAGAGAGAAAAAGAGGGGAGAGAAAAGAGAAAAGAAAATGAGTGATAATAAATTAGAAAAAAAAGAAAAGAAAAATATTTGATGTGTATGTATGACATGCTGTAGACCAAAAATAATAACAGCAATAGCAGTAGATTGACTCCCAGTCATTTTTGAGTCAATCATAATTAAATACTGCAAAGAACGTGAGGATCATTTTTATTTATTTATTTATTTTCTTTCTTTTTTGGCTATATGATTGGATACAATTGTAAGCTGGTTGATTTATAGAGAGGAAGAAATCATATTTCATTCAATACACACAACGAAAAATAAGAATAAAAAAAAGGGTGGTCAACAAGAATAAGGTAGGTCAAACGTCAGAAGAGCAAAATGTATAAATCTATGTCTCACCAACAAATACTACCATTACTCAAGTCTTGTGTTTCATATAAATATACAATATTATTAATTTAAATCTTTATACGTGTGACTTGTTCAATTTTTAAACAGGGCGATAGTCTTTATTACATAACAACGTGTTTATATTTTTGTTTTCAAAACCTTGAATTCTTTCTTTGTTTTCTTTATTTTTATTGTGTGGATGACCAAAGGTAATGTACTTTTTCATGTATATATATTTATATATTTCATGCATTCTTTCCAAGAAGAAGAAAACATCATCATCATCATCATCATCTTCATCTTCATGTATAGACAATTAGTTAGTAGATTTCTATTATAAGAATGAACTGAATATAAAAAGCATGCAAGACAGTAACAGATGCATACCTATATTAAAAATAATCGACATTTTTATTTAAAAATAATATTTGCTCACGGTACAACGAAAATAAATAAATAAAAATCCAAAGAAAAGAACAAGTTCTCCAATCAGAATCTGGAAAGGCAGAGATAGAGTGCGCACATGTGTTTTATAAAGAAGTGAATTAAAAATAACTATGTATATACTGGAGAAAAGTAAGTTGATATATTTAAATAGTTAAAAAGAAACATATCAATATACTAAATATTTTTTGTGGGTAGCTGACAAATACTTACAAAAAATCGTTGACAATTTTGTTAACAATCTGGAAAACTGTGAGCAATATAACATAACATTAAACAAGAAGAACAAGCCATTTAACATATTTTTTTTTACAGCCAGCGATGACAACATTATTGAAGCAATTGGGCAGATAGTGTTTGCTGCCCATCTTAAGGTTGCCCCAGAGTTGCATGGTATTTTATATATTTTTAAATCTAATCCCAAATCTAACTCGAATTACTTTTAGGGCAACTTTCGCAAAAGTTGGCCGAGCCCCAGCTTTTTGAACAAGCACCCCTGCCACTGCCCCTGCCACTGCCACTGCCTCTACCCCTGCCCTATCAGGTAAACATGCAAATATATTCTGTAAAGCTGTTGCTTTTAAATATTTATCATTTCACATAAAAATAAAAATATTAATTAAATTCTCTTTTCTAGGGCTGAAGAGAATGGGCGAGCCACTTGAGGAGGCTTTGCAGAAAGCTCCTCGGACTGAGGTAAATAAAAATAATATGTAGTCATATAAATACCTAACAAAATGTTGTCCATATGCTCAACAAGCAGGTTGAGTTGCTTTCGGAGGAAGAAGAAGAACAAGTCTGTGAAGAAGATAAAAACGAACCCCGTTTAGCTATTCTTGCCTCTATAGCTGTAAGAGAGCAAAAAGGTAATATATATATAAAGCAAGAATTTCCAATATATAAATTTAATTTATCTTTAATTGTCTATAGAGATGACAACTGAGAGATTGTCAAAGGTGGTTGACAGTAAGTACTTGCAATAAAACATATTTAATTTTGTCTATATTAATACATCTCTCTTAGAGCTGCCCCTTTTGGACGAGGATGCCTTCCCTGAGGAAGACTCTCTTGCAAGCCTTAATGACAAGCAGGGAGTTTTCATTGAGAAATTCTGCCTCAGTAAGTACAACCAAAATAAATATTAATAGTTTAATAGACTAGGACAGCTTGTTCCAAAAGAAGAATTTTTCTTTCGGAAATGAAATCAAAAATCGCCTTATGCGAACGGAGGTGGCCCAGCAGTTAATTAGAGAAAGCTGATCTGTGACCTCAATTTTGTGGAATGCGCAGAGAGAATGAAAACTCTTTATAGGGAAAACAATCAAGCAAGCTGTTTTGCTTGTTTTGAAAGGTAAGCGATTCTCAGACTAAATAATAATATAATATATAGTATAACATTATATAATAGAATCAGATAAGAGTCTAATGATACCAATGTCAACAAACACATTAATTTGTGGCGCATGTGGGTGGATGGAGCTTGACCATGGGATAAATTTTGATAAAATAAAATAAAAATCAAATACAAAATACAAAATACAAAGAAAGTAATAGTTGGCTTTAAAGGTAATGGGGTCTAATGTAACCTAGAAAAAAATAGGGAATAAGAAGAGATTGTCTATTCTACAAAGCAACATGTAGAGAAAGGCATCCAAATAGGTGTAAAACCTAATTGCCTTAAGGAACATGGTTTTAAGAAAATTGAATGAAACTCAAAATGAACAAGATAGTTATAGCAGCCGTATGAATAAGCAAAACCTATAGTCAGAGAATAAAGGCTTACGAATGAATAGATAATTAATCGTTAACTATTGAATAATAATAATAATATTATTAAAAAAAAAGCATAAAAGAAGAAAGAGGCCTTTATACTAAAATGTTTTATGGACGAGAAAAGATACGTATTTAAATTGATCTTCTTTACTGTCCATATAATATATTTTTGATTTGCTGATTTGTGTGCGCCATTGCTATAAAAAAAGTTATTTGAAAGACAAGAATTGGTAGATGGGTCTGGCACAGCGTATGTATATCCAGATATTTAATTCACACAAGATGAATAAATGACGATACTAAAGTTAATGAACACCATCATTTTGATCTTATTCTTTTCCCGTGATTTAATACCAAATGTTAAGTACCACTCATTATAAGCTCAATTCAAGCTAGTCCTGGCTGCATCGTCTATAGTACCTTGACGTTTAGATAACATTAAAGACAAAGATTGAAAAGTGGTTCCTTTTTTTTTGAACCACGACATAATCCCAAAAATAATAACAGAAATTATAATAATTCTCCTGTTTCATTCCATAATCTTTTCCTTGTTCAAATCTTTTGCTCAAGTGTAAGACATAACATCATCTGTGCCTCTTGTAAAATTCATACTAAAGCGGTATCAAATCTATCAAAATATATATATATATGTATAAAGAGAAAGTTTCAAGAAATGATAATGAAACATATTTTTTTATCTTGACCAACCTTTGGTTCTTTATTTCTTTAAGAAAAAATGCTGCGTCCATAACCCGAGTGGACACCTTTTCACCTTTATGAATTCAAAGCATTTATTAGCTTTTATTTGATACCAATATGAGTATTGTCTTGACTTTCCTTAAAATGATTTTCATTTTTATTAAAGAACAAATTATAAGGAGGAAATAAATTATGTAAAGATCTTGCCACACATTAAAAATGGAGTAAGATGAGGTAAAAAGACGTTGGAATCACAGTCTCTAGAGTAATTTACCTTCAAACAGCTCAAGCAAACGAGTTGGTCTTCTATTTCTGTTTTTCTCTTATAAACTAAAAAACGCTTCATTTTGATACTTCCAGTAACAGTCTTTGAAGATCTCACTATTCTCTTTTCTTTTATATTTTATTTATATAATCTGGAGTACAAGAATTTCAATATAATATAAAATAAAAGAAATAAATAAAAGAAAAAAAAAACACGAAATTTTAATTTGGTTGGCTTTTGATATATACGCATATAACTTTATCAACATGCTTAACATTGAAGCCGATATAAAACTGTACAATTTTCCTATATTTGCCATCTACTCTGGCAATGTCATCAAGATGGAGGTCAAAGGCAAAGGAGACGGAGGCTCTGTGTACCTACATACATCCGACTTCAACTTGATGTACTATGCAATCCGTTATGCTGAAAAAGACGTCATGATGATGGTCAAAGGTAAAGAAAAAGAAAACAGTGAATATTATTTAATATATATCTTTTAGGGCCTGTCGATATGAAATGTGGCATGGGAGAGGGTAACATGTTACAGCCGCGTTTGCTGGGTACTTTAGAGTATATGAAAAGACTGAGATCAAGGATAGCACGAGTCACTACAGGGAACAGCGAGAGGAGTCAGAGGCTGACCGTCCTGTAAGCCAGCTTACAAGATACAGGGTCTTGCATCATATCGCGTCCAATTGGACTCAAAGCTTTGTAAAAGTTAAAGGCCGTGTTGACCTGGCCACTTTCTGCCGACCTTTGGAGGGCCTGCGTCTGGAATTGGTTAAAAAGGACTTGTTAGCGATGAACCTCTATTCCAAGATGGAGGCCTTGAACTGATTTCAAGCAGTATGGAAGAAACAAGCGGCCAGAACGCCTATGCACTTGAAAGACTTCGAGCCCAGAAAGTCAGACAAGAACAAGCCGCCTTGTTGACAGTAGAACCACTTCCCCGGCATCTACTCTTTTGAGATATTGACTTTGAATATCATTTTTAAATTATTATTATTATTATCATTATATAGCGCCTTTTAATATTAAGCATTGTACGATTCGGATCTCGATCAAATGTACCCTGAATGCAGATAAGTATATCTTGTTTTTGCTCATTTATTTTCTCATTTGCGATATATTAAGGGTGGACAATAGGATTAAATCTACGACACTGGTACTTAAGCATACTAAATTGGTACACAAGGCCTTTACGCAAAGCTATTACCAATCCCAAACGATTTCGAAAAAGCTATACAATATAGTCTCGATCTACGCTCATTAGGTCTACATCTTTATGAATTATATTCAGAGGTAATCAATGATTAAGTACTATATATCAACCACTTCAAAAAAAAATGGAGGAGTTTCCATTTTTTGAGCTGGACAAGCCTCCCGCTCCTTTACCCATCGCTTTTGGACTCCTTTTCATTATATCTTTGTCCAATATTACAGTTGATAATATTTTAAGCTTTTTTTGTTTTATTTTTTTTATTGACAAAAAGAAGAATAAATTATTTCTAGGTTTTGGTTCTAATACCATTACTCCATAGCATCTTTACTTTTTATTTTTACTTACCTCTTGGTCGGCCGAATTATCATAACATTGAATCCACAATTATTATGATTTTTTCAGCAAAATTAACCTACCCGTAAATCACAGTTGCATGCAAGGGAAATTATTGGTCCATGGCATGATTGGGAGAGGTGTGTTCATATTCAATAGAAATTATATGCACTTTAATACATATTAAAGAAAAAAAGAAATAGAGCAAATAAAGGAATATAAAATATTACCATAGTTTTGATAGCCTTGCTTAATTGTAAAAAGTGTTTATGGCGATAGTTTCGATAAGAAAGAAAATAAAAAGGGAACTTCGGAATAATTTTGGAGGATGATGGAATGAAGTATAATGCCAGCCTTGACTAATCTAGATGGACATTGTGAAGATACCAGAATGAAACAAAGAGTGAGTATCTATGACAACAAAATAATGTTATTATTATTACTTTGTTATCTGTAAAAGCATATTGTTTATTAAAGCACCTCACCAACGCCTACGAATATAATAAAAATTGAAAATTGTGAAAAGGAAAAAAAAAAAGCGAGACAAAAAAGCAGTATCAAGGCCGAGTTTCATCACAAAGCAAGTTCCAAAAAAATATTATGGTATTGATGACATCCTGAATATCTATATAATCGCACCTTTGAAATATTTTTATTTTATCTTTTTCTCTTTGCTCTTACTCTTTTGCTATTTTACCACTCACTAAATACTTACATACACCAACCAAATTTCCTTAAAATACTTCTTGTAAGCTTGAAATTATTTATTTCATAGTTCAATTCAATTTAAATTGTAAAAAATACCAACATTATTAAAAATGGAATACTTTGCCTTTATAGTATACCCTATAGACAATATTCATTAAAGGTCGGACACTTTCTCTTTGTCCCGTCGAGGTTTCCGACCAGTAGTTGTTGGAAATACTTTCCACTTTGAAGATTGATATATCAGACATGGGAAGCAACATTGCAGCTGACATGTCGATTGTACAAGCACAAATCGGCACTGTTGAAGAGACATTTCTGAACATGAATAGCAGGATTAGTGTTCTTGCCACCAGCAGCACTGAAACAATCACTTCTATTGACAGTTTGTCCAGGGTTCCCCTCGTTGCCCCTGCAAATACAATGGCTAATGTTGCTCAGCATGCTTTCAACGCCCCATCTGAGTTTAGCAAGAAGGCATCTAATGATGTTTACGTGAGTATCAACGTGTGTAAAATTTTATCGATGTATTTTCTCATATATTCTATCAAGCCCATATTCGTAATCTCATGTGGGATCCCAAGCTTAAAACAAGAAACCAAGCTGATATCCTGGCAAATGAGAGTAAGCCCAGATGGAATACGAATGTTTTCTTTTCTAAGTCACCAAACAAGGAGTTGGTGGTGCGACTTCTTGAAAACTTGAAGCGCAAGTTTACCCATGAGGGATTCAGAGAGGCAGATTTGAGAGCAAGACTACACAAAAACTTCACCAGCCGGGTTTCGAAAGCGAGAAAAACCGAAGAGGGAATAAAAGCAACAAACACTCGTTCAAGAAGGGCAGGACGTGCCAGAGGTGTAAGTGTTATCTCTAAATAAATAATTTCAAAATACTATAGTCTAGTCTTGAGAATTTTAAAAATATTAATACAAAAAACTACTATTAGAATCATACTCGCCGTTTACTTGCATACACAGACAACAAAGACGCAATTGATCTAGAGATGAAGAGAGATTGTGACTTCACGATGCAAGTGGCAGCGATTTCCGATGGAGAATCTGCAGATGAAGACTCTGAGAATCACACGAAGAGCATCGTCAAGATTGTTCGGTCAGGATGGAGAAGTGACGAGGTATATTATTTTATATTAATAATTGTGTCTTGTTATAAAAAAATATGAAGTAAAATATTAACGCTTTTGCTTTAGTTCAACTGTCTCAATGAACTCGTTGATATTATGTTGTTGATGCAATGGGGGCAAGTGCTCGTCAAATGATTAAGAGGGTTTTGACCAGTGTGTCCAACACAGCAACTCTAGATGACATAAACTCCAATTTTCCTCAGTGGACTCTTAGACATGGGTTCTAAATAAACAAAAAAATATATCTTTCTTTCTATCTACGTATTAGTCTTGACACGGTTATGGTGCAGTGACCAGCTGAACCAAGGAGGGCGCAATCACCACTTTGAGTGAATGGGGAGTGGCATAACAGAAATTGGAAACTCCTTTGGCCACAAGCTTGGCGATTGGTGTGATCTTTTCTGCGTTCGTGCATTTTTGTCGTTCTCTCAAACGCGAGAGAGAACGACGTGTCCGTAGAACAAAATTCACATACATATTTCGGTGAATCTGCATATCAACCACACTTTTTTTTACTCTTCCTACCTGGTTCTATTACTTTCGTACTTCATTTTCGATTAGTCCCCTTTACTAGCAGGCGTGGTAGTAGCAAAAGCTTTGAGTGTGGTGGTCCGTAATTTTGCATTGAGGACATCACATCGCCTAAATCCATGAATTTATTGTTTTTTTTTGTTGTTTTTCTAAATATATTTTCTGACCAACGATTTAGCATAGTCGCCCCCTATCCTCCCACCCTCAACCCCGAGACAATTTCTCACTTTTACGTGTGTCACACATATTTACATTAGCCTCTATAAATATCTGTTTGTGTCTCTATTTTACTTTTTGTTGCTAAGCTACATGTTTTATAAATAATTCTTTTGGGCGTTCTAAAAAAAAAGAGAACTCTGCGTTATGCCTATTCTGATTGGCTGATAATAATTCGAGCACAACAAAAAATAAAAAAATCTTTTTCGTTTCTTGCAGATTCAATCTCCACCTCTATTCCGCTCCTTTTTTTTTCTCTCTAAAAAATACTTCTTTATATTTCTTATTCCAGAATTCATTTCATCAATTTTTTATTGCTTGCCTTGTTTTGCTTATAAAAGACACCACAGAAATGCTATATACACTTTATTAGAATCAAGCAGAGATCTGCTTATATTATCCTCTAATAAATTATCAAATGCACCTTACTAAACTTCTATTCTCAATTTCTCTTTCATATTATTTATTTTCTATAGTTCTTTTCACTTAATTTTCTCTCATGACCCGAGGCCATCAAGATACCCGCCCACAGTCCCAGTTCAAGTACAGCCAATCATTAAGAGGCGGGACTTATTGAGAGCGAAATAAGACCGTCGTTTTGAAAGAAAGAAAAAAATGGAAGCAATCGACTGGAAAGGCAAAGAAGATGGGGATAATATACTAGGGTTCCGGAATGAGATATACGGACCTGAGGGTATGCATCTACAGGAGTTTCTGCGTTCTTAAACGTGAGCAGAACAAAGATGAAATTGCAAAGAGCAAGGCAAATGCTCTTTCCAGAAGATATGGCCGTGAGAAGGAGGTACCTTATATTTTAAAGGAACTATATTATTTGTAATATAAGTTAATCTAAAGGCGAAAAAAAAAACATGTATTTAATTCATATTTTTATTACCACTTCAAACGTCGCGAAGCAGCATACTTGCAAAACAAGCTTGCAATTGATGTAGCAATAGGAGAAGATTGCTCTGCTCTGCTCGCCAAGGAAACTATGTCTGAAACTGAATCAGACACTGATTCAACTGGCCTGTATCCCGTTCGAGTGATTCTGATCCCCCCGTCCAGAATGGAGAAGCGACGAGGTAAAACATTCAGATAATTTAAATACTGTTTTTTTGTTTTTTTGTTTTTGTGTCGTATATTACAATTGTTTAAAGAAAGGTGCAGTCAGTCATAAATTAGCCTAAATGACTAAGTTCAATATTAACTCGTTTTTACCCTTTATCTTCTTTTAGCCTGTCCACACCAAATCTATTCAATTAATAGCCATTTGCACCCTAAATTTAGATCTAATTAGCCATACAAAATAATAAAAAAATTAATCACAAATACAATATGACAATAGCCATTTATGCAGAAAATTATAATGAGTTGTTGCCATTAGATCGTGACACAATCTTGTTGGATATTCTACTATCTATTGGTCTTATTACGCGTACTGTGTTTTTGTCTTTCTTTCAGATATATATTACCAGAAAGCGGCCCAAGGTTTGTTTGTTTTTTTTTAAAAAAAAAAAATAGAAGAAAAGCTTCTTTACCCTTTCCTCCAAAGATATAGGGTTATGACATACCGTCCCAGGATAAAAATCTGCTAAATTGGAAACAACTTGTGGCCCGGGAGAATCAAAATGTCGTCTCTCTAGAGGTGCTCTCGGAATTGTTTTTCGATAAAGAATTTTTTATCAAAAAACAATAATGTTCCTATTTTAGAAGTATCTTTTTTTCAAAAAAGGAACAATATTTTTAAAGACCGTACTTTTTATACCTGCTCTCTAGCAGGGATAAATTTTTTTAAATATCCAAATATAGAAGTACATTTTTACTACTATCAGAACATCATTTGACAATCGCTTTTATCTTACTGTTATATATTATTTTCAGGGTCTTATTTGCTATACAAACCGGTAATTTCTACTCAAAATAATATATGGTATGCTATCTTGCCCCAAGTGCTTTGCTTGAAGTCGAATATTACATGCTTCCTCATAGTGATAAAGCCACAAGAAAAGGTATTCCTTTAATATGCTTTCAAATAAGTTTATATCTTTGGAGTATAGTACTGACTATAACACCGACGTATTATTAATTACACAACATCTATATTTGGCACATATTAATCTTCTAAAAAAGGAACATTATTGTTTTTCGATAAAGAATTCTTTATCGAAAAACAATTCCGAGAGCACCTTAGGATTAGCGTTTTTTTTTTATCCAATTTGGTTTCAAGGCTCGCGATTTTGCCGAGGAAGAACTGAAAGAGGCTGTGCGAGTTGTTTATGAAAAAGGAGGGACAAGTTACTCAGAGCTTACTTACACGAAGAATTTTTGAGAAATAACTCTAGGTAAAATTACTTTATCTGACAAGGCAAAACATAGATAGATATTTAGTCTAACAATTATACACTTTTATATGTTAAGATGGAGCACACACTCGACATAGTAATATATATCTGGTGACATATCATAGAATATTTATTCGCAAACTCTATTGTGAAAATAAAGAGGTAAGTTTAGAACACTCACTATCAAAAGAGAATAATCTTAATGAGCTTCTGCTGTTATAGTGGTTATACCATCCTTAGAAATGGCAAGCGTAAATTCAAAGTCAATTATAATCTATATGCATTTCTATCGGCAATTAGCTCGTTGATACAAGTAGAATTGTGACCAGAAAAGATGTCTTGGCAACCAAAATAAAAGATGATCAAGCAAAGTTACTATTAGAAGCAAAGACAATCATAGAAAATATTGCTAGTACTTTTAACTTCATCAACCCATCATCAATCGCAGTTCCCACCATTCAAATCGGCCGACTTTACTAGCACATCTCTCGTATGACCCCACCGAATTGTCACCAAACGCTTGTACGAAAGAATCCGGCTGCCTCTACAAGCAGACGATTCCCAAACAATGAAGTGTTATTTGAGAAGTTTAATTCTGTACAAACAATAAGTTGAGGATCTAGTATCCCACATAAAGAAATAAGTCATCAGTGCCATAGATAAACGCTCTTATTTTGGTCTTGTTCTCGGGAAAGCATACAAAACAAAAATTTTAAACTATCGCCACTGGATAAATAAAGCAGATGTTGAAAGCAGCGGCTAAACTGCTACTATTGATAAAAACGACGCCTATTTATCATAGCATTATTACTATATCTTTCTTAATGTTCACTATTGATAATAAATACCATCTACTTCTTTTTTGAATTCTAGCTTTTATTAATTTATTAATTAAAGAATGTAAATTAACATACATAAGAGTATATAATAATAATGCATATTTTGTATAAAAAATTGAGTGCTATAATATATACATGAATTGAATGCCATAAATCATTAACTACACATTGAAAGTAGAGCCAAAACAGTTCACTTATTAGCTAACTTTTATGGGAGTTTGAAAAAAAAATGGTAAAGAATTTATACTTTCAGTGAAAACGTGAGGATATGTGTCGCGTAAGCATGATCCTTGACTTTTGATTTCCAACTCTGTGATTCTTGGTCAATGTTTGTACGTAGTTTACTTAGCTGTGTCAGAAAGATAGTACCAAGCGCCTAGATTATCGTTGGTGTCATCGTAAAAAAAAGATATCAAAGAGTATTAATTGTCGAGAAAAGAAACCCTGCTAATGTACAATGGCGAGTAAATTAAGAAAATAATAGCTAATTCCTTTCTTTTGCATGTTAATTAGATGGTGGGTGTAATGAATAAAAGGAAAAAAGGCTCAACAAAACAGTTCCTTCGATTAAGGTTCCGCGTTATGTAAGCAATCATCGGATAAATTCTGGTGCTTTGCCGTCATACGGGTAGTTTGGCAGTGACTTATTTTTTTTTTTTTACATTTTTGGACAATTTGCTGGTTTTTGGATTTATGTCGCTATATGTGTAAGATAATAGATTTATCTTTCTTGCTGCTTGTCCTGTATGGTTGTGAGCAACATATATACGGTAGGTGGCTTTCATATCAATGCGCTTTCAATTCAAAGTTGCCTTATATGAGCATCATCTATACATATATACCTGCAAATATTACCATTATTGGGATAAGGTATATCACAAAGGTCAGCAACACAAAATGCATTACACAAATGATTCGTATACCGTATGGATCTCCCAACACCAATATATACACAGTGTATTAATGTGTAGCAAAGTCTGTATTGCTTCTCGCATTCAGTAAACATATCATTACGCTTTTCTGCAATGTCTTTTTATAAATAGAACATTTTCCTTAAAAATACAGAGCTTAAAAATCATCTTTACCAAAAAGAAAAGGAACTCCCACTCGATCCTTGAAAGCGAAACCGTAAATGTGTTCATGGTAACATCAATAGAAATAATTCCATACTATAAAAAGCCTTTTTTCTTTCCGTTTATCTTTCGCTAATCTATATTTCCTTCTCTTCCCTAAACTCTTTAACAATGGACGTCGTCTCAAATTTCATATCTGAATTGCGCAATAAGAACCTTCTATCCAGTAACCTTGGTGTAGTCAGTACTGCTACAATTGGAGTTCTTCTTTTGCTGGCTCTTAAGTATCCTGATCGTGCCATCTTTACTGAACATCGGGATGGTGTGCCTCATGAGAAAGGTCTTCCCCTTGTTGGTCATTTATTCGGGCTACTAAAGAACAAGTATCGAATCCATGACTTTCAAACCGACAAATTTGTAAAACTGGATACTATGACAATGCAAGTATACCACAAAATAAAACAATGATATTTTAATATTTGGCAGCTAAGGCATAAATTTGCCAATGACCAACCCACACATTTAATAGGACAATGTCTGTGCTGGGTATTCCCCGTACTATATTTACTATCGATCCGCGTAATGTTGAGCATGTTTTGAAAAGTAAGTTGAATTTTATTGAAGGTTCGGTCTGTGCCATACAAAAAAAAAGCCGAAATTGTAGAATGTCTTGACCTTATAATAGTGTAATTGACCTGCTTTAAATTAGCAAACTTTGAAAACTATGTAAAGAGTACTTGGTTTAGTGAATGTACTGTGCATCTCTTCGGTCACGGTATCTTAAATTCCAATGGAGCACAATGGAGATGGCAGCGCAAAGCAGCAAGTCTTATCTTTAACGTCAAGAACTTCCGAGATCAATTTACAGAGTATGCTCACCATAGGATTACTTTAGAAGAAAAAGAAGAAAACATAGTACTGATACTAGAATATTTAGCGTATTTGTGGATGAAGTTGAGATCTTGTGCAATGAGATACTCGAAAAGGCCGTGGTTTCTGGAGAGGCAGTCGATCTCCACGAACACATATTCCGTTTTACCCTCGATTCTTTTGTCTAGTAAGCTAAAGATAGTCTAGTACTCTGTTAAGTTCCCACACTAACTTCCATTAATTATTTATTTATTTATTTTAAGCCTTGGTTTTGGTATTCAATTGAATTCATTAAAGACAAAGGAAGAAGTAGATTTTGCTGCTTCCTTTGACGCATGCCAGCTATACTCGCTCGAAAAATTCATGAACCCTATGATTGAGTATACAGCCATAATTGACAGAATTCTGCACCCTAGAAAGAAAACGATAAAGCAACACATCGAAACCATAGACAATTTTTCTTCAGCTGTGATTTCTAAGCGTCGTACAGAACTTGCAAACGGTGGGACACCTAATGACCTATTGTCCCGTTTTATGGGCGCCAAGAATGAGAAAGACGAACCTTTGAGTGATAAAGAATTGAAGGACATTTCATTGAACTTCATTATTGCTGGTCGTGACACCACTGCTGTAGCTCTCACCTGGGTATTCTATTGTTTGTTTAACGCACCAGAGGTTGAAAAGAAGCTCCTTGAAGAAATTACGAATTGCATCAAGGATGAAAAGAAGATGGATTCGGCCGAGATTTATGAGACTATCAAGAACATGACTTATGCTCATGCAGTGTAAGTCTATAGTATATCTAGATAAAATATATGCTTGTATTTACCCGGGAAATAATCGGCTTTAGATTCTACGAAGTTCTCCGGTTATATCCTCCAGTCCCTAATAACCAGAAATATGCTCTTAATGACGATATACTTCCAGATGGCACACATGTACTAAAGGGTGACAATGTAGCCTGGTCGCCTTACGGATCCAGTCGAAACAAAAAGATCTGGGGTCCCGATGCGGCAAATTTTGATCCTGAACGATGGATCACTCTGGAAGGTAATCTTCGTCGTGAAACACAAGGCAGATGGTCAGTTTTCAACGGTGGTCCAAGAGTCTGTCTTGGTGAGTTGTTTTCTTTTAATAGTATTAAATCTCACTAGCAAGAATCGTAAAGAAATAAAAAATATTCCCATCTTTAAAAACATATGATTTATTCAAGTTCTCTTTTTTTAAAATAATAATAATAATAATAGGTCAAAGCTTTGCTACTTTGGAAGCATTAGTTGTAATCATCTTCTTGTTTAAGAGATACAAGTTTACCATGCTTCCGAACCAAGACATTACCTACGAGACTTCCTTAACCTTGCCTATGAAGAATGGTTTGAGGGTCAAAGTCGAGAAGCGTGTTTAATCAATTGTATCGGACACTCTCCTCTATATGAGCTTGTCCTCATTCAACTCCCACAATGTCCATACAGCATACACACATTCAAAATAATATTTTATATATAACTTCAATACAATTACTTTACATAAATAAATAAATATATCAAAATTTATTCGGCATTAATATGCTTTTACCTTTTTGATTTGGTCAATCTGATTCAAGTTTATTGTGGATAGTGATACACATCTATCTAAAATATGGTATTCTTCTTTGGTAGTCTTTGACGTATAGAACATTTAAGTGTTCTTGGAGTGATGGGTCAATCGGCAAATTGGGAAATAGTACAGAAATGCATATATAGACATATATTTATATAAAGCTATATTATAGTGAGACGGTTGGTATGGCTTTTGGAAGTCGCCACTCCATAGAGTATAAATAGGAAAAGGTAAGAATACTAAAGTGCGTGAATCGAGTAGGTTGAATGCGCAAGGCAGCACAGACCCTAATTGAGGGAGTTTAGTGAGACATAATAAAATAACACTTTTTCTCTATTTGCACATCATAGTTGATCTAGTTATTTAAGTATCATTTGACTCATCCTAGTTGTTTGAGTGTATGTCTATTGTCCCTTGTTACGACAGATCCATTAGAGATAGAAAACCCCTGCCAGCTTGTAATCAGGCTATAGACACTGTGCAACTCGAATATCCTTTCCCACAATAAATGTGTAACTAGCTAATTTACGTCTTACAAATACACTATATTTTAATGTTTATTTTGTTAGGACATTCTTTTCGAAATCTGGAAGTAAATATACCCTTTTAGGCTTATATAGTTTCTAAAAGTACAAGTCGATTGACTCATCACTTGGTGAGCACCTGGGATTTCTGGGAAAACTTTATTATGCTATATATATTTACGTGAATACAGGATTATGAGTCAAACCTTAATAGTAAGCATGGAAGGTATATTTCCCCGAAGTCCGGGATTTTATGGTATAAGCCTGTAGTCAATGTGCGACACCACAAGAGTAAGTTTTGTTTTGTCTTTTTTTTTTATATCGAAAAAATGGTGTGATATTTTTTATCACTCTATTAAAAAAAACCCCCATTTTTTTTTATTCCATATTATCAAAATAAAATAAGCATTTGAATTCACATTTAGAAAAGATATACACTTGGGCTTATTCAATATAAGCGCCAGTTTGCTATCATTATGGAATACAACGTTTGTTCAGCCTCTCAAATTTTATTAAAGAAAAAAAAACCATTGAAAGTAGGAGTTTTATATCTTATGCCTTCTAATTACGTCTCTTAAGGCATCTCTTTTATATGGTAAGTGTTGGGCTCCCCATCTCATCCCTTTAGAGGGGTGTGTCTAATATGACAGTTGTAAGATAAGTGGAAAGTAAGTTTCTTTTTGTACGTAAATTCATGCTTTTAATATACGTTTTCTTTTCTTTTTTAAAAATAATAATATATATGTATAAAACTTACGTCGATTAGAGACTTGAATAGATTGGGTCTTTTGAAGAAAACTTGGGCAAAGTGAATCATGTAGATTCCGCAATCGAAATTGTTTGTTTGTCTGAGAACAGGTGGGTTTGAGTATGTAGGGCAAACAAAGTTTTGCTCTTTCACACCGTGTTTGATACGAGCTTCATATTTCAGGTACTCGATCAGAAGATTGGGAAAATTATTTTTACAGACACCCAGAGAGTTCAGTACATAAATGTGCGGTCTGTAATAAGTGTGAAGAAAATGACTTGGATATTAGCCTAGACTCATCGCAATTAGCATAGTGACTATACTCACGACCGCTTGGCTTTTGAAGGGAATACGCACTGGTCCACATTCACAGCAATCATTAAAATCCAATGGTTTCTGTCATTAAAGAGAATTTGAATAAATTGCACTCCTTTTTCACGTATTCAGGCATTCTTGAATTATTATTATTCCAACAAACCTCTCGTTTACTGGGATGACAATATGTTTCTTTTTAAATAAATCGACCTTTGATCCCCACTTCTTGAGACCGTCCAGATCGCATGTCTTTACTTTTTTTAATAGGTCTTGGTAAAAGAAGCAATTAAAGACATGCACATCTGTTTTAAGTGGGGACTTTTGTTTTGTTGCTATTGAATCCATGGACCATGTAAGGAAAAAGTCGATCAGGTTGTCATTGAGATATTCTCCATCTTGTAATTTTTTTTCGTCTCTGCGAGTGATCATAATCTGGTCTCTAGTGCGCGTTCTTTTGGGTGGATAAGTAAATATCCTACAGAAACATCCAAAATAATTATTACTTGACACATAAGATCCATCACAAGTTCTTACATTTCCGATTCTACCATAGTTTCGTCTTCGTCTGATGATGTTATAGTTATATAGTCTTGAGGTGAAATTGTCGTTGGACTACTGTTCGGTTTAGCGTTGGAGAGATCAGTTTCACCCATTTTTTCTTCTTTTGCTTCTTGTTCTTGCTTTACTTCCTCCTCCTCCTCTTCCTCTTCTTCATCTTCTCCTTCTTCCTCTTCTTCATCATCTCCTTCTTCCTCTTCTTCATCATCTCCTTCTTCCTCTTCTTCATCATCTCCTTCTTCCTCTTCTTCATCATCTCCTTCTTCCTCTTCTTCATCGTCTCCTTCTTCCTCTTCTTCTTCTCCTTCTTCTTCATCCTCCTCCTCTTCTTTTTCTTCTTCTTCTTCTTCTTCTACTTCCTCCTCTTCTCCTTCTTCTTCATCCTCATTCTCTTCTTCTTCTTCTCCTTCTTCATCTTCATTCTCTTCTTTTTCTTCTTTTTCTTCTTCTCCTTCTTCTTCTACTTCCTCCTCTTCTCCTTCTTCTTCATCCTCATTCTCTTCTTCTTCTTCTCCTTCTTCTTCGCCTTCTTCTTCTTCATCCTCCTCTTCTTGTTCTCCTTCTTTTTCTTCATCCTCCTCTTCTCCTTCTACTTCCTCCTCTTCTCCTTCGTCATCCTCTTCTTCATCTTCTTCTTCTTCGACATCTTGTTCTTTCTCTTCTTGTTCTTTTTTTTCTTGTTTTTCTTGTTTTACTTCTGTTTCTTCTGTTTCTGTCTCTTGTTCTTTTTCTTGATTCACTTTTACTTCTTGTTCTTGTTCTTTATCTCCTTCTGTTTCTTCTCCTTCTGTTTCTTCTCCTTCTGTTTCTTCTCCTTCTTCTGTTTCTTCTCCTTCTTCTGTTTCTTCTCCTTCTTCTGTTTCTTCTCCTTCTTCTGTTTCTTCTCCTTCTTCTGTTTCTTCTCCTTCTTCTGTTTCTCCTTCTTGCTCTTCTTCTTCTTCTTGCTCTTCTTCTTGGCCTTCTACTTCTTTCTCTTCTTCTTCTGTTTCTTGCCCTTGCTCTTCTTGTTTTTCTTCTTGCTCTTCTTCTTCACTGAGTTGATGAATCATGCAATATTCGCGAGTCTTCTTTTGCCTTTTGCGTGACTTCTGTTCCGTAGTTAAATTCACTGATACAACTAATTTGATATTCTCAACAAGTCACTACTTCTCACCTTTTCAAGCTCTAGATAACGTCGCCGTTTAGCAATAATATCCCATTTTCGTTCGAGATTCTACAAGTAAGAGTAAAAGTATATACATGTATAAGTAAATATTGGCACACACACACACATAAGTATATATATTCCTTTTCTATTATAAGTTCTTGGGTTGTTAAAACCATTCCCTTAAAGCAATTTTTTCATATTCTTTGTTGTAAATTCTGTATGTCAAGCTTCGTATAGATATACGATTTAAACAATACAAAAATATGAAAATGTACAAGTGATTTATGGAAAATAGCCCGCATAAGCATATCCTAAAAAAAGCCCTTACCAATGAAAGTATTGCTATAAACAGCGTTAAAATTTGTTTTCTTGTTTTTAAAAGTATATTATATATATATATAGTGGTAATATAATGATAATAATAATAAAAGGCTTGAGCTACTTACGTGATGTGTCAATAATTTCTGGGAGTTGATGATGTTTTTCTGGCAAGAAGTTCTGTTCAAGCGTTTCCTATTAATATATTTGTAAGAGATTAGCTATACTTGATATCGTTTAGTGTATTATGTATCAAGTAACATACAGAGTCCAACTTGGCATGCTGAACATTTTTTTTAGGTGTTTCTGTCGGACCTAGAATAATAGAAAGGTTAGAGACAATGAATATCTTTAGAATTTTTATATTCGCGTTTAATTTAGGCTTTGTCTAAAGTGCGAATAAATGAATGAATGAATTATTTTTTTAGTATTTACCAGATCCTTTAGTCTGGCTTAAAGGTGAGGGTTTTCTGGCCAGGTGTTTTGGTAAGCTTGTTCTCTTGAAGACAGGCGTTTTACAGTTGATAGTCTACCATGACATAAAATAAAATAAGATAAATCATTTATACCAATAACGTTCATTAACATAATATACGGTTGTTTATTATTTGTGTGTTTAATTATCGCATTTGTCTATAACAACTAAATGAATAGTAATAACTCATATATATGTATATATCCCAAACATAAAGTCAAGAAGTTCAAGCCTCATTTTCTTTAGTTTAGAATAGTTGAATCAAGTAATAAATAAACTTTCAAAAAGTCATTTCTCCATCGTGTTCACTTACAATTCCCTATTGTGATTCAAGAGAAAAAAATATGAATTAGTAAATTAACTTTGTTGTCCCTGGAAAAAAAAATAAGGAGAACACGCCAGTCATATTAAAGAAAAGCACACAATGAGATCGTTCACTGGGTATCATCTTGTGCCTTTATGTTTATTTTATTTTTCCCAAGAAGAATGCAGGTATAACGTAATATATTTATTTGACACGTACAAAGTACATCTAAAATGAATCATGCATTTGATAGATTCGTTACCTTCTTACTATCAGATTTATTTGATAAATCATTCGGTTTGAGTTTTGTCATGGTTGGCAGCTTCTATATATGTATTAGATATCCGTTGCTTTTGTTGCTTTTGTTGCTTTCCTCCTTCTTTTTCTTCTATTTCTTTTTCACTCACTTAATGAAGTTATAGACAAACGAGTGACATTTGAAGTTTAATCAATACAGCTACTTTATAGTTCACGTGATTTGGGTATACTCTCGGTATAATACAGTCACTATTGGATTTTTTTTGACACAAAAATCATATTTAATTTATTATAAGAACGCTAATATTAGAGGACGACATTCTCTGATGGGACACTACCTTTTCTGACGGGAGACGATTTTGTGCTTTTACCAGACCATAAATAGGGATTTGCTGTTCGGTATCAAATATTAATGTCTGGTCTTTAAGTATTCATACTTATCATAATAGAAATACTTTAATATGAGACAGGATAATAGCTTCGGCTAAGTGTAAAAGCATCCTCTTAAATATGTAATCGCTGATTTTAGGGGACAACGTTTCCTGGCGGGAGACAAATATTCAATTCTACTGTGCTACAAACCGTGACATTTTTCCGGCATAGAATACCTCTCTCTATCTAGTTCCTAAGGATACAGAATATTCGTATAAAAACATTCTTTTGTGCTTTGAAAAAAGAGTGGATGGGGATTTCTTACCGCTTGGTGCTGTCATACTCTGGGAATATAAGTAGATGAAAGAAAAAGACATGATACGCGTAAGAAGGCCAATAAATAGTAGAATATCCAACAAGATTGCGTCACACTTTGATGACAACAACTCATACTGTTCTGCATAACTGGCTATTGATATAGTTTATTTGTGATTAATTATTATTTCCTTATTGTCAAGTCTAAATACAGGGCTACTAATTGAATATACAGGATTTGATTTTTGCGTAGGACAGTAATTTATTATGAAGTTGCTCAAATACAGGCCGTAAATCTTACAAGAATGAGAATTGGGTGCCTGGGGAAAGATAGATAAACACACAAAGTGTGGGGACAAGGCAGCAAGCTAATACGTACAGAGGGAGGAGGAAAAGTCGGAATTGCAGAGAGAGAGAGAGGAAGGAAACGGGATTAAAAGAAGAAACAAAGAGAAGGAATAATACAGGAGAAAGTAGAAAGTAGAAGAAGCATAAGAGTTAAAGAGCTAGTCTAGAAGATCGGAGGATTGAAAGAGAAGTTGAAGCAATGTGATCCCAGAAAAAAGTACATTGGCAAGAACGAAAGGCGCATTTTCAGGACACACTATTTACTTTGAAGGATTAAAGCTATTGGGTCCCGGAGAGGTAGTCGCAATTAATGAGTCTGGTCAGATAGAAACATCGTTCCCCACCAGGAAACTTTGTCTCCGTAAAATTGCTGTTATAAGAAAACAATAATATTTTAAATCAGAAAATAAAATCCAGGTAATCTCCAAGAACTATGTACTGTAATTCTTTGATATTTATAAGATATATATATATGCTTTGTCGAAATGATAAATTGTGACAAAAGAATAAAAGCTTAGCTTTCGGCTTACCTTCTATTATGCTTCGTTGGATTATATTGTTTGGTCTTGAATTCTAACATTTCACAGGGTATAGTAGGGCTATACATAATTATATTTTGAACATGTTTACATAAAGTATTATCTAAATGAGCAAGTCGGATGATTATATCGAGCTCCAGTAATGTGTTTATGATATCAGCCCGTTGTGTGGGTATCTTTACACTAGCAATATCCGTAAAGACATAGGCGGATTCATGTTCCAGACTCATAGGATAAAAATGAACAACGGTATAAATTGCCTGGAAATACAAACACATCCCAAAGTCAAATGTATCTACTGTATTTTTTGTGAAATATGTTAGTCGGTATAGGTCTTGGTTTAAGCTATTCATATTATCATTCATCTTAATTTCACCCATACACAGTAGAGTAGCCATACTCATGATTTGCACATTTGTCGCAAATATGATCTAGGCGTTCTTTTGATTTTGGATTTATTCTTTCACAAGGCAAAATATTTGAACAATATGGGATTACGTCCAAAGACCCAAAGATAGAGCTGATTACGGTATGGATATAACTACTTGAAAGATGTAGCTCTGATATTTAGTTAGGCATAAGGTTTGTCGACGTTGGAATCAGATTGACAATGACTTCAATAGCTGATCTTTCATATGTGTTTACTTTATTAGAAATTAATAAAAAAAAAAACATACTTTGCCACTACAAAGTCCTCCTGTGCTATAGTCTGCTTGATGACAAATAACATTTGCATACTGGTTCACCTATCTGTGGGATTTTGTATGCAACAGCAAGAAATACAAATAATGAAATGGTAATTTCCAGTGTGTGAATTACTCGAAAATGCAAAGGAATAGCTCCTCCGTCTACATACCAGCTTTAAAAACTAAAGATTCGAGACATTGTTAGAAACAAACAAATAATTAGGTAAAAATATATACATACCCTTATCTTAACATAGATGAATTTAGATTGTGTAAAAGTTGAAAGGACTTTCTGTATTGCCACCGTGATATGTTGAATACAAGCTACAGCGTCATCCTTCAAAGCTTTTCTTGACGGATGGTCTATTCATAAGAAAAGGAGTAAAATCCGAGCCATTGAATGACTTGGCAGAGGGTACAGAATTGCGTCAGATTGCCTCGGTGTTGAGCATGAACAATCGTGTAGCATTTCCGTTTACAAATAACATCTTTTATACAATGAACATCAAAAAGACTGTAAGAGAAAGATAAATAACGGTAAGTATACTTTATTATTCTTTTTCTTTTCACTTCTTTTGTTACGTACTTTGATAAAGATTTATTTCTGGGTGAACGACGATGTTTTATCTTGTTGGAAAGGAAGACAACATAATGTATCGCTCGGGAGATAAGTCCGCAGTTGAGTAATGTTGATTGCCATCGCATTGGAATGTTTAAACAAAAACGAGGGCACAAACCAAATAATTTATCCAAAATTCGTTATACATATTTTTTTAAAGAAAAAAGTGTTAGCAATATTTAACATTCCTAAGGTTTATTGATGACTATTTCCGGATGGTAGGGAAACCCAATGTGTGTCCGTGTACTAAGCCTTTGCAAAGACGATGCAGACATCGGTAACCGTAGATGTTCATCTCCAGTCTTACAGAAAATTTTCAGCAAGGCCTTCGCTGACTACTAATCTCCCAGCAACGCATACCATCTAGATTGTGGAGAAACCCAATGTGTGTCCGTTACTAAGCCTTTGCAAAGACGATGCAGACATCGGTAACTGTAGGTGTTCGTCTCCAGTCTTTCAGAAAATTTTCAGCAAGACCTTCGCTGACTACTAATCTCCCAGCAACTCCACAATATAGTCAATCCTATAATGTTACCTTTCAAATCAAATGTGGTAAAGTGGACGTGAATTCCGTTCTTTTTTTTTGTTTCTACAGAAAGGACTTATATACAGGGTGGAGAGTTATTTGAGGTATGTTGTGTCACGTGTTTGTGCTGCTAGCTTTTTTTCGAGAGGTATGTATTATTATGGCTTAAAACAATATTATCTTGAGTTGCACCTTGGTAGTTAATACATAATAAAAAAATCTATCAGAATATATCCTTGAATTAATTTTATTGTAGGGAGGGTTAATTGGAGACAAAGAGAAATTTTAGGATGGTTTCCACTTTGGAGAAAAAAATGGCTGACATCTGGAGTAAGAATAATTGGCTCTAGTTTGTTTGGTGTGGAAGCAAGTGGAACAAAAAGATAATCACATGTTGAGATTTGAAGTATTCCAATATACAGCATTAGATTTGCGATCTTACGGGGACAACTTTTCTATCTAACCCGGCAAATGCATTATGATTACCTGCCTGGGGCCCGATATATTTCTCGAATCCTTCAGGGCAAAATGGTGTGTCCTGAAAAAACACAATATATTCATTGTACGCATTAGCTTACTACTTTGCCCCTACACTTTGTGTGTTCATCAATCTCTCTCCAGGCACCTACCTATCCTTCTTTTAGAAAGTACGACCTATTTCTGGGCAATTTGATAATGAAATGTTGTCTCGTACAAAAAAAACAAATCCTGTATAGTCAATTAGTAGCCCTGGATTTAGACTTGACAATAAAGAGATAATAATTAGTTACAAATACACTATATTAATATCCAGTTAGGAAGAAGACTATAAGGAGCTGTTGTCATTAAAGTGTGACGCAATCTTGTTTGATATCTTACTATTTATTGGTCTTTTTACGCATAGGATCTCTTTGTCTTTTGTTCACCTATTGTATCTATAGTACCAGAGTTTTACACCACCAACTAGTAAGTAATCCCTATCCACCATTCTGTTTTTTTTTTTCAAAACACAAAAGAATATGCTTATACGAATATTTTGTATTCTAGCTTGTGTTAATTATTGTTATAATAATAGATCCTTAGGGACCAGATAGAGCTATTCCATGCCGCCAAAAAGGTCCCGATTTGTGATCCCGTTGAATCAGAATGTCGCCTCACACCAGGAAATGTCGTGTCCCATCGGGAAACGTTCCCCCCCTTAAAATTAGCGATAATTTATATAGTCTCCTTCCCCCAAAAAGAAAAGAAAAGCATATAGCACAAAAACGCGACATATGTGACACCACGTAACTTTCCAGTATGACCCTAAGGTTCTCCCTGTGACCCATCTTATATACGTATATATATATATATATCCACTCACGCTCTTTGTAACTATGCCACCCAAAAAAAAGCTAGCAAAATCCACATTGCCCAAAAAGAGACCCAAGATTTCTATACCTGACGATGCTCAATGGTGCATGGACAATTCGAGGCTTCTTACTTTTAGAAAATTTCTTGAAAAGTTCGATTGCTTGGACCAACGAGAATCTGAACAACGATACAACAATATTCTCACAAAATATGTGCATAATAAATGCAAGGAACGCGCGAAAATTGAATACAACACCTGGACGAAATCTGCTGATTATAAAGTATTCTGGAACGATAGAGCTGAATTGGATATCATATTGCAAACAAATAAACAATCGACCGGGTTTATTGGACTTGTTACTGGCCAACGGATGAAAAGTCTGATGGACAAAGCAAACGCCGTTGCTCAAACAACAACCAGCAATACCAGTACTCAAGAAATAGCGAAAGATGTCACTGATGATTCAGAAAAAACCAACAATGATGCCATTCCTGACTCAAACACAATCAACGACACTACTGATGATATTGATTCCCACAACAATGCCGATGGAATCTCTTCATTTGACTTGAAATCCTGCATTGATAGTTCAAGCGAAGTCTGTAAAGACCCTTGGATTTTCCGCGGCAACAATATTACGCGCATGTTCAAAGATTATCAGTCAATTGTTCAATCTCTGGTCAGAAAACACGTAGCACTTCCGCTTGAAACATATATCAATGAATTGGCAGCATTGACTCATATTTTGGTCCTGAACAAGAATCAACACAGCTCCATCGCCAAGAAGGTCTTCTCGGTTGATTTATTGGATTACTTGGCAGTATCATTGGTATCAGAGTCAATGGATTACAATCTCAGCATGAATGACCAACAGTACATGGCCATGGCAAAAATAATCAACCAGCTTAGCCTCTCGAATACAACAAGGGAAAAGGCTTTTCTTGAACTTACTCTTATGTCTTCTAGGATGAATTATAGTGAAAGACGTCTTATTCACGGAATCACAAATTTGTAAGTTATATAAAAGAAAAAGATTGGTGACTTTAACGATTATACTTATTTTTTTTTATGATAACGACAACTTAGGATTCAAAAATTGCCAAACTTGCCATTGAAAGACAATAGCAGCATTAGTGAAAGTGAGCTATGGAGTACCTATTTCGATCCTCTACTATCTTGCTTGATATGTGATCCGGAAAAGCTTGTTCATTTACGCTGGACGAATGCGATCCCAAGTGAAGGTGGGAAATTACGACCGGATGCAATCATCTCCAAAAGACAACAATTGGAGTATGAAGGCAGTATCGGGCATGGTGAAGTCAAGATAAATCAGGGCAGCTCAAGCAGATATCTTTTATGCATGGACACCCTTCGTTTGGCAATTTTCAACAAAAATGCTATTGATGTAAACAAATTGGATGGTGCACTCGCATTTCAAATTCATGGTAAGGAACCCCTCACACTTCTCTTCCATCCAACTACATTGAATCTAATGTATTTTTTTAATGAGGCTTCTATATCACATTTTTTATTTCGCGCCTGGTCAAAAACGGTATATATGTATTTTATGAAGTAGCCAACCTCCGTTTCCCTGAATCGTTTGAAGACCTACCATCTTTTATAAGCCTGAAGAACATCACACTGCTACTTGCTGTGAACGATGTCTTTTGGCGCCTATGCAAAAAATCTGACGACACTGCGACAATTACTAGTAGGTACAAGGAAACCGTAAACCTAGAGGGATTGACTGGCACTAGCCAAGATCGTACAAGAACTTGTGCTATGCGATATGGACAATGATGATCCGCCTTGAAAATACACAAAGCCAGGGATACAGCGAATTGGATTTTTTTCACTCATTCCCATCTTACATACAGTGTATTGTAAATGAGTATTGATTACTGCTGAATCTGAGAGTAAGACTGAAGGATAGAATAATATCCTTGGCTATTCCAGTCAAACGGATCTGTCTTTGTGATATTATTCTATACACAGGTCATCATACACATAATTGGTTATTATTTATTATTTAATTCTTTGGTGCTCTTCTTTTTTGTACCTTTTCTTCTCTACTCAAAGTATTAAAGATTAGTTAAGCACATACTGAAATACAAACCAGAAAGCATATAAATATCAGTAGATAGCTCCGTGTAAAAGAAGAATCGAATTTTATTATTCTTTATGTTTTTTTTAAAAAAATAAATAAATAAATAAAACAACATACACAAATTCTCATGAATTATTTCGCCTACCTTTCATTTTATTTCTCCCCACAACACGGTGTTTAAACGCGAAATTGAGATAAGTTGAAAAATCAGGTAGAAGCAATTTGGCACTTTTTTTTTATACTTTGGATACTAAAATCAAAGATTTATAGTAGAGCTCCAATATTAGATTAGTGAGAATGCAACGCATAATTTCCTTTATATATATATGCTTCTTTACAATGGCCTTGTTTTGTTGATTTTATATATCAAAAACAAGAATGTACACTTTTTTTTAAAAATAGTTAAAACAGAGTTTGATAGCCCATAATATATTTTCTTGTAGTTGTACCTAGTGGGGAGTAAAGAAATACTAGTAGTCGTTTCTCCAAATATCTTGCGAGTTAAAAAAAAATAGGTAAGCAAATAAACATTTTGGTTCAAATAGTTCAATACATAGGGCTAAAGTCAAAATTTTAATTGTAAAAGGAAAATAATATTTTGACGAATATTTAAGCAATTTAGATAAAACAAAGCTGTAAAGGTGGACCTTGATGTGCTAGCTCTCATACTGAGTCCTGTACGTGATACTAGAGGGGTTTGGATGGAATTTCAGCGTGCTGATTTCAACAAACGCATCAAAACAGCCAAAGCAAACGTGCATGAGCATATTGTTCAACAAACCGTTGCTTCGATGAAACTTACTGCTTCTGAGGTGGTTTAAAATTTATCCAGATCTATTTGAGAACCAGAACCCGCGTGCAAACAATTGATAGGCGCGTTATCTGTCAGTAACTACACATCAGGCTCCTAGACGAGTAATTGGGTTCACATCTAATACACCATATTTTAGAAACCGATTAGGTCTAAACTACTTTCCTTGCAACAATACCAATAAGTAATCAAGTAGATTAGAGCTTATTTAGAGATAATTATTAAAGTAATCTATCTTTGTATTATTTGTCTCTTGTTTTCTACCCTTTTCCTTTGCTTAGATTAGTTCCCAGAATTAATTGGAACCAATGGTTCTCTGGTTGGATCCAAATACGCTGATTATTATTCTGCGCAATCTAAAATTCAAGATTTGTAGTTTTTTCGAGCACGAGCCAAGACCCAGAATGTTTGCGAAGATTTTCCAAACGCAATTTAGCAGTTTCTTTAGAATAGCTGTTTTTAGAGTTGACTCGCTAAAGCTTTGGATTCGACTTTTATCGTGGCTAAATATTTGGTATCTTGCTATTATATTTAGGGCTATCGAATTAAGATAAAATAAGACTTTTTATTGGTGTTTATTAGAGAGAGAAATAGAAGAGTCGGTATCGGTAAAGATGATATCCTAACTATGACAGTTACGCCCTCTTTGTAGGACTTCTTCTACTCTCAGGTCCATATTTATCATTGGCTTCTGGGATTAATTATGTTTTATTGATAGGACTTGTTTTTTTTAAAAAAAATTTATATGACTGTCAAATATAACACTCGCCTTTAAAACCCATTGCTTTAAGAAAAACATTAGACCATATTTGGAAATATATCGCCAACATCTAGAGTTTTTGCCTGCGCTTGAAAAACCCCTATATTTTTTTTGTAAAAAAAAAAAACTCTAATTCTGTCCTACTATCGGAAGTGCCGGAAAACTATAATTTGATGGTAAAACAAAAAACCAAAAAAAAAAAAAAACGGGACTCAAATTGTTAGTGATCAAAATCTAAACGACATTATAAAATTATATACATGTATTTCTATTGCACCCCCCCCCCGCCCCTCCCCTACGCCACAACCCCCAATTTTCGGAAATGTTAAGAGTAAATACTTTTCTGCAAGTCACAGATATTGCCAGAAAAAAAAACGGAGATTTATTTTATTTTATAGGATTCTTTTTACGCGTCATTATTACTATTTTTTTTATCAATATTTCAATCATGAATAAGGATATTCTCGACCATTGAACCTCAACTATACCGCTTTTTTCCGGCATGCGAGCCTGAAAGAAAAAACCTTTTGCATTTAAGAATAAAGAAGATTACCAACTGTAGTTTACCAGGAATTCAGCCTTCCATAGTCATCGAGTCATCCAAAACGTGAACAAGTCAAAGAGAAAGATTCCTGAGGGAGCTTTGATTAATCCTAGCACAATCAAACCAGCACAATACTCGAAATGCGATCATCCCCGCTCGAAAAATGACAAAACACAACAAACTAGCTTCTGATAATGATGAGATCCGTGTCGTTAAGCTTAGAAGCACTGTCGATAACAGAATTAATCTGGAATACTTGACTGTATTAGTTGCAACGTTCTTTAATGGTGGGAGAGTAACAGTAGTTTACGACTGGAAGTGCCCAAACCACAATCATCTTAAACTTTCAGGCATATCTCGTTTTCGCCTCTCTGAAGAAGCTCGTATCTGGACTAATAAATACACCGAGAATTTTTTTGACTGGAAAGCCATCAAGGGAGCTCTTAGGCCAGAAGAGGTATTTTATTAATATATAGTTATTCTAAAGTAAGACGCGGTTATATTTATTTTAATTATAACACCTTTTTGTAGATGGGGAATTCTACATCAGTGACATCCATTCCTACTACGATGGTGATCCAATATAAAGATGTTCACAATGCAACTGTGACTAGAATCAACAACAGTGCTAGAAAACACTATAAAGATGAGACCAGTAACGAAAGATGGATTGATTTCCTTCAAAAAAAGGAGGGCTATCAAACTTTATTTGACACATAACTCTGTTGGGCCTCTTCTTGTAAGCTGGATCTCCCTTTGGCAAAAGAAGGTAACTATGCGTATTGAATATATATATATATTCAGGCATTTAAATATATATAAAAGGATTGTATTATTTATCACTTTAATTTATTTTATCATTACTTTTTAGAAAATGCAGAGGAGTGGTATCTTGACTCAACCCACAAAACCTGCATGTCTTTCCTTGACAACAAGGAATGTTATCTGATGTCTGTGGTTGTATACAACCCTGTAACTAACAAGGGAGTTCCAGTTGCTTTCTCTGTCACCAGCATCGAATTTAGCTCTATCATTGTCAGATGATTGAATTGGCTGGAAGACGCCAATAGCTTGAAGGTTAAACGGATCATGATTGACTGTAGCCCAATAGAGCAGAAATCTATCCGGGATTCATTTGGACCTTTAGTTCAAATTCTTCTGTGACATTGGCATATCAAGCGTGCTTGGGAAAGTCATGTCAAGAAGGTAATTTTATTAATGTATTTTACTTAAAACATTGAACCTATATTAACTAGTAATATTATTAGGTGACAATTCCCAACACCCATATTGAGACCAAGAATGCCTGAGCCAACATCCATGCTGCATTGAACTTAATAGTGCATAGTAATAATGAAGCCAACTACAATGCTCATTGGCAAAAGTTCAGATTAGACTATGGCATGCAGTTTCCTGTCTTAATGTCTTATATGGAGGTTATATGGGAACCAAAGAAAAAAAGTTGGGTTAAGGCATGGAGACAGGTATATTCAATATTGTTTTTTTTGTCGGGTTATAAAAACTAATTTATAATTATTTTTGTAGGATGCTGTATGCCATACAAACAATTTGATAGAGTCTTATCATAACCAGCTAAAGTCCTTTTATTTTGGCCGGTCTCGTAACTGTAGAATTGACAAGATTATATATGTACTTTCTCAGTTAGCTGAGAGAGATTACCGTCAGAATACTCTTGAGATCTATTTTGATATTAAGAGTATTAGGCTTAGTGTTGCCAACACAGAAAGAAAGAAAAAGGCAGATGTTATTGCCATTGAAAGAGCAAATGGTCTGGTCGGAGAATTTGAACCACAAGAATTGCAAGCATACAAGGTAATATGATATAAAATGTTTGCTTATATAATGAATAATTTATAATTAATATTGTTATTTTAGATGTATTCTTGCAAATCTTTTGGAGAGGATAGTGAACTGGTACACTTTATCAAGTTCACAACCCACTTACACAACTGCTCTTGCCCAGACTCTGCTCGATTATGCAAGCATATCTTCTTGGTCTCTCGAGTTCTTGACCTACCGGTGACAGTAAGACGAAATGTCATACTAGATTCAGCTGCCTTGTTGGACCTGATAAAGAAGGTAAACTCTGTTGTCAACTTATTAAATTGGTTGCGAAACCAAACGTAAAGTTATAGTTTACAAGACTTTTTATTTCGATAAATAATACCTTTTATACTCTTTATACTTTTATGAAATTTTCATATATAAAATACAATGTTATATCACATCATATGTTCAAGTGTCTTTGTTATTTTTCTTCTTCTTTCTATTGCGTGAAACTTTTGTAATTCTATTGGGTACGTCTGCGTGACTAACAGAAAAGCATTTACGCTTAACGTTATTTTCCAGACCCACGTTGGATCACTCATCACTTCCAACGCATATTTTATGGTGTCCTCTTTATCCCCAATCGAGTAACAGCTATTGGCACATTGAATATTGGACGACTTTAAATAAAATAATCACTATCTACCACACCATAATTATATGTAATACTGTCTCTCACATTGAATGTACTGAGCCGAGATCGATTTTTTTTCTTTAAGTCTTATAGACATCTCAGAGAGGCTTTACATATAATGCAGCAATATGTCTTTTATTTTGTGAAATCCAACAACTTTACTTTGGAATTTGATGTCCACCTAATCTTCTTGTCATCTTCGATTATCTTACTACAAAATAACAATCGACTCTATAATGACATGGCCTAATTTTTTTTGGCCATAAAATATATACCAAAGTTTGCAAAAAGCATCCTTGGCTTTTTAAATATGGATTGCAATACAACCTTTATTTGTCGATCATGAACGAGACGGACGACTGGAATATACTTTTACTAAACCCGCTGACAGCTATAATGGAGAGGTTAGTTTTACTGGTTGTCCAGGTCGCATCATTGCCGCTTCCCCACACCAGGCGGATGATGATGTGAACGTGGGCTATGGCTAGGCAAAGAGACTATCAATGGCAGGGAACAATTGTTTGATCAATTGGGATCTTGTGAGGCCTGCAAAATTGGGAAAAATATAATTTATGAAAACAAGTTGTCAGGAAAACTTGGTATACACATTGTTGCTAAGTTATTTGCTACTAAAAAAAGAGAGGGAAGTAGAAATGACCGTGTATTGAATGAGCTCTATTTCTGAAGTCCATTTATCACGTTCTATTCAATCAGACTTACATACTTATGGATTGTATTGCATGAATGAATTGACTCGCGTGCAATTCCAAATATATCTAAAGTTTCTGGTCACATTACAAAATTCGACAACCTGAAAGATGTTATGTGTGTTTTTTAATCGTTTTGCAAACCCAAAAATACTATTGTATTTGGGATACTTTAATATTCGATATCATATACGATCTTAGACAGAATGGCCTGCCAAAGAAGTACGATATAAAATATTATAATCTGTTGCTCGGTAGCATATCAGCCCATAAAAGCTGTATTTTGATATCAAAAGAGCTCTATATGTACATTATTCTTGAAGTATTTGTGATGTATGTGTAGGTGTATAGAAGAAGAGATGTAGTAGACGTGTAGGAATAAGTGAGACTTAGTGATGTTTGAGTTTTTATTGGAGTAGAAATAGGAAAGAGTTTTTGGTATCAATTAAGATCAGGTTCTAAGTATGTCAGTTACGTGCCCTTTTATAGATTTATTCTACCTTCAGGTCCGCTAATATTATTGGTCCCTGAGGTTAATACTGTGTTTATTATTGGACTTGTTTTATAAATTTTTCTGTGACTAGTGACGCGTGTGTGTTGTCATGAGCATATTGTTCCTAGAATCTGAATCCTAATCTGGCCAATCCAATTCAATCCTTCTCAGAAATACTACACTTTGCTGGAAGTTTCCAATACCTGGTAACTTCTAGCAAAATCCCTTTAAGATAGTATAAATACAAATTGCTTCATCGAAATAAAACATTATCTTTATTCTTCTGAAAAACTACTCTTGTGATATCTTCCAGCCGCTTCAAAGGCAACTTCCAATCCCGACATATCACACTTATTTTAGTGTGTTGGTTGTGTTGTGCAAGTGAACCAACGGTCAAAGAAACAAATAACTTCAGAAAATAATAACTAACAACAATCTTAACCCCAAAATACTGGTATTAATCGTCTGTTTATATTATCAACTTAAGTCTTTCAAGACAAATTAAATCACAGATATGGATGATTTTTTATTAAGTGGAAAAACCGATTGCTTTTATAGACAATCTTGTAACAAAAATATTTTGAAGGAGGACGGTTTTTTGAAGGAAGAAGAAACTAAAAGGGTAGAATGAGTCATTGTTGAAAGAGTGAGACTAGTAATATGGTAAACGAGAGTATAGTAAAATGAAGATAATAAAGTGAGAAACGATGGGTAGATGTTGAAATGGGATATCCAGCGAATGATAAAAGAGGAAATGTAAAGAAGATGCTGTCATATTTGAGATCAGCATAGGAAAGAGGTGAGAGCAGTAAGGGTGATAATAGTAAAGTAGGATAATTTCGAGAAGAGTACAAGAAATAATAGAATGAGGTAAAAGATTGAAAACGGTCTTTGGTACACAGGTACAGGAGACGAATTGGGCATTTTCTTACGGACACTCTGTTTCCCTTGTTCCTTGGCTCAGTCGGTCATTGCACCACAACCGTGTCACTAGTCAAATACGACAATTCTTCCAAAACAAAAATATGCTTTTTTTGGCCTTTTCAAGTTGTTTGCATAGCAGTTTATATCTTTTTTTTGTCGATGTTTTTATTTTATTAAAGAAATTAGCAGAATAAAAAATAAAGTCATTGAGATTACTCGAGTAATATTTCATTGGGTACCTCGCTATAATCCTAGTCATTAGAGATTCTTATTATTTTCTTTTTAGAATTTTCTTTTTCGCTCCACTTGGCCTTTGAGAATAAGGGGTTTCAAAGGTCATTTTAGCTTTCAAACTTGAACGTCTTGGTTTAAATTTTTAAATATAATTAGCTGAAATTAATCTATAACCATTTTATTTATTTGTTTTATTTTCTTTTTTTAAAAAAAAAAGATTGAAAGATGAAAGAGACCTTTGAGAGTTTTAAGCTTTTAGTTCATCTTTGCTTAAGTCGTTTTGGTTTTTATATTTAATAATGCTTTGATGCATATATCTTCGCCTCTTTACCTATGAATTTAAACTTATACTATATTATTACCAAACCTAATAGAATTGAAAGAAGCATTTGGGGTACTCAAAAACACTCAGTGACTCTTACATATTATTGGTTGCTACTTTAAAACTCAAAGCTTAAGTACGAAAACTTAAGAAACTGTTGAAACCCCCTAATATTTGCTGGATACAAAAAGGCACCTTAATACTCGGCTTAATCCTTGTACGGAAGAATCAATCTACTAATACTAAAATTTTACAATAACAACAAAAAAAAATGATTTGAGCTGTTAAGAAACGAATTAAAATGAGAAAATACACTAATGTATCCAAGTATATGCTCTAATTCAAAAGAGAATCTTTGAAAAAATATTGAATATTCTTTTTGTTTGAAAGGTCAATATATTGGTCCACTTTTTAATTCGTATAGATTTTTATGCTGAATACACTAAAAACATATAGAGTAATCTAGCATACAGACAAAGAAAAAAGAAGATATAAATTGAAATGATCTATAAGAAAAGATATTTTTTTAAAAGGCCAAAATATTGCTACTCCTCTTATAATCTTTCTTTTTATTTTTGAGAAATTATGAATTGGAGTCTTCAAGACATCAATTAATGCGAGCTATGAAACCAAATACACCTTTTTATACAATGTACTTTACGCGCGCTGATTACAGTAAGCACAATCTTTACCTATAATGGGGGTACTCAGCCAGATTGATCGATCAAATTCTTGTGTGAATCTTGGCCAATGGTATCAATTTGTAGTTGAGGACACCAAAAGACAAAAGTACAAAATTCATACAAAATTCATAGATTTTTATAGCATTTATAGAATAAGCTTTGCACATTCTGATTTCTTCTTTGAACTTGTAGGCATCTAGACTCTCAAAGAAATCAAGTACTCTTTCCCTTTACTCAACATCTGGCAATACATTGTCAACCTTGTATATGTATTTATTGGCTTTAAGTGTTTGTTTAAGCTCCTTTGCGGCAGTCATCTGCTCCAACTTTATATTAACTTCCTTTTTGATTACTTCTAAAATATCTTTAATAAGTTCGTCTGCACTTGCTGATAAAGACTCTACCAGTGTTTTTTTCACAATAAATTCTCTGATTTTATGCGATTTCTTCAAGGCATCAATTGCTTGTTGCTTTGTACTATATTTTGGCATGTAAGATGGAGAGAAAGAAGTATTATATAACTGCTGGCAATAAATTCTACGATTTATTAAGGAGAAAGATAAAAACAGTGTCGTATTGCATATAAAAAGTAAGGATTAGGTTAATCAGAGAGCTGTACATTTTTTCGATCGAAATTTGATCGAAATTTGATCTTTCAAAAAGACGATCATATTTTGATCGTCACTATTACAATTGTAGTCCAATAATATCGCGTTCTGAATTCAAAATATGATCGATCAATCTGGCTGAGTACCCCCATAAAAAGTAATTGAAGATGAACTACAAGTGTAATTCAAGAGTACGAGTATGGGAGGTAAAGGATACTATGGGGAGAAAGGTGATAATAAAGAAGATACAAGATATTTTCAAATGAGATTAAACATTCAATTTCACTTGGGACAGTTGAGAGTAGAAAGACAGTAAAAGTACAAGAGTTATTGTATAAAAAGAAGAGATAATTATTGATTTCACTCAGGACTGTTGTGGGGAGAAAATAAAGCAAAATATAATATAGACGAAAGAATTCGTGAGAACTTGTGTAGGTTGTTTATTTCAAAAGAAAAGTAAAGAATGATAAAATTCGATTGTCTTTCTACACGGAACTATCTACTGATATTTATATGTTTTTCTAATTTGTAATTCAGTGTGTGCTTAAGTAATCTTTATCACGATGAGTCATATTCCAGGAGTATTGTTCTTCTGGAAAGATCCGGAAAGACCAATTGATATGACACTTCTCCAGTCAGATCAGTCCAAGAGTTTTGGTAAAGAAGAGCATTTATGCTATTGGTAATATTTTAGTATTCCGACCCAGATACTCGGGTAATGTTTCATAATATTAGATAGTTGTAGTTGTAGTCTCTCAATTAAGTATTTGTATAATAAAAGAAATATGTAGATGAAATATAATGATGCCATATATATAATGTATATGTATTTGTATATCCCATGTCATGGTGATAATAAAAAATAATCAATTATGTGTATGATGATCTGTGTATTAGATAATATCATAAAGGGAGATCCGTTTGACTGGAATAGCTGAGGATATTATTTTATCCTTCAGTCTTACTCTCAGATTCAGCAGTAATCA